CCACTGTGGAGCCCCGACTTTCGCCAAGGCGCTGTTGCATTTCTTGGAGAGATCTATCGAAACGACCCAGTATGGGGCGAGCAAGCCCAGGTCAAGCAATTTATCCTTAATATCCTTATGCAGTTGGACGCTTCGTCTGACAACGCTTTTTGTGGTATGTGTGATTTGAGAAGTGGTCGATTTATTTGGGCTACTAGGAGCGCTGCTGAAAAATAACATTATATACTATACACTAATGTGGCCTTAATGCGACGCATGATGTAGCTGCCACGAACTTGCTACAAGAGCTGGAAACGGATGGCAACGAGACTAAACAGGCTCTTTATCGAGATTGCCGAAAGGAGGGTCCAAGCTCACATCCATTTAAGGTCGCTCTGCCGCCCATTGCTTCTCCTTCGCTGCTCGACCGTGTTCAGGATAAACCCGATGTCGAGGCTGACTTGCGACGGCTGAGACAGCAGCGGCTGAAAATGCAAGGTGACGCAGTGTACATTCCCCCTCAAGCCAAGGCTAGTCTACAGGATCGCGATGATGCGCGGTTCCCTCTGATGGACAAGGTCGAGAAGTTTCTGAGCAGTACTCAAAAGGTATTGCTCCTGCTCGGAGATTCTGGTGTGGGGAAGTCGACCTTTAACCGCCAACTGGAGTGCGATTTGTGGCATGCGTACAAACCGAAAGAAGGGCAAATCCCACTCTTTATCAGCTTGCCCGCAATCCAACGGCCAGAACAGGATCTCATTGCTAAACAGTTACGGAAGGCCGAGTTCACCGAGTCTCAGATCCATGAATTGAAGGCACAACGCGATTTCATTGTCATCTGTGATGGATACGATGAGAGTCAGCAAACCAACAATTTGTACATGAGCAATCAACTGAACCAGTCAGGGGGATGGAAGGCTCAGGTGGTAATCAGCTGCCGCAGCGAGTACCTTGGCGTCGACTATCGGGATCGCTTCCAGCCAGGAGACCGCAATAACCTAGCGGAGTCTGAGCAATTTCAAGAAGCGGTGGTGGTACCGTTTTCTAAGCTTCAGGTTCAAGAATACATCCAGGGATATGTGACCATCAAGGCACCGCTCTGGCAGGCGACACATTACCTGGAGGTCCTTGAACAGATTCCTAGCTTGCTAGAGCTGGTGAAGAACCCGTTTATATTGACTCTATCCTTGGAGGTGTTGCCACGCATGGTCGATCCGGGACAGAATCTTGCTACCGCCAAGATTACTAGGGTGGCATTGTACGACCAGTTTGTGGAGCAGTGGCTGGAGCGTGGCAAGAAACGGCTGAGTGCCAAGGACATGAGCAGTCAAGAAAAGAAGGCCTTCGAGAGCTTGTCCGACGAAGGGTTTACGCGAAACGGTATTGCGTTTTTGAAAGGCTTGGCAGCGGCGATCTACGAAAAGCAAGGAGGCAATCCGGTGGTGGAGTACTCGCGCACTCAAGATCAAGGAACGTGGAAAGAAGATTTCTTCAGTCGGGACGAAGAGAAGCAGCTCTTGCGTGAGGCCTGTCCTCTGATTCGCAGCGGGAACCAATTCCGATTCATCCATCGATCACTTCTAGAATATAGCTTGGCTCGAGCTGTATTTGAACCGCAGGAGGGAGAAAAAAACACAAGGAAGACTACAGCGCCGACGTCTGAGGCACGCCGATGTAGCGTAGGATCAGCCTTTAGTTTTGAACTTCAAGGAGCTCTGGGTCAGAAATCGGCCATCGCAGAACAAGGTCCTGATATCGACTCACCTTTGGTCCGGCGGAATTATGTGAGCGAGCCTTCTATTTTAGAGTTTCTGGAAGAACGCGTCCAACAGGAGCCCGTATTCAAACAGCAACTACTGGCCTTCATCGAGCACTCGAAAACCGACAGGAAATGGCGTGTTGCGGCAGCCAACGCCATCACGATATTGGTCCGAGCAGGCTTTCAGTTCAATGGCGCCGACTTGCAGGGCATCCAGATTCCAGGGGCCGACCTGAGCCATGGCGTATTTGATTCTGCACAGCTGCAAGGAGCCGATTTGAGAAAGGTCAATCTCCGCAATGTTTGGTTCCGCCAGGCCAATTTGAGCGACGCGCGGATGACAGGCGTTCAGTTTGACGAGTTGCCGTATCTCGAGGAAGATGGTGAAATTCTCTCCTGCGCGTATTCGCCAGATGGAAACACTTATGCAGTGGGCCTAAAGGATGGCCAGATCAATGTGTATTCGACTACGACCTGGGAAAAGACCAGGACCTTGGTTTGCCATGGAGGTGGTTTCGGGACCATTGTATACTCGCCAAAGGGTGACCTGATCGTCGCTGTCGATAATTACCGAGACTTGCGGCTATGGGAAGTCGAAACCGGAGCCTGCTGTCACGTTCTGAGCGGCCATAGCGAGTGGATTGTGAGTGTCGCGTACTCGCCGAGTGGCGGTCAGATTGCCTCTGGAGGTAATGACAAGACAGTGCGACTGTGGGACTCAAAAACCGGAGCCTGCAGCCGCCTTTTAAACGGCCATAGTCACATGGTTCGGAGCGTGGTGTACTCACCAAAAGGCGATCTGATCGCCTCTGGGAGTCGTGATAAGACTGTGCGGCTGTGGGATGTGGAAACCGGGGACTGCCGACACGTCTTGAGAGGTCACAGCGAACGGGTTCTGAGTGTAGCATACTCACCAAGTGGCGATCAGATCGCCTCTGGCAGCGTCGACGCGACCGTGCGGCTGTGGGACGTGGAAACCGGGGTCTGCCAGCACATCTTAAGTGGCCATAGCGGAACCGTACAGAGCGTCATGTACTCACCAAACGGCGGTCAGATTGCCTCTGTAAGTGATGATAAGACGGTCCGTCTGTGGGACGTGCAAACCGGAGAATTCCATCAAACCTTGAGCGACAATGGGAGCAAGATTCAGAGTATCGCATATTCGCCAGCAGGTGACCAGATCGCTTCCGGCAGTGATGACTCGACATTGCAGATATGGGATGTTGCAACCGGAGTATGCCGCCGGAGTTTGCGCGTTCATAGCGGTCCGATCCAGAGCGTCGTGTTTTCGCCAAAAGGAAATCAGATCGCCTGCGGCAGTAATGACAGGAGAGTGCGGCTATGGGAAGTTGAATCCGGGACTAGCCGCAACTACTCAATCGGTCATAACGAGCAAGTTCTGAGTGTCATCAAGTCACCGAATGGCGATTGGATCGCCTCCGCCAGCGCCGATAAAACAGTTCGTTTATGGGATACTGAAATCGGAACCTGCCGCCATATCTTACGCGGCCATACCAACTCGGTCCTAAGTGTCGCATTTTCGCCAAAAGGCGATCAGATCGCCTCTGGAAGTGGAGACAGGACAGTGCGGTTATGGGACGTTGAAACTGGAGACTGCCACATCTTAACAGGCCATAGCGACAAGGTGGCAAGCGTTGCATATTCCCCGGAAGGTGACCAGATAGTTACTGGCGGCTTGGATTGCACCGTGTGTCTGTGGGATGTCAAATCTAGAACTGGCTGTCTCAAATTCAGCGGCCATAGCGACCATGTCCTGCGAGTAGCCTATTCGCCGAAGGCCGATCAAGTTGCTTCGGGCAGTAAAGATAAGACAGTGCGACTATGGGACCTGGCAACCGGAACCTGCTGCCACATCTTACAAGGTCACAAGGGTCCGGTTCGGGACGTCGCATATTCGCCAAGGAGCGATCTGATCGTATCTGCTAGTGACGACAGCACACTGCGTCTTTGGGACACAAAAACCGGAGCCTGCCGCCACGTTTTGAGCGGTCATAGCGGTGAAGTTGTGACAGTCATGTATTACTTGAAAGGCGATCAGGTTGCGTCTGGCAGTGACGACAGGACGGTGCGGCTATGGGATGTTGCATCGGGTAAGTGCAGGGCGGTGATACAGGGTTTCTACAGTAACATATACAGCATCACCTGGAAACCAACATCCGTCGGCCATTACGTGGTGACCGGCTCTTACGACAAATTGGCTCGCGTATGGGAAGTCACAGAGGATGAGGGCCAGCACAATGTGCACCTGCGCTGGAGTTCTTCGCATGACAGGCTTACTATGACCGATACATCTTTGCACGATGTGCATGGACTAAGTTCTCGGAATAAGCGGCTCTTAGAGCAGCTTGGGACCGTAGGCGAGCCGACTCCGCCGATGAACTTCCAGGAGGCAGGCGCGACGTTGATGAACGTGAAATCTTTCACCTCAAAACTCAAGCTGGCGTCAAATAAAAGGTTGCTGGACCCCTCCCCTGTGGTCATTGGTTCTACTGGACAGCCATCGATGGCGGTCGAATCAGCAAATCCCCCATAGCCAACCTGAGATAACTTTCGTGTAAAGAGGAGATTGGCCAAGCGAAATCGACATTTATTGAATGCCGATCGTCTAGTATATTGGTGCGCCTCGTAGAAATAAACTACAGACATATCAATCACTTTTCAAAGACATTTCACACATGCTTATAAGCGGTTAATGTTGACTTGAATGTCGGCAATCTTCAGTTGTAAGGACAACCTCCTCTCTTCCGACCTTTCCTCCTCCAATTCCCCTTCATACATATTTCATGCTATTAACTATTCGTAGCACTAAATATAAATCATCATTTTTTGTGCGCGACAAGTCTATGGTGTACGTCTAGCGTTCGTGAGCGTCCTTCTTGCAGCTTAAACACAATTACATGTATACCAACCAGCATTCATTGCCTATCAGTATCTGTCGATGTCCACCGTAATATTGACAGCACTATGCGGTTGGCTGCTAGAGTTGGTAAAGACAACGGCTGATATTCAAAGGTAGAGACTAGGTATTTTGTTTGACCAGGCATGTTTAAGATCGACCATACGGCTCCGCACTCAAAGCTGGCAGCCTCGTTAGGACCACATCATCCGCATACAACGAGCTGTCCAAGAACATATTCCGCAGCACAGACATCTTCAAGCCTCAGCTAATCATCCTAACCATGCCTTAGTTTTCGCGCGTCTGGGTTTCGATTTCAAGGCTGACTGTGCAATCAGCTCCGCAATGACATCGCTTGGTAACCGAAACCATTTTGCGCTCAGTCCTCATGCAGATCGTATGAATGAGGTGTTGGCGCTTGGGCTGAGGGTAGAGGGAATAAATGGCCGCCTTTGGTCTTATTGTAAGCAGCTATGGCTGGCTCCCTGGTTGTACTTCAGCTTTAAATTCTCATTGACCGTGAAAGAGAAACGAAGAGACGACTATGACAAGCCTATATCAAGCTTGAGTGGTTTTGATGAACTACGATGTAGACCGCGCGCATGTGATATCTATGCATGTCGTGTTTATAATTGTCCTATTACGTCAGAAGTGTGTACAACAAAACCAAAGAGCGAGAGAGAAAGTGATGGTCAATGTAGACATCGTACTAGGGTCGTGAGCGATTGTGTACCTGTAAATGTTGACCATGGCAGCGCGCTGTCTTATTGACTATATTCAGGAGAAATATATTTCTCTAGATTCTAAAAAACCCTCATGGACAGTACTGTTCCAACTTCCTTCACCAATTCAGGTCAAGACCACCAGTACCGCCACTGCGACCAGCACCAGATGTACGGCCAAAACACGCTTGCCATACTAAAGCAGAATTCAGTAAACGTTGGATTGTTTACCCACTAATAGGGATCTATCATCCGTTGGATTATGGCTGAACGCCTCTAAGCCAGAATCCGTGCTAGAACGCGACGATTACCGCCTTTTCCAATTTTTAGTTGAATACGAATAGACCTTCGGACCCTGAATCATGCTACGTGAGGTGGTCTTGTAGAGCAGAAAGGCTTTATGAGGCTCACACCGATGTTAATTTCAAATATTGGAAGAGATAAATCCATTGCAGACGACTTTTAAGTAACGGTGTACTGTAAGCAGTCGAGTAGCCTTGTTGCTACGAGTTACTGAGGTTAAGCGCATTGTTGCACAGATTTTTTTTCGAAAGAGCGATATCTTTTTTGGCTTCCTCTTGTGGTGTTCATAGGGGGTTGTTATAGCCACTTCGAATCTAACAGCCTTGCAGCAATGAGTCGCTGAGATTAGGTCTATTTGTAGTTGTAGAGTGGAATGGCTTTATGATGCTCCCCCTGAAGTCAATTTCGAACATTGGAAGAGAACGGGGTATTGCATGCGATCGAGTAGCCTTGTAGCCATGAGTCGCTTAGGTTAAGCATTACTACTGCAATATACGATCGAAAATTTGAGGGCGAGTGCAGCTTCCCCGTCTTTTTAGTCTCGAGGCTGATTAGAAGGGCACATGCTTAAGATGTGCGTATTGGTAGTTCCGCCATTACTGAGCCGGTATCGGTAGCATCGTTCACAATCAAAAGGCGGTGCATGAGTTTTCAGCGCGTAGCGGATATTGGTCTAACCCAGGACCTAACCAGGACTTAAAGATGGCTGAAAAAAAAAATATCCTTGCTGAACCGTCCCGGTATTAGGCTAGCCATACTAAACAAAATTGTCACAGAGGTATGCGTGGGACAGTGAGGAATGGTGTTTGACATCGTTCCTATCACATTCCCAAATAGGGTGGAACATAGAAGTGAGACCTATAAACTATTTTGCTCAGCCAATCAACCGTGTTTTTCATCCTAGGTACGATGCACGTTATTTGTTTGGGTCACGAATTTTACGCGCAAAGCAAGGGGTAGTAGATATGCAGCATAGCGTTCAGATGAGGATGCGGACAAAACTGATTAACCAGCTACCGTTTGCAGACAATGGAGGTTACTTTGCAGGCTGTATAGATGGTACTATCAGCAGTAACTGTTCCCGCTTCCCCCAACTAGTACAGGGCGTGCGTCTCTATTCACAGAGATCGAACTGATTAGAATCGATTGTATGCCTCGAGCTGGTTTTTTTTTTTCTAGCCAAGAAGAAACGCGTGTCCGAAGCAATACGAGGCTGATCAAGCAAATTATGCAATAAGAAAAGTCCAACCAATACATAAAATAACCCACTTCCTTTTTAAAACTGCGCGAGCTTTCAGGTACACGCATGACCAAGACGTGATGCCATGTTCATGATCGTTGAACACATCGTCTAAACAGCTATTTTTTCGATACAGACTATCGTTTAAGGTCTAGGAATGCAAGGCACAACGCGGGAGAAATGCAACTGGCATATTGATACAGCCTTACTTGCTCAGTGCAGTTCAACCAAAGAGTGCATTTAGAGCACATATCCAGCGATAAGCAGCGCGTGTACGTATACTGGGCGTCTCTCGGACCAAGGTAATAACAAACACAGAAAACTGAGATATAACCAGCGCAATAGCAGTATTTCTTTTTACGGATACAGGACTGGCGACATTCATGTTTATTTCTGTGCTGAATATGAGAATGTAAAAGAGTTCTGTGGCGTGCACACTAGGACTTACCAGGACGCGGATCGCGTCTTTTCGTCCACTCTGGCGTGCTTTCAGCGTACTGAATGGACCCATAAGGTCGCGGCGACCAATGCGATATATCCTGCTTGATTCAATAATAATAATTCCAAGCGGATAACTAGTCACTAGGGGATCTTTATATTGAACGATCTAGAAACTGTATTTGAACTGCAAGAGCGAGTGGAGAGTTCTGCAAGAATAAAACCAAGCGCGAGAGCTGCAATCGCTCTGAAAGAAAAGTGTAGGGACAATTAGACGAGTGTAAATGAGCGGCGTTCTCTCTGCTTTCTACGTGCGACTCGTAACAGGGGGATATGCTAGGTATACGTATAAAATGTCGATTCCAGGAATCTCTCGAGATGGCATGGGCTGACTAAGTCGGCTCGTTCCCTATCGGCCTTTGGAAGCCAATCGAGGAGATGCTTCTCATAGGCGCTTTTGTGGCCAAACAGACCAGGCTGAAGGCTGATGAAATACGAAGCTATTCTGATATCATCTCGCATGTTCATACAACCCTTGCGGGTAGATTGCACTCAAAAAGGAGACAGTGTCTTTTATGTAAAGTATCAGACAATAAAAAAAAACATGTGCGTTGCATGAGCTAGCCCAAAGATATGCAGAGACAATGAGTGATTGAAGGAGAAAAAGTGATGACAGGGGGCATGAGCGAGATTCAGGTTTATGGCGAGCCCACGGAAGGGGTATTACGCCAAGGCGGTGAGAGATGAGTAGAAAGTAGAGCGGAGCCTTTCTAAGCATTAAAAAAGAGAAGAGTCGTAGGCAGGCCATTCCGTATTGGAGGAAAAGAAGGGTCGTTTAGGAAGGTTGCCGAGATCGGCACCTTCAGCAAAAAAAAAAAAAAAAAGAAAGAAAAAAAACCCAATCACACCATTGCGGTTGCATTAGAGGACATAAGTCTTTTATCAATAAAAGTTATATCTATGGAAAGGATAGACTAACAAGAGGACTCTCGCTTCTCTGTCTTGAAGAAGAGTGAAGTAGTGAGAGGTTTTTAGAGAGAGAAGAATGAGATGGCACAAATGAGAGAAGGAGCAGGCCAAAGAGAAGACGAAAGTCAACAGGAGTTATGGGAGAGCATTGAAGTGCAGCTTTGATAATCTAGTCTAGTGCATACTAATAAGAGGATGAGGGCAGTTTAGTCGTGTCTGAAGCATAGAACAGCATTCGACCCAAATGGCGTGCTGAAGGTGTTGGGGTCACGTCTTTGCGCGACGGAATTGTGTACCACCCAGAGTAGTGATTGGCTGAACCTTATTTTGACATTTCCACATGCATCCTGTGGACGCGTCGTACAACAGCCGGATATCTCTCCACTCACTCAGCCTGAGAGAGTTCAGGACGAGGCATGTTAGTCTAAGCACCGACCAACGCATATTGCCCCGCCTTGTCTCCCACGAGGGCACTTTTTCTCAGGCCGTTTTTAAGCTGAAGAGATTTCGCGCGACTGTAAACTTGTCGTCCATGCCAAGGCGCATTCACTTTGCTGGGTCGCGCAAATGTCACCTTCGCTGCTATCGAGCAGTAGTACACCACATGTCAGTTGTTATGGCAACTTTTAGTTCGTACCAGTTGAACAGTGTGGAATGGACCAGACTCTTGTGTTTGCGAAACGGGTTCAATTCCTGCGGCTTTTGTGAGGATCCCAGCGATGATAGATGTAGGCTGCTCACAAAAATGTGTGTCAAGATCTCAACGTTTCCTCTCGGACTTGGGCTATACCTCACGACGCATCGAGAAGTCATTCTTAGTCTCAGTAAATGCTGGGGAGATGAAGATAGCATGGTGGTTCACGAATACCCCTTGTGTTCATGTCGATGAACAATAAACAACAACCAGAGTAATGGCTCTGGCTCGTTGGGGCCGATAGCGAACTGATGTTTCAAGAATAGAAGGCGATGTGTTCGACGATGGTTGTGATTCATAATTTCACGATTAGAATCCCCCCCCGCCATAAACAACAAAGTGAGCCATGATAGCTGAATGCGATGATTAACGGACTCTGCCCAAGCAAACATGTGTGCATGGACCATCCTCCATATTGTTCGTTGTTCTTTCCCCCTGTATCTTGCGGAAACTCCATATGAACCTGTTTCTTTGATATGGCTGCATGAATATTATTATTATTATTATTTTGTGTGTTGCCGTTGACGACGGCATTCTCCATTATCGTTCATCTCATCGAATATCTCATCAGGGAAGGTGCAAGGACGTTTTCTAGGACTGTATGTGTGCGTATCAGCGTGCTAGGGGTCCAGATGAGGGTCTGACCCGCATGGACATCTCGTTTCACTGCCAAGACAACAGTAGTAACAAGCAGAATGAATGCAGGGTGCTGTTTTCCCTGCCATTGAATGTCGAAAGACTACATAATCTATGGCCTCCTATTCTTTGCAAAAGTGCGCGGTGGTGGTGTTTGTTGTTAACTGCATATGCGTGGAGAAGAAAATTGCGACATATGGAACGCAAGGTGGTGCCATTTTCTATTCTCGCTTGAATGCAGTTCAACTGTAACAGAGCAGACTATTGTCGTGCGAGGGAAGAAGGCTGGGGAATCGTCGGCATCGGCATCGAAACAAGGCATTGGTCTTTGTTGCGCTGTATTCATGTGCATGTGTATAGAGAGAGGAGGCGGACGTTTGAACCCATAGCATTCAGGTACCCAAGGCACTCAACAGTTACAAAAAGAAATCGTGCTCCCTACTCGTCTTCTTTCTTCTCTTCTTTGATTTTGTTCTCGAGACTTTCTTCATCTTCGCACCTTACGGTCCCTCTATCTCTTCTTATTGCACAGCAACTGTATTCCACACCGCAAGCACGAAGCGCCTCTCTCTTTTCACTCTCCACTCACTTACTCACACACACTCACACACTCACACACTTGTTCTCGCTCGCTCTCTCTCGCTCTGTCTCTCTCTCTCTCTCCGCTCTACCCAACAAATATCTCCTCCCTTTGCTTTGACCATCCATCCCACCTGTCCGGACAAGTTGATTCCACATCACTCTGCACTCGGCATCGCACCCTTACTACAAAAATCACTAGTTTATCCCCTGCTTACTTTCTTGACTGCTCCACCCTGGGTTTGAAATGCAGCTCTTGCTTGCAAAATAAGAACGCCCACACTAACACCCACTAGCAGACAAAAACCAGCACACTCCACTCTTCATCACCCTTGCAACCGCACCTGCACATCTCCACTCACTCACTCACTCACTCATTCCTTACTCTTCGCCAGTCCCTTACTTCATTTCTTCTTCACAGCCCACATCCATCGCTCCGCGCCATGGCCTACGACTCACCCTCTCCTGCAGACACTTCCGAGTTGTTGGCCCCGTCCCTGTGTCTCAACCCTGATGCAATCGAGGATCTGGCCCCTGTTCAGCCCACAAAGGAGAACCTCCTGCCGGCGTCCTTCCCCGCCCTAAGCTGGTCCGAGCAGTCCTCTGCCGACCACAAGGCAGCCAAAGCTGAGAAGCGTCTTTGCTACCGCCATCGCCCCGACTTGCGATCCAAGCGAGCTGCCGATGAGATCCAGCTGGATCAGCTACAACAGGTACAGACCAGACATATGTACCAGTCCTTACACGACATTATTACCCCCTCTCCTTACACTGTCCATTGAACCCTCTTCAGAGCTGTTGTGGGGAGTGAATTTATGGTTTACTTTGGTTCGCGCCCTGTGGTCCGGTATTTGGTCCATTATCCTGTGCCCTGTCTAGTTATGACTCAAAAGTATTCCCACAGCTTTCTGTTTGCTATTTCCCCCGTCGATCCCTCCCCGCTCCAGTTCGGAGCCAGCAAAGGGCACTAGTTGCACTAACACACATTCGAGAAATCCCTGGGCCGTCGTGCTGTGTTGCTCATACATCCCACATCCTCGGCCTGTTTGGACTCAATGACTAACGATGGAATGTGTCCAATCCGTACCATCAACAGGATATCAAGCGTTTGCCCCAGCTGGATCAGCAAATCATCTCCCACATCTGGTCCCTCTTTGGATCCGCACCAGCAAGCCATCGTCAGCTGGTCCTCAGTGGTCTCCTGACACAATGCTGTGTCCCCCAGCTCTCCTTTCTATCCAACCATCTGCAGCCACTGCTGCGAATCGATTTCCTGTCCATCACCCCGCCCGAGATCGCTTTCCGCATCCTCTCATATCTCGATGCGACCTCGCTCTGTCATGCAGCCCAGGTCTGTAAAAGCTGGAAACGACTCGCGGACGATGATGTGGTCTGGCACCGCATGTGTGAGCAGCACATTGGACTGAAGTGCACAAAGTGTGGCTGGGGACTGCCCTTGCTCGAGAAGAAGAAGGTCCGGACGAAGCGGTATCTGGATCAGCAGCAACCACCAGCACCACAGCAGCAACAGCAGAGCAGTGCTCATGCGACCCAGCCTGCTGAGGACAGTGAACATGACGATCACGGCCATCACCATCACAGGCGTACAAATACCGACGCTGCGCCCTCGCACCCATCGCCGCCAATCTCGACCTCATCCCTATCACCCACAGAAGCGACACCTTCATCTGGTTGGCCCAGTCGACGTCGCAGCGCATCGAACGACAACGATATCGAGACGAATCGTTCGCAAAAGCGACCCCGCCACGCATCTCGCTCTCCCTCTCCCTCTCCCTCTCCGACCTCCAACTTTGGTGCGAAGCGCACCACACCACTGTTCCAATCACCGGAGCCCCCAGTGAAGCCGACGGAAGTTGCCACTAAGCGCCCATGGAAGGAGATCTACTCTGAGCGTCTGATTGTGGAGAGAAATTGGAGGAAACGCAACTACCGACTCAAAGTCTTCCGTGGCCATACTGACGGAGTGATGTGCCTGCAGTTCGACGACTCGTTTCTGATCACGGGCTCCTACGACAACACAGCTAAGGTCTGGAATATCGAAACAGGCGAGTGCCTGCGCACCTTGACTGGACATGCGCTCTGCGTGCGCGCTCTGCATTTTGATGAAGCAAAGTTGATCACAGCATCTATGGACAGGACTCTCAAGATCTGGAACTATCATACCGGCCAATGCATCCGTACCCTGCAGGGCCACACGGACGGAGTTGTGACCCTCGACTTTGATTCACGCATTCTCGCTTCGGGATCGGCGGATGCGACCATCAAGATTTGGAACTTTGCGACGGGGGAATGCTCCACGTTGAAAGGACATCGCGACTTGGTCAACAAGGTACAGATCTACAAGAAGAAATTGCTGGTTTCAGCGAGTGACGATACGACGGTCAAGTTGTGGGATATTGCAACACGGACGTGTCTTAGGACGTTCAGCGGACATGTGGGACGCGTGCAGTGCCTGCAGACATCGGGCGATGCACTGATCTCGATCATTACGGACCGTATTCGTAACTGCGCTCAGGAAGGATCGTCTTCACAGACTCGTGTGAATGGATCGCAGGGGGGTGGTGTGCAGGCGAATGTATGCAGCATCAACCGCTCGGGCGTAGTCGAAAATACTCCGCCATCCCCTCTGCAGGACCCGAACTCGGATACGGAGACCAGGACCATGATGCCGATTATTGTGACAGGAGGACTGGACAACACACTCAAGGTCTGGGACGTGGAGTCAGGCGAGTGCCTCAACACGTTGTTTGGCCATGTTGAGGGTGTATGGACCTTGGCGTTTGACAAGCTGCGCATCGTGTCGGGTAGTCTGGACAGGACGATCAAAGTCTGGGATACGGAGAGCGGCCGGTGTCTGTATACGCTGTCGGGACACGAGGGCCCGGTAACGTGCATTGGCCTTGGGGATACCAGGATTGTGAGCGGCTCGGACGACGGCGTTGTCTTTGTGTGGGATTATGGTGTTCGGACCTAGGTGTTTCTATGATATTGTTTCCTACCCACTTAATACCCCTCCTCATTTGTTGCCTAATACCCCTCGATGTTCTCGATGTTTGCACCCTTTAATTCCTTTTGTTGTTTTCTGTAAATCATATTTCACTTTGTACGATACGTGTCGATGAGCAATCAATAAAGAGCGTTGGTTCTGCGATGTATCATTGTTATGAATATCACCACAGCTGCTTTTACAAACGAGGTGCTTGATCGACCCCTTCTCGCGGTGCTGTAGCCACTGCCATACATTTGCACGGCGAAGTCGAAGCCGATAACCCCAGCGGTTGCACATGTGCAACCCATTCACCAATTAGCCCATTGTCCCACAGAGTCGGATCGTGCGGGTGTGCATACGAAGTCTGTAACTGTCTACTCTGTTCTCTAACAAAAGGCTAATGTTTGCGTCCCGTCCATTGCCACCATTTTTTTCCCGATAAATAGGCATCGTTCACTTCGTCTGGCCTCTTCCTCACACACTCACTGCCAACGCTTCTTCCTCACCTCCCTCTCTTCAACTGCAACTTCCTCGCACATGCCCAGTGTCTCCAACGTTGCTCGAGCCCCTGCTCCAAATACTCACCATGCAGGTAGGCGACACAGGAGGACCAAGAACGGCCCGGTCGACATTGCGGTCCCAGGATTGTTCCAGGAAACGATCTTCTCGGCTCCAGACCTCGTGCGGCAAATCGCCAGCTACCTGGCCAAGGACGAATTGAGGGCTGTCATACGTGTCAACCATGCTTGGAACGCCCTTTGGTCCCCCTATGCCCACTCATACCTGCTCATCAAGAAGCACAGCCCGACCCGTAGATTTTCCAAGCTCCAGATCTACGGCCAGCATGTCAGGATTCTGGAGACCAGAGATCTGCAGCCGAGAAACGCTGTTCATCTGATCTGCCATATGAAAAACCTGCATTCACTGACACTTGGCCACACTGGTTCCTTGAGCACCCAGCAACTTCAGGAGATTGCCGAGCCCGCCTCTCAGCTTCGAGTCCTCCACATCTCCTGAGAATTGCTACTGAGGAGTTTTTTGGCATGCCGGATGACCGCGTTGGCAAGTCTCCAGAATCTAAGAGGTCTTGCGTGGGTATCCCCTACCGAGGTTCGCATTGACGACGTCCCCTTCATGCTCAAGTCCTGCCGGAAACTCAAATCGCTGGTTTTAAGGGCGAGTACCCTTGTCGAGGAATTCACGGATTCCAAGAAATACACGGATTTGGTCAAGGCCAACGAAAGCCAATGGGCGAACTCTTCCCTTCAGTCCCTGTCCCTCGATCATCAGAAGGTGGAGCGGTGCCTATTCCAAGCGGACGATTTCAAGCGAGCGGGGCCCTGGATCCGCCGCCTCTTTCAGCACATCCCTAACTTCGACACCATCAAATTCTTGGGCTGCGGCACTATCTTACCCTGGGGATGGTACTGTATCCTTTCGGATCGTACCAACATGCAACGTGTCGAAATCGACTTCACTCCTTCAGCGAGCCGATATAACGCCAGAATCATACCTGTTACTGGAGGTGCGGAGCTTCTCAATGCTCTATCAGAGTCGTGTCCAAATCTCAAGCTGCTCGATATCACGCGCATACCATACTCACCGAGCGTGGCATTCGAGAAGTTCATGCGAGTCAACGACCGTCATTTGCAAACGGTCTCTCTCAAGCACTCGGATTTCAGCGACTTGGCCCTTAGTGAATTGGCGCGTCTCCCTCCTTCAACACTCTCAGCGCCACATAGTCTCGTCGATCTCGAGCTTGGAGGATGTGGCCTGACCACCAGCAGCAGCGCCATCCTAATCCTCGAGAACTACGCGCTTTTACGCAGCTTGAACCTATTATCAACAATGGCAAGAACCATCCATCTGTTCACAGGCAGCAAGCCCTGGCCATGTGCCAAGGTACTGGAAAAGTTCAGTATCGCCATCCAACCGATCGAATTCTGCTCTCCGCTCAAGCTGTACATGCCTGAAGAGCAGCAGCTGACCAGGGAGCGACTGTGCTCATTCACATCCCTCCTTTTACTGGATTTTAGGGGTGAGGCATCGACTTTCGAAATCGCACAGGACTTTTCGTTCGCTCCAAACCTTCGGAAGATGACTCTCTGGTTTATGTTGCTGGCGGATGAAGACAAAACGTATAATCGGGTATCTGCAGCGGTCGAGGAGCACAAGGAGGCGTTGTTCCCGGGCTCCTCGGACTGGGATGTGATGTGGTTCGGGGGGTACGCCCGGAGACGACCCTACAACTGGCCTCCCGAACAGGCACATGATTCGGCTCGAGGAGGATGCCTAGAGGCGGTGAAGCATGAATATCGTTATCGTTGGGTTCCAGCTTGTTAAAATAAAAAATAAAACAAGGTAAGATAAAATAAAATAAAGCTGCGTCTGATATTTACTTTCCCGATTTCAGCTTCAGCAGTGTGGCATGCAGATCTTTAACTGTTCAGTAGCTGGGGAGCTGTAGTTGGTCAGGCTCTTACGGTATCTTTCAAAGCTGACTAATATTCCTGGCCGCGTATTCATAGTACACACTTATTGATATTGGAGAAAAAAAAAAAAGTGATACGTATGGACATGATGGTAAATAAAACAAGGTACATAAATGCTTTCCGCCATTACTTGCGGCTGAGGTTTGAGTGATCGCAGGTCGCGGATCAAATTCTGTGGGGTGCTATAGAGCATACACGGCGTACATGCAGAAGCATGCACTAACGTGTAATGATTTCTATGGCTGCGGATCCTTCGCAGAATGGAGTTGTGCCGCGATTATGCTGGCAAAGTGACTCTATGCGAAAAGCCGGCAGATAGGACAGCCACGCCTTGGAACATGGTCTTAACAGGAAGTCATCCATTTATCGGCTTCAGCCATCCACGTAACCACATACAGGTCGTCAAAAAAAAATAGGATAAAAGCGACCTGGATTACAATTTAGGAAAGGGGAGGGAGCAACGTATTAGATCATAATTAGGAGTGTCTAGCCGCATTTACAGCTTCGCTCACAACTCTGGTCGTATGGGGCACTCATCGTCTCCAAAATATCTGAGACTATTAAGGCTTGGAAGATCGCGTGCGGAACCGCGTCCACATTCAGCCCTGTTTTTGCAAGGTCAGTCTTCCATGCACAGCACGAACGCACAATGGTATCAAGATATGCATTTTATTAAAATATTTTTCTTATGCATATAAAAGTATAACTGGCAACAAGCGCCGCCGATAAATAGCCATGCGATCTGCAACGACAACAGCAACAAAGAAGAAAAACGTCTACGTTGGTATTTTGAAAAAAAGAAGAACGGGCTAAAAAACACACACACACACGCACACACACAAAAAGCACTTTAATGCGCTGCCGCTGCCGCCATAGCATCCTTCTCCTCCGTAGTCCAGGGGTTGGTTGGCTCGGGTCCAGCCGAAGCCAAGGTCGCCGTCACGGTCTTCCCATCCACCGCAGCCGCAGTCGCCGTCTCGATCTTTGATTCCTCAGCAACAGGCTGTGCCTCTTCTACCTCATCTGCAGTTGGTGCGACTGCAGCCTTTTTCTCCAGCGAGACCTTGGCCGATTCCGGCTCCTCTCCATCCTCTACCTGGGCGCCCTCAGGCCATTCTTCCGAAGGACCCATGTTTCCGATCGATTGCGACGACACTCCGAGCTCTGACAACATAATGGGAAGCACTCCCGCACGGGCGTAGAACATCTGGAGACGGAGACGAAGACTCTCTGAGAAGAGATCCTCAATCGTGCGTGTCGAGTACAATCCAGCCCGAATGTTGCGGATGAAAATATAAAATTCACAGGCAGCGACAATGCGGTCGCGACAGAACCGGTCGATAAAGTTCCACTCGTCCGAGGTCGCGAGGCGGTAGCGGTGGGTCAGAGGACCGGACCGACCACAGGTCTGGCAACCGCCCTTAGGGGCCTGGTACAGGGCATACTGGGTCTGGAGACGCTCCCAGAGCAGATTCTTGTTGGTGACAGAGTTGCGAGCGGGCGAAGGAGGCTGCTGTGCTGCCTGGACCATGCGTTCGTATTCCCTGACCTGTTCTGGTGTGGCCTCCTCAATATAGCATGTGTTGGTGCAGATGCCCTCCGTAAGCTTTCTGGCCGAAATCCTGGGGTTCGATCCGAAACGCAGGCATGGCTCCACATCCTCATCCTGGCAATGTCGCATGAATGGCAGGCTGTGAATCTTAGCCAGACGAACCGTCGAACTCTGAGCCACAAACTCCTTGAACTCATGCATCAAATGTCCATCAATTGCAATGGTCGTAGCGGGCTCCTCTGCCAAGGGCTCTGGCACAGAAATCTTGTTCAGACCAAATAGTTGACCGAGATCGACGCTGCCGCTCGCAGGATCTGTCGATGAGCGTTTGCTCTGGGGCTGCGTGTCCATCATCGCCTCCATCTTTGTTTTGAGCTCCTTGAGCTGAGAAGTCTCGGCCGCAAGGCGTTCCTGAGCGTCTTTAAGCTCGAGTTCCAGATGCTTACGCGTTAACTCGAGCTGATGTCTTGCCCTGGCCTCCGACGCCACCATGCCGTTGGCCTCCTCAAACAGTGTGCGACTCAGCTCTTCCAGTTCGCCCTCGACCATCTCCTTGGCGTGCTGGAGCTCAGCGACCTTCTCGATCTCGTCTACGTACTTGTCGTTCAGAATGGCCAGGTCGCGCTGAGCACTCAAGTAGTCGTCAGTTTTTGCATCCAAGGCATCCTCGAGATCCTCGACCTTCTTGCGCAAGACTTCTGCATCAATTGCCTCGGTCGACGCACGCTTCTGCTCCTCTGCCAAACGGATGTTGGTCTGCTCAAGGTCCTCCAGAAGCAGAGTACGTTCGTTATGTGCCTCAGCCAATGATGGGATAATGCGCTCGCAGAGTCCACACGCGCGTGTGGCGAGGTTGGCGCAGACTCTATGACAAGGGCACTCGCCATCGATCAGTACAACTTCATCCTGGTCCTTGTTTGCTGTGGTGGTGGCAGTGTCGTCGCTCGGCGCTAGATATTCATTTGTAGGGAAACACTGGTCAATTGAAGGACGCCTTTCAATTATTTTTTTTTTTCATGTAGCCATACAAGGACTTGTGTTCCTCCATCATCACCCCTTCCTGCGTTATTAATCCACACACGGCCGATGCCCTCTTCGCCTCTTCGCCAGTGTTGTTTGTGCTCTCTTGTGTAGACTCCTTGTGTTCAAGTGTCGACGTGGATTGTCACAAGCCGACGAGCAAGTGGAAACTTTATCGTGGTACTTCAGACAGTATTCCCGTGGGCAGATGAGACAGCCCACCAGCAGGATGAAGATGAGGATGCTCCCTCCTCGCCATTGATGATGAGTCTGTTGCCTTTTGCCCTCTTCCGCCCTTTCTTGCATATGAAAAAAAGGTTTATTTTTGTATGCATTGTTTTTGCACGCGGGGGAAGAACAAGAAAGGCGTGCAGAAGAAAAGTAAAACACTCCACAGAACCAATCAAATGATAATTTTTTTCTTGTGCTGTACCTGAACCGTTGACGCCAGGAGTTGCAGCGACACCATGTCCATTGGCACCAGAGGTTGCGGCCGTGGGATCTGTAGGGGTGGGTTCCTTTAGGGCAGCAGAGGCCTTTTGCTGGGGCTCCTTGACGGTTTCGATGAGGTTGTGGATGCGGGAGTACAGGTTGGCGATATCCTTTGCGGTAACATCCTTGCTGACTGGCTCGGGAGCCGGGTGCATTGGGGCTTCAGTCATTATGATTGCGGATATAGTAGTGAGATTAGGTAGGGGCGACCAAGTAACAGAGAGAGACAGAGAGAGAGAGAAAGAGAGGGATGAGGAGGGAATGTGTCAAATGTAGGGGATGATGATGATGAAGGATGGAGATGGGAAAGCAGGTAAAAGACAAGGAACACAAACACAGCGGTCCAAACAGCGAACCTTCTCTGTCATCCCCCACACCCACGCAGTGAGCCTACCTGGGCGCGGGCTGTGAGCCATACAGCCATTCCTTTGCCCACGATAGCCCTGTTTTTTTATTTTTTTTTGCTCGTGCCCATAAAGTACACATTAAACGATCGTGCCACGCTACGTGGAAGTGCGCGACTCGATCATCCATAGCACGGGGACTTCTCTGTGGCAAAGAAGGCTTCAAAAGAAACAGTAATAGAGTCCTTCATTTGGATGCATCTTTGAACGCCTGAAATCTTGGGAGGGCTGCAATTAGCGCCAGCCAGACAGAATGGCACCTGCTCCATATGACACGACCTCTTTGGTTTATCACTGCGGGTCTTATATAACCATATAGAAACAGAACACGAGCTCCTTGCCTCGCGTGGGATGAATTGCAACGGTGGAGTGCATGAACTGAACGCAAAGCGGATAAAAATATTCATGAATGCAAGACAAATGCAGGTCGAACTGGAGTACTATTTGGAACCAATATTCAGCATAATCCGTATCCGTATAGACACTAAAAGGATACTTTGGACCCGTTTCTCGCATATAGACATGGAGATATATCTTTGACGACGGTGCATTGTAGTGTACAGGTATGCGAAGCAGGTCAGCCCTGAGCTGGTGCAATGAAGACCACTTGCTGCTACGCGTTACTTTAAACAGCAGCACCTACCTAGCGTGACTCTGCATGGGTCGCCATGCTTGCTCGTTGCTCTTGTCCTCTTTCCCTCTTCTGTTCGGTGGCTAGGAATTATCGTATAAAGGGTGGTTTTAAAGAGATGGCACACGGTAGTGGGATCGCTGCCGTGTCCAAGGCGCGCTATTCAGGTCGCCTGTCTGCAAAGATGAAGTCTAAACACTCTAGCATGCTATTCTATCACATAATGTCGCTGCGACAAACCAACTTAACGCCGATCACCATCCCAACACTTCTTTTTTTTTTTTTTGTAAAAGAGAGATAAAGATCGTTAAGTTGCCCAAGCGAGATTTGTTGCAGTCGACTAGGATTCGCTAGTCGCGTCAACTACGGCGAGTTGTTGTTTTGTACCCACATAATGTTTGTTCACTAACGCGCTGTATGATGGCTTTTTAATTTTGCCGGCTTGGGGGACAGGACTACTCAAGAAAGACATTAGCGTGTATGCTTGTGTCCAAGTTGTTTCTTTACCCTCACTGCCATTGACAAGACCTGGGTTTAGATTGTCCTTCACTCCTTTTTACACGCGGATGGATGCATTCGTGTGGAAGGGATAGGATGGTTAGGGACGCAGGAGATGAACTCCTGTCTTCCAAGGCAACGTTGCTGGTTCGTGCAAGTGCGCCCATCGCTGTATCTCTTTCTATCTCTCCACAGGAATCCTTCACAGTCCAAGATGGCGATCCTTGTCCCTGTGTACAGGATAATGGATAAGTAGATCGGAGAAACAATTTATCTTTTTATCAATGTCGCCATTTTTTGGACACTGCACTCTACTGCGCTATTCCGTCTTCGCTTAAATACCCAATTGCTCTGCCTGCCTTTCTTCTGCGCTATTTCTCTCTCTTACTTCTTCTCCCCGAAGCCAGCTTGGCTCCCCCCCTCCAGGTCACAGTTGCCCTTCTTTGGTTCCTCACTCTCGAATCTCATTCCTTGGTCTGATCCACTCTCCTCAACTCATCATCACAAACCTCATTCCACCATGCCACCCCTCCAGGGCTATGTGGCAAAAATGAGGGGCCAGCGTTACGACCCCTCCACACTCAAGATGGCTCCAACATCACCCAGTCGCTTCGTCGTTTTGCTCTCCTCCTTCCTCGGTGCCTTCATCGGTATAGCCATCATCGCCTTGCTCAGCTTTAATGTCCAGTGGTTCGTCGAGAGGAATGTCCCCGTCATCACCGGCTCCTTTGGGGCCTCAGCTGTCTTAATCTATGGAGCCATTGAGGCCCCTCTGTCCCAACCTCGTAACGCCGGTAGGTCACATCCCCATCTCCCAACGGCCTGACTCACCACCATCTCCATGATGCAATTGATCGCTTTGACCACCCCACAGGCGGTGTAACCCTCCCGCTGTCTCGGCCGTTAACATTTTTTCATTTCTCTTTAGTCGGTGGTCACATCCTGTCCGCCTTAATCGGTGTCTCGCTCTACAAGCTGTTCAATCTCCTCTCTGAAGAGACATTCGCCAAACTGCACTGGCTGCTCTGCTCTCTCGCGGTCTCGATCTCACTCTTTGCCATGCAGATTACGCACACGGTGCATCCGCCGGGGTCGGCCTCGGCTCTGATCGCCGTTACTGGAGGACAGGCGATCTACGATCTAGGATATTGGTTTGTGCTTTGTCCGATTGCGTTGGGCGTCGTGTTGATGATGGTCATTGCCGTGGCCGTTAACAATATCACTAGAAGATATCCGACCCATTGGTGGAGCCCCAAGACGAGGAGGATCGCAGTGGTGGATCAGGATATGTCGATGGCCATTGCTGATTTTATCTCCCCAAAAGATGAAGTTGATGAGGACGAGGGCGAAGGCAGCACGAAGGAGGGAGGGGAGAGCGTCCACAGCGGCCGTGTTGCGCATGGGGATCAACACACTCGCCCCTCAAGTTCTTCCTCAACTGACTCGCCCTCCACCGTGGGTGATGTACCCGCTCCTGCTCACACTCGAAGGCCGTCTCAGCAACATCCTCATCATCCTCCTCCTCATCATCCGGAGGGTCACTATGCGGTCTACTATGGTGGCGAGCGACATGAGAGGCTTCATGATGGCGAAATGATGCTTGCAGAATATTCGCACTCGGATGCACTCAACGACGTGGAGCATAATGCCAGGCGTCCGTCTATCCACGTCGAGATGCGTCGTCCTTCCCATGCCTCGCACCTCACAACCCGTCGTGCTTCCAGAACTGAGGACGAGCATCTCGCCACGATCGAGCAGTTGCAGCAACGTATCGCCCATCTCGAGAGTCAGCTGGCCTCGACGTCAAAGTGACCAGAAACTTGTTGATCACACTCCCCATTTTTACTCCTATACCTTACTTAAGCTTGGCATACTGCTACCTATCAATTACTTCTATCTACATAATAAATAATATAACTGGATAAGAAATCAGTTCAAGATAAACTGGCCAACTGTAGTCTAGTTTCAACCTCTGCCGCTAATCGCAGCACCTCCATCCAGCATGTTAAAAACCAAGCGAAGCGCGGCAGGCTTCTCATCCATCTCTATTTCTTCCGTCACAGTTCCGTCCTCAAGGAACGCTGCACTGTCAAAAAGTTCCTCGTCCGAGAGCTCGTAATGAGCGCGGGTTTGTTCCTCCTCTGGATTGAGATATTCGGCGACTGGCATTGGCTGACGCACTGCAAGCTGTAGGATTGCCTGCCCTAATATCTCCATGCCGTAGCTGAGGGTTACTATGGGAGGTGCTGCGGGCTGTTATTCGCGATCAAAGAGACGAGTATGTCAAAAGCAGTTCCAGATTGCCTCTGTGGTGATCGGGTTTCATGCTCTAGTGCTCCATGTCATGGCTTGAAGCTGACCGACTCGATATATATCCTTAACTTCCAACCTTGCCCGCCTCCACTTGGCCGATTGCAAAATCTCAGCTTGGTGCTGTCGGTAGCGGCAATTGAATGCGGTAATGATCCCAGCATCCGTGGGCTGAATCCTAGAAGTTGTGTTGGGTGTCAACTTTAAAATGACAACGTTTGAGAATATCAATCCTAACGTTATATGCGAAGACGCATTATCTAGCAATAGGAGGATGTTGCGGCCTCCCCATATAACATGATCGATCCTATTCGTTGCGGCTTCATGAAATTATCGAGCCACCCTTTGGAAAAGCTGAGATCCTCCGACGCCGCACCTTTTCTCCTCGCAAGATCTCTGCCTTTTTCGCGTATGAATTCGGTAGAAATCCGAACGCGCTTGACCGCCATTTGAAACGGCCATGCGGCTAGAGCATCCTCCAATTCTTTATCGGTTACAGTAGCACTTGCGATATCGGGTAGAACGACCAAGCCTCGTTTCTGCTAGAGTCCTTGGATGGACAAGACCAAGGCCAAGAGGATGGTGAAGACGGCCTCGACAGGACAACAGGGGTGCTAGCATGCTCACTGTGTTCAGGGTCCTTAAATCAAATAAAGCGCACTCATAATTAGATTAAAAGAATTAATTTTCTGAAAAAGGTTAACACGACTCAAACGCGACTCTAGGCAAAAAAAAAAAGAGGCCGCTCCCAGAGCCCGCTGGGGCCTTTGGGATATAATCAAAAATCTTAAAAACATTAAAAATCCCCAAAATACCAGGTGGGACTGGTTCCTACCGCTTGTGGTGCTTCTAGGGCTTGTTCTGGGTCCTTATGCGCTACGTGCTAGACCAATGTAAATTCCTTTTTTTTTTCGTGGCAGGGCATTCGATGTGGGTCCACACACCACACCGACTGGGCGTTTATTTGTATAAAATCTAATAGTGAGCTGGACGTACACTTATTAAACTAAATAAAACACTTCCGCTTTTCTCACTTACTTCTCGACCTTCATATACCAATTTATACCCATAATATAGATACTAAAAGCATAATATTACAGTATTTATTCAAAATGACAGACTTGGAGAGAGTTATAGAGGAAAGACAGACGCTCCTAGTGCCATGTTACGGATCATGCCCTCAACAACGTACTCGTGAACTTCAGGATTCACATCTTGAGTACCTTGTTGGTTCTGCGAATCTTCATTCTCCTGTTCATCCGATCCGTTCGAATCCTGAGCCGCCTGCTCGGCTTCATAGCGTGCCATTTGTTCGCGGTACAGCGCTGACTGCTGCTGTGCCTGGTTCTGGACGTCCTTAAGAGGAGTGTTCTCGCGTACGGGATGGCCGTCGTGTCCAAGACGGGCTCCGCGGCTTTGAGAACCGCGGCCGTGAATGCCTGGCGGTAGCATCCTGGCGGCAATCGCCAATGGAGGAGCTCTGCGTCCGGGCTTGCTCTCGGATGCCGCTGGTGGATGCTCCGGTGCAGGACTCGAGTTTTCAGACGATACGTCTTCGTTGCTTGTCTGATTCGCTAACTTTTGGGGCGAGATAGGTGTGGGGGTGGATTCAATCGACGCAGCATGTTTAGCAGGCAAAGTAGGGATTGGGCCCTCCCTTGTCCTCTCTTGATTGGAGGACAGCTCCGTATACGATGGTTGGGCAGGTAGTAGATCCGAATTGTTTTCGTTGGCGATGTCAGACTGGTTCGTTATAGGGGCGCTTGATGAAGTCACCATTGGCGAAGGTGTTGAACTTTCAGAGTGCCGTGAATCCAACACGGGGGTATCCTCGCTTTGTGTAATTTCCTTAGACTTTGGCTCGTTCATTAGAGTATCAGTATTGGAAGTTGGCGTTTGTTGCTGCGAGTCAAGATTCTCTGGTACATCCGTCCCTGGTTCTGTAGGGTTGACCTCAGCTGGCATATCTGCACTATCGCTGTTTCCTCTTTCAGTTATCGGCTCTTCCCGATTCCGAACGGCATTCTCTGTAATTTCCTTCTCGCCTACAGGACCATCCGCGATATCGGAGCGTCCGTTTCCATCCAGCTGGACTGGCGCAGTGACAACATGGTCCTTGGCTTCAGCGCCCTTTAAATCCTGCTTACCAACTGCTTGCGAGGGTTGTTCTACTGTTGCTGATTGCATTTGTTCCTCTGAGTGTGGTCCTCCTGCTGCCTGATAACGTCTTGTATTTTTAGGCAGGCGGTGAAGGTACCTATGGTGAGAAATTCTGATCAGCTCCTGCAGAGGTACACGTAGCCACACTGTATTCATGTATTCGCTAAGACAGCATAGCTTACCCATATCCAACATCACAGCCCAAGAGTCCTTCGCCTCCCCATTCTTCGGCTGGTATAATGACCACCTAATCAAGCAGCACAATTCGATTTCGTTCAGCAGAGCCTTTCCACAGAGCATTCCCATATAATAAACCGTTCGCTTTGAGAGTAAACGTACCTCTCGAACCTCATCGGCATCCACATTGTACACATATAGTGGCAACAGCTCTCCAATGTAATCTTCCACAAGGTCATATAGGTCGCCTTCGCCTCTTATAACTCCTAGAGGGGTTCCGATGATGTAATCCGCATGAGCGCAAAGGCCTGCTCGCTCTGCTGGCGAATCCTTGGCGATATCCTATGGCGGACAAATTAGGACATTCCTCAATGATCTTTGTCGAAACAGGGGTTATGAAATAAAGAAAAAAAAAAAAAAAAAAAAGCGGGAAGAACACGTCTCTGGGTGCGACCTACTAATACATGCCACACGATATCACTGATGGTATCAAAGAGACAGAACTGAATACTGCAGCCGATGAGTCCGTCCTTGCCATCTCCCCACTTGCGTGTCGGTGTCATCTCGACCTCTACAAATACGTTTAACAGATGCAGGATAGGCATAAGCAGTCAGAATAACCGGCCGCGGGGTTTTTTCCTAATGATCCATTGCGCCAGCACCAAAATTGCGTTGAGATAATTACTTCGCAGGGCTTGTTCTCTCGTCGAATACACGTCCAGTTTTATCGGCTTATTTTCGCTCGCTTGCATCTGATCGCGCAGAGTCGTGTCCTCTGTGAGCTACAAGATGAAAGGTTATAAAAGAAAAGATACGACCACTGTCAATCTCCTAATTGCCCGTCGTGAAGGAGTGTGCAGCATCCTGGTGCATAGGTTTGTGGAGTAATAGGGATTACCAGTCGAATGTCATTGACGGCCATGATGTAGTCAAAGTAAGGCCGAAGTCCTGCTTGAGAGGCGGGCGAGTTGTCCTTAACCTGGAGCGAGACATGGCATAAGGGATGAGTTACTTGTCATCAAACAGAGTGTTTTTATGTGTGGTGTTGAGTGGTTCGATGGATGGTGGTGTTTACCTTGAGAACATGGTATCCGTAGCGATACCTGCCGCTGTCTCCTGAGGATGCGTTTCCCATGCGATGATGGTGTGTAGTGATGGGCGTTTGTGGAGTGCGAATGAGCTTGAAGAGCAAAAGAAAAAAAAGGGCGGCAGGATGGAGACTTTCTTATTCAGCCCAAGGTTGCAGGGCGTGCGATCATTCCTCGGGCGCAGACCAGAGAACTCCTCTGGACCGGAGGGATAACTTGTCTCTCTAGCCATTAAAAGCCAAAGACGACCTGAATATCACAGAGGCAAGCTCTCGATGACTAACTTCAGTACTGCAGGTGCCATGAATATCATGCTGGATACCAGCCAGGTACCAGCCGGGTACCGCTGAGGACCAAGCAGCCGGACGAAGAGTCCCAGGTCATGTGACGTAGCGGAAGCACAACAAATATTTCCCTTTTGGGTGTATGCGAGCTCGTCTTTGATCGACCTGCTTCGACACTCCATTAGCTTTCCGTACTCTTCTTTCTTTTTCTTTCTACACATCATCGCCCTCTCTCACCATGTCCGCAATCCTCTCCACTATCTCGAAGATCGCCATCCCTGTCGGAGCTGCTGTCTCCTTCTTGCAGTACTCTATGTACGATGGTACGTATTTCCGGATCAGGCGCCACTAAACTTCCGGCTGGCTATTTCGGATCAGATTCCAAGACGGGGACGGATCAAACGGACAGCCCGTCGAGGGCTCGGGATCGAGTGAGAACCTCAGCACAGCGTAGCGTGCCAAATGACAGTGATTATGGTCATAAAGACTTTGTGGCAGGTTCCGGGAGAATAACAAGTACCACTTGCCTGAAGCATCGACCTTCGACTGTTTCTTTTTGTTCCGAAGCAGGAATCGCTCTCCCAGCGAGTGATCAGAGTGCACAGTCGCGGGTTTCTTTCGGCATCTCGCCCTTTGGGGTCAAGAACCGACTGAAGGCTTTGCTTCAAGAGCATTGATGTCTTGGTTCACACAGCCGCGTGGATACCGGCGGCAGATAACGGGCAGCGCTACCGATTTCAAACACACTTACAGGGGCTGCTGTCAACCATCGAAAGCCAGCCGCGACCCATCTCGTGAAGCTTGTCTTCATATCGCGTTTCTCTTTGACCACATCGCTAACCGGCAAGCCCTCTATCTCGCTATATACACAATCACAGTCCAGGGAGGTCACCGCGCCGTCATTTTCGACAGATTGGAGGGAGTCAAGCCCGGCCCCGTCGGTGAGGGCACCCATTTCTTGGTCCCTTGGTTGCAGCGTGCGATCCAGTTTGATGTTCGCACGAAGCCCCGCAACATCTCGACGACGACTGGATCGAAGGATATGCAGATGGTCACGTTGACCCTTCGTGTCCTCCACCGACCGGATGTCAAGAACCTATCTCAGATCTACCAGGGATTGGGACTGGATTACGATGAGCGTGTGTTGCCCTCGATCGGAAACGAAGTCTTGAAGTCGATTGTAGCCCAGTTTGATGCGGGTGAGCTTATCACCCAGCGTGAGTTGGTCTCGTCCAAGATCCGCGAGGACCTTGCTAAGCGCGCCAGAGAGTTCCATATCGAGCTTGAGGACGTTTCTATCGTAAGTCGCTACCGGTTGAGTTTTACCACAGGACAAGGCATAGTACGACTGAACTTTTTTTTAATGTCGTGTTTGGATCAATTTCTGTGTTCATTAGACCACTATGACCTTCGGTCGCGACTTCACCAACGCCGTTGAGCAGAAGCAGATTGCTCAGCAGGAGGCCGGTATGATTTCCTTCAGGATTAACCTTACATGAACCACAGTAATGGTTGGAAATGTGCGTTTAAGGAGAACGAGTACTAACATGTCTATCTTTTTTCGCCTCCCTCCTTTCCTCCTTTAGAGCGCGCCAAGTTCATTGTCGAGAAGGCCGAGCAGGAGAAGAACGCCTCCATCATCAGAGCTGAGGGTGAAGCGTAAGTCTTTTTTTTTTTCTCGCCTTGCATTTATTTGTGCACTGGTTATTTGTTGAAATTTAAATACCGACATTCGCGCTTTTCCTTCTCTACCCTGTTAGTCATGCTGCCGAGATCATTTCCGCGTCACTGGAGAAGGCTGGTCCTGGTCTGATTGAGCTCCGTCGTATTGAGGCATCGAAGGATATTGCCGGCACCTTGGCTCATGCCAAGAATGTCACCTACCTTCCCAACCAGAAGGGCAACAACATGTTGTTGAACCTCCCTGTCTAAACAAACCTGGTTCAGGGAAGACGTTCGGACGATTTGGTGAGGGTGACAGCATGGATTATATTTTTTCTTTTTCTTTTAGCATTTGTCAGGAGTTCAACGAGGACATGGCGACGAGGAATATCGCTTGCAGGAGATGAAGGACAAAAAAAACAGTGTACATTGAGCTTTTTTTTAGACAATATTATAAAAACGTCGTTTTTTTAATCTTTTTTTTTTTTTTGGCATTTTTGGCCAACAAGGCGCATGAGGTTTTTATTTGGTTTGGATGTCCTTGACCATCAGGCAATCAGGGATGGTGGGGGTGCTATGCGCTGACAGCACCATTGACACGGCGCTTGACGCGTACAAGCAGTCCCTTCTCAAGCGGGAGTGTCAACGAGGGTATGTATGTGGGCTCGACACTTGGATCGACGAGCTCAAACGTGAACTTTTGGGCCAGCATGGACATGATCGTGATGGCCTCGATAGTGGCGAATTGCTGTCCAAGACTAGAGACACCGAAAGAGCGTGAGTTGGGGAATGGTCAGTTAATTCATTTTCGGATCAGCACCATGAATATCAGCCGCAGCTGCAGTTGCATCTGCAGGGTGTGCCGTGTGGTCTTACCATGTGCGAGGTCCCAGGTGGAAGGCATTGAACTTTGCAGAAGAGAACTTCTCACCGCCTAGCCAGCGCTCCGGTTTGTACTCCTTCGCGTCCGGTCCCCAGATGGTGGTCTCGCGACCCATCGCCCAAGGGCTCCATCCGACACGCTCGCCCTTATAGACCTTGATTCCTCCTGGCAGCTCATCGTCTTCAACACAGGTCTTGATGTTCTTTGGCACTGAAGGGTACAACCTCAAGGCCTCATAGAAGCAGGCCTCGGCATACTTTTGCTTCTTGGTGCTCTCGTAGGTCGGATCTTGACCCTGAAGGATGTCATCGGTCTCCTTGACGAGCTTCTCTACGATATCCTTCTGTACCTCTGTTCTGTGCATCAGATAGAACGTCCATGAGAGTGCCTGTGCGGTGGTATCGCGTCCGGCGATTACAAAGTTAAGGACGCTATCGACCAGCATATCGTCCGAGAGGGCCTCGCCGTCATCGCTCAGGTCCATGAACAACTGCAGCAGATCCTTCCTGCCATTCGCGTCGGGGGTGTGAGTCGCTCCTTTTGCCTGCTGCTGCTCCCTGCGACGGTCCTGGATCAAACGGAAAGCAAAGTTACGGACGACTTCCCGGTCCTTTAGGATCTGTTTGTCGTTGCCGGTCCACCAGTCCTTTAGACGCCAGATCGGGGAGATCATGCGACCGGAGATGTTGTGGTTGAGGCGATCGAATGCGGCGGCGAACTCGACTTCTTTAGAGGGGTCTTTGAGACAGCCAAAGGATTGGCCAAAGGCGATCTCACCAAAGGAATCTGTGATAGGTGAATAAAAAGCACCCAAGAGGGAGAGAAAATCATGTGTTAGCGAAGGAGTGCCATGCAGGGCAAGGAAAAAACATATCCATAAAGAGAAAGTGCAGAGGGATTACCAAGAGTGTAGCAGTAGAAGAGCTGCTGAAGATCGAGTGCCTCGCCTGAATCAGCAGCCTTGTTGAGGTAATCGATGGCGAGTTGTCCTTCACGACAGAAGACATCGGAGGTATATTGACGGAAGGCCTTGACGGAGAAGATGTGGCTCGCTAGTTTCCTTTGCCATTTCCAGTGCTAGATGACGATGAAGAGAATGATGATTGTAACAGGATGGGTCCATTGTGAGTTGCTTGTAGGAAGAGTATATAAAGAGCATTTGAGCTCCACAGAAAACATTCCATGTAAGAGAGAAAGGTACGCACTTCGCCATCCGCGCCGAAGATACCTATGACAGTGATAAGCTCAAGTGGTTAGTAAAAAAATAAGCAGAGAGAGATGCCATGCCGAGTTCCGACTTGAAAGCGCTATGAGATCGAATTACCTTCACCCACGAGGGGCTCCAAACTCTGCTTGAACCTTGGTCCCTTCTCGTAAGCCCAAAAGTTCACTCTGAGGATATGGTCCAGCATCTCGGGGTCGTTGATGTTGATGATTCTTCCCACGCCTGGGATGGTGACTGCGTAGACCTTGCCATAGATCTGATGGTTCTTGGTCTGTCTCTGCAGGACCGTGTTCCTCGGCTTGGAAACCACGCTCCAGAAATTACCGATTAGAGGCAGGCCTGGCGGACCCTTGAGCTCGGGCCGAGGACGGACACCATAGACGGATCGACGGTATTTGAAGAGGATGAAGAGGAAGTAGGCGCCGAGGAGCTTTGAGGTGTTGGAGCGGGTGAGGAGTTGGGAGAGGAGACGGGTCAGGGTTGCGAGGAGCGCGTTGGTGGTGGCGGCGGGCCTGGTGGTGGATGTGAGAGCTCTGTCAGACATCGCTGCGTTTAGGTTTGTAGCGGTGCGGTGAGGAGTGCTGTGCTTGAGGGAGGTGTACGCTTTAAGGAAACGCAGGTGCTCAGTTGGGGGAGGGATGGATGGATAGACAGATGGATGGATGAATGAACGGGCGGATGTAGCTGTGTGTTTCTTTGTGAAGTGGATCTGAAGGATGGTGGAGGGGTGGGTGGAGGAGGAAGAGAGGACGGCGGAGGAGGTGGGGACGATATATTTATATAAGGAGCCGCTACCTCAGACGTGGGAGCCGAGTCCAGCTGGAGACACCCTTCTTTTTTCGAGTGCGCTCAGAAGAGCGCTCAAAAGAGAGCCCTCCAGCTGGTGTCACCCATCTCACCCACCCAGAGGGGCCACCAGCATCCAGTGCCCCCTCTCGCATACCCCATACCGCATACAGCCCCGTCCTCGATCGATCACAGAAAGACTGCAGCCTGTGCCATCATCCTCACCCCGATTGGGTTTTCCTTTAGCGCCCTTTTTTTTTTTCATCTCTTTCCCCCCTCTCCGGCTGCTGATTTTACCGAACCTATTGGTCTGTGTACCCAGGACCCACCACCATCCACCCCCTCCCTCGGCCGAAGGGTATTCAATTGCCCACTCCTCCTCAAGCGTCGTTGTCGGTCACTCCACACTGCTGTTCCACGCGTAAACTCACCAGCTAAACGTGTATTGTACATTCGTATTTTAATCCTCTCTATCGAAGCGGCAACACCGTCCTCCACACATCCACACGCCGTCTATTCTTGGTCTTGGTCTCCGAATGCTTCCTCAACTACTGGCTCCTTGACTTCTGTCTCTCTCCTTCTAAGATAGTCCAAAACAACAACCAAGACACTAGAGACACACAGATCCTGCCTAAATGAAATACCAACGTGTCTAAATCTCGAAGAACGTTCTTGAAAGACTAGCCGACATGGAATATCCATAAGGTCATCTCAGCAACCCTGTCTGCTTTCGTCGTAGCCAGGCAGTATTTTCCTGGGTGCGCTCCCTATGGGGGTGTTGTTGCGGAGTAGAGTCGATTTGCAGGAGGGATTCGTGTGACAGATTGCCTGGGACGCGTAAAGATAGCACGAGAGTGCACGTCGTTATGATGATATGAGTTAAATAAGGAGGCAATAGAGTTGTACGTTTATAACGCAGCAGCTGAGAATGTCCAAACGATCCCAGCGTTTATTGCCATCTTTGGGCATGGTGGGCTAAGTAGGTTCAAGCAGGACGCAGGCGAATTCATGCCCTTGATAATTCTTCTTTGGAGTCATCGACGCTCTTTTCCGGATCAGTACGTCGTCTCGACCTTTGATCCTCGATCACGCGAGAACGGGAGAGTGGCAGCCCTTCAATGAAGAGGACAAGTATATACATTCTTCCATCCGCCGCTTTTTTCGGACACATCTCAAACCTCAATAGCATCAAAGTCACGCTAGGACACTAGCTTCAGCGCCTTGGACTGGGAGACTGAGAGTGTATCTTGGAGAATTTGACTAATCTGCAGCAGATCCAGGTCGTTCCGTTCCAAAGCGTCTTCTACCATGATGCTGTGGGAGTCGATTTCGTGAGTGTCATCTCAAATTGATGGCCTCTCTGTTATGACGAACCAAGCATTCAAGGAGCTCGCCCGAGTCAACCCCCTGGTGCAAATGATACAAGTGGGATACACAAGATTCGGCGACCTGGCTCTTACTCAGGTGGCCAGTCCCTCTCCAACAATGCTCGCTCTACACATCCCTTGGTGGACCTCAATGTCGAAGGATGCACTCAAGTTACCGACCGCAGCGCCATATACGAGTACACAGTCGCCTACAAATATAAAAATAAACGGAAGCTCACAAGATAGTTAGACTAGTTACCTTTGCACCATGCAGGTTACAATCCAGGGCGTCTCAGCTGCAGCATTGCAGTGAGCGTTAGAAATAAACATTTTTAATTTCTAATGGACATGACAGTGGCACATGAAGATACACGGGGAGTGATAACGCGTAGAAACGCGTTTTTTTTTTGCTCGCGACTGAGGTTTTACTGGTTGCAGCTTGCGGATGAAATTCGATGGGAGGGTGCAGGCCTTATACGGGAAGTATGCGCCAACGTGTAGCAAAGTCGATCCTAGACCCACGGCGGAACACGTGTTGGTATATTACGCGTGTCTTATGTGCCTTGTGCACATTGGACGTCGATTACCAAAGTGGCGCCTATTCGTCCGAACACTGCCATCGTTTCATGGCCGCTGTCGATTGGGGCAAGCAAGACTCGATACGCATCCCAGCACGATGTGGCTTTATCAGCCTTGCTTGTTTGTGTGCAGCTGGGGGTTTCGCGCCACTAAATTCGAGCGTTTCTTTTTTTCCGCGCGTGCTTGGCATCAACAGCAAACCAGATCCATCCTTCATTCTGCACCCTCCATCCCACACCATGGCAGGACGACAGACTCATGGAAGGCCCTTCGCGTTCCCTACCACCCGAGCTGCTCCAAACCCGTCGCCTCTTTTCCCTGGAACTACTATGGCCCTCGGTAACGGCGCCTCCACTACTACCTCGACTGCTGCCTCGACTACTGCCTCGACTACTGCCTCGACTAATATCTCCACTGGCTTCGGAGGCTCGGGCGGCTCCACCACACCCGTGTTTGTGTCTCGCACGACAACCACTGCCACTCCCACGCTCGCATTTGGCGCCCGCGCGATAGCTACTACTCCCACGTCTGCGTCTGGTTCATTGTTCGGGAGTGCTGCTCCTACAACGCCAGTTGGCCCAACAACGACGACCGCGGTTGCCACGCCAGCCGCCACAGGACTCTTTGGGACTGCAGCGACTGGTGCTGCTACCGCTGCAGCTACCTCCACAGGGCTTTTTGGGACAGCGGTTACATTAGTCAGCAAACCCGGGATCACGCCCGAGTGCATCAAGTCGGTCCGTTTCCGCTTCCAATGGAACCCTTTGGATGTTAAGGAGGACAAGGACTTTTCACAGATGATTCGGTTCAAGGCCAATTCTGCGGAGGATTACCAATTCGAGTGCTCTGTCAAGCGGATTGAGAACTGTTACCTCTTCCGCCTCATCTGCCCGGCCGAGAAGGACTTTACCAGTTTAAAATGGGTCACCTCGGCGACAATTCAAATGTCGGACATACCAGTGTCCTCGAACTTTCTTCCGAGCTGGCCTGATAGTCGGATGATCAGCATTAGTGGTAAGGATGCTTAATGGCCTCTGGAGTATCATCTGTTATTTGCAATGGACGCCAAGGTCATGTCCAGAAACAAACAAATACAACCAACCATCGACAATTTTTTTTATTTTTATTTTTATTTTTTTTCCCTTGCAGGTCCTATTGAGGTGGATCGCTTTTCCAAGGACCTTTACGGCTTTCATAATGTCTATATCACGCTCTCGGATGCCGGTCTCTTTGAATTCTACCCCAAAGAAGCGAAAGAAGGCATGTACGGCCATTGCGACTTTATCCTGGAACGACTCCTGGACGACTGTGCTTCTCACGACGTGTTTTTCGAATTCGAAGTTCCGGGGATTTTTGGGGATCCACCATCAGAAAATGATTGCGAGGACTTTGATGAAGTAGGCGACGAGGAGGTCAAGGGCGAACTGGATGGCACTTACAGCAAAGTGAAGAAGGAGGACGAGGAGCAAAAACTGAAAGGCGAGAGCTCCTCAGAGGCCCCGAATGAGAAAGGCAAGAAGTCCACAGAAGACAAGAAAGGGAAAAGTGTAGCCTCATCCACACAGAGCCATCCCGTGTACCGTCATGCCAGGAGTAGCCGTCGCACCACACTGGAGACCGTTGGCGCTCACAAGATCATCCTCTCACACTTTGAGTACTTCAAGACCATGTTCTCGAGCTCGTTTGCGGAGGGCGGCCCTGGAGTCAAGAGGATCAAGATTACAGACACCGATATCTATTGCTTTCGCCTTCTGATCCAGTTTCTCTATCTGGGGCGGTTGCGGACGCGTTCTATTCCTATATGCTTAACCGAAGATCAAGCCAAGGACCATCTGCCGACTTGGGAAGACGTTTACCTCGTTGCAGACAGGTACAATATATCCGAGTTGCGGCGCATGGCTGTTTCACGAATCCTCTTTGGACTTCAGGCCAAGTGGGCTGTGCCATTCTTGTTCAGGACAGCATATCTCTTTGACGACCTGCGAGCGCCCTTGATCAAGTATGTGGTCCAGAACTGCATGGCAAGTATTGTCACAAAAGAGACGCAAGCGACGTACGAGAACCACGTAGAGTGCAGCGCGATCTTTGGCGAGATCATCACAGAGCTCTGGGCGACCAGGAAGAATTGATGAACACGTACCACTTGCCGCTTTTCCTCTCAAGCGGAGCAAATAACGGCCTTCGCCTTGAGCATTCTTCCCAACGCCAAAGGGCATTGTTCCGTTCCAGAGGCAATACCTGAGGATCATCAACATTTGAAATCAAAGTAACAATGGACGAATGTATACATGAATAATATGGATGATAGTAATAATAATAATAAAAAAAAATGCTCTTTTATATACAAAAAGGACTCCACCTCTCACTTCCAATCGGCTGATTAGACCGCGCCTTTAGTTTATTCGTCCTTCTTCTCCTCGGTAGTAGCAGCCTCGGCCTTCTTCTTCTTGTTGGCGCTCTTCTTCTTGGGCTTGATCTCGGAGGCCAAGAGCTTCAGAATCTCCTCATCCTCAATCTTCTTCTCGGTCTGGATGGTCTCGAGATCGATGGGGGTGTTGGTAATGCGGAGGGGACCGGAGGGCATGACGCAAACGGTGAAAAGGAACTGGGCGACGAACTCGCCGTCCTTCTCCTCCATGACGTCGTAGGCAGTGACGACGTTGTGCTTCAGGCACTCGAGGAGACCCATGCGGGCCTTGCGCTCATCCTCCATCTGACGGAGGTTGAAGGGGAACTGACCGAACTTCTTGGTGATCTCGGAAAGGACGACGCGGGAGGTCTGCATCTTCAAGGAGTAGTTGGTGGTGGTCTTCTTGTAGATGGTGGTGCGCGAGGCGTTGTTCTTGATCTTGCCGTCGCCGGTCGAGATCATGATGTCGACGCAATAGACCTCGTTCTCGGCAAAGGTGCACTTCTCAAAGTCCTGACGCTGGCCCTCAGTTGGGTTGAGGATGATCTGCTTCTTGCCGTCGATGATGTTCTTCTCCTGCTGGTGCGAGAGCATGCCCTCGACGGGCTTGCAGCCGTAGGCGGCGGCGATGCGCTGAACGTTGTCCGTCACGGGGGTGTTGGCGTTGCCGGCACGGATCAGACGGACGGCGGCCTCGGCGGCCTGGTGGGCGGCCATGAGGACATCCGCCTGCTTGCCCTTGACGGGGTTCTCCTTTGAGGCACCGACGACGAGGGTCGTGGCGGCGATGGCGCCGAATCCATCAATCTGGGCACCGAGCTCACTGTGCGTGGGAAAGGGGTTTCCAAGGTTCCAGAACGAAGATAAAAGAAATAAAAAGTAGAAACGAATAGACGATGTTAAAGCGAGTCCTTTGTGCGCCATTGGTTCTGGTGATCGACATTGGTCGCTGTGCAGTATGCAGAGTGGACGTACACCTTGACCATATCACCGTTCTTCAACTTCCTATCGCCCTCGGGATCGGAGGCCAAAGGAGAGAAATGGCAGATGGTGTTGTTGACAGAGATGGAGGTAGGGAAACCGACACCTAAAGAAAAGAAAACAACAACAGCAATTGTCCGTGTTAAGTCGCGAGTCTTTTTTTTTTTTTTTTTTTTTTTTTTTTTTGTTTCCAGAAGCAATTCGAGCAATTGAGACGCGCGTCCTGTGCATTTTTTTTTTTGCAAGCAAGCAGAGATCCACGTACCCTTGCTGATCTTGCCCTTGGTGTAGACAGTCTTGGTGCCCTCCTCAATGGCCTTGTCACCATTCACAGCCAGCTCCAAGATAGAGGCACCGTCAACGCAAGCAGCAGCGACCTGGGCGATAACACCTATTTGTTTATGAAACCAAATCGAGTGCAAGTTTTTTCTTTTAGTATATCGATTTGCAATTTGAACAAAAGACTGAATCTTTTCTCTCCTCTCCTTCCATGCCGTGAAGACTATACGATCAAAAAACAATTCAAAAAAAACACGTACGGTTGGTGATTTCGGCAGCGGCCTTGTACTTGGTGAGGACATCGGTGTTGCTATGAAAAAGACATATCCAAAGCGACGGGTATTTTTAGTTCTGCGGCCCTCGTATGCACGAAAAAAAAATTCAACACGCCGCGTTATATCTCCCTCCACAGGCAAAAAAAACAATAATAATAGTTGGACAGGTGGATAATGAAGCGAAAAGAGGAGCTGGTTCTGGTGGACGGTCTCTGTTCCAAATAGGTTCCAAATGAACGATAGCCCCCACTTCCTGGGAGAGCTGTATTGTTGTCGTGTTTGTTTGTCTCTTGCTCCCACCAAAAAAAAAAAAAAAAAAAAAAAAAAAAGAGTTGGAGAATCAAAGCTTCATTCTCGTGAGAAAGAGATTTCCTTACGCGACAGTGATGTCCTCAGTGTCCTGAGCGGCGATGGTGAGTTTCTTCTTGTCAGCGGTCTTGCTCATAGTGGATCGATTGATGGACAGGTGATGAACGAGAGAGGTGAGAGAAAGGAAGAGGGGGAAAAAAATATCACACTGGTTGTTTACCTGTGTTCCTTCCAGCCGTCACGCCCCCTTTCGTTGCGTCACCCGTAGAAAAAAGAAATTGGCTGGTGCGCATACATTCCAATACTATCACACGCCCATAATTACGAGCTCAATTGCATATTTTTAATACTGAGAGTCTATCTGGCCCAAGGTTAGCCCTTTGTTGCATTACACATGTGTCTCTCCATCTCTGCCTCTCTCCGTTCCTGCTAGTTCTTCGACCTGAATGTTATATTCCACATTGTGTTTAACCAAGAGTACCGAAAACGCGCTGCGGAAAAAATAAATAAATAGAACGTTGTGGTGTCAATCTAGCTTCATTCCGTCTTATCATGTAGCAACATCGACTTTGAACCCATGCGTAGCTTACGTTATGTCTGGCAATCGAAGGTCCAACCTCGTCATATTCAGCCTTGGAGTGGCAGTAGGAGTGGAACTCGCCCTAATTGATTGGATCAAAAGCACAAAGCAGGTCAGAAAAACGTCCATGAAGGATCGCAGGCGCCCTTTTTGTTTGACGTAGCTATCGCCATCTGCATACCGTAGACGCAAGCAAACTGCCTCCGAACCACACAGCATAACGCTGTTTCTTGTGAGAGATCACGTTCACCTCCATAGGAGTCGACTGCATCCTTCCGCCAGAAAGAACTTCACTGCGCTTGATACGGGTATCTGCAATGCGCTTGATGTCACGTTGCAAACGCTTGCCAAAATTCTCAAACATGGTCGAACCTCCAGACAACACAATGTTCTATTGGATAACAACATGAATGATGAATGAGACCAATGCCACGATAGTACATCCTATTGAAAAAAAAGGAAATCAACCACAACCATAGTTATATACCTTGTACAGTCCACGACGAACATCAATGGGTGAAGTCTGAACAACAGTATCAACGACCTCGGGAAGAGGTGTCAAGTAGTCCGAGCTGGCAATCTCTGGGTTGAAGAAGATTTCTGGTGCCAAGAAACGTTCGAATCCGACATCCACGGAGTATGGCTAATAAATAAAAGGCCTTGTCAGCACAGGAATGAACAATTGCAGGCGCTGGAGCGTAAGAGATGCGAGACTTGATTTTTACCTTGCCGGTGACAGAGTGCACGCCCTCGTACTTCTTGAAATATTTGTCGCCCTCCTGATCATACTTCTTGAACTCCTTGACGATATCAGGGCACACATATGAGTACTGCTCCTTGATCCTTTGAGCAACAGTTAAAGAGTCCTCAGCAGGGATCATGCTCTCACCACGCTCTCTGAGCAAGTTTTGGACAAATGAAGTCAAGTCGCGACCAGCAATAGGAACACTCTTGATAGAGGATCCAATGACATATCCCTCAGCCTGATAGATAGGAAAAACAACATGAAAGCATTAGAGCCGGCATCCATGCATTGAATCTGTTCCAATTGATGCATGTTCGGGCAAATAAATTGTTGAAGCCCATACCACGGGGATGACATGAGTAACACCATCGCCAGAATCGATAACCGTTCCAGTCAAGGTCTGCTCGCTGACTTTGCTCGAGGTCCAGGATGCAGCAAGGGCCAGCACAGCCTGGACAGCGATATACAATCCCTGAACATTGAATGACTCGAACATGATCTCCGCAGTGTTCTCACGGTTCTCAGGAGGGTTCAGTGGGGGCTCAGTCTAGAGGAGCAAAAGTAGATTTCAAAGAAAAGAGATGAATATTACAGCCAACGAAGCGGACAGCTATCCTTTAAAGAGCTCGGTTATTGGGCTGACCAGTCACGAAAGAACTCACCAACAAGAATGAATGATCCTCGGGTTCGCAGCGAAGGTATTTAAAGATACTCTGCTCCCAGTATCGTTCCATGTGGTCCCAGTTTTCGATCTGGCCATGGCGAATTGGATAGTTGAGGGCATAGGTCTTTGAGTTGGCGACAGCTTCGTCTCCGATGTAGAAATCAAGATCCTCGATACCACGCTTCGAGGCGACGTTCGAGCTCGAAGAATTGTTCAGGAACGAAGGCTTTGAAGGTACTGCGGGCCCTCCGGAGGAGCTACCGCCATCTCTGGTGGCAATAACTGTGGGCTGGATAAAGGAAGGGTCATTGTTTCCAGCGAAACCCATCTTTGTGAACCTATGTGGAGCACACAGAAAACGTCACAGCCTCCGTTAGACCGAAGCAAGGGTATCGTCTTAATAGATGGAAACGCAGCTCCTCTAATGGTGACGATGCATCTATTCATCCGTTCATCCTGCTGCAGTTGAGCGCGATATATTTGACGCGAAGAAAGGCGCAGTGCCATCGAGTGATTCGCAGGGGATGTTGAATGGTGTGTCCTGTAGGGTGACTGTTCGCTAGGAACGAAGAGACAGGTAGATGGCGAAGTGTTGGGTCGTGAGTGATGGTACACTGGCAGAGATGGTTCCTTACCCAGTACCATTGTCGATGACGACGGGAGCGAGACGCGACATTGTTGAAGAAGGAGGGATGGGTTGATGGAGGGAGTTGAAGAGGATAGAGTGATGGAAAGAATAAGTGAAATGATGTCACCGACTGAGGTCCAACCGTCCAAGGGCTTTTTGTCTAATGCACCCCTCCACACGAACGACACAGAGGGTCGCGATGTTGTTTACAACAGTGGCGACAGAGGACTCTCCGGTGACGTTTATCTTTTTTTTTTTTCCCTTGCATCGGGCTTTTTCACATGCAGAAAGTCTCCCAACAAAATAGGACTAAGAATGCACGCACAGCTGCATGCTGAACCCACACCACCCGCGCACGCATCTCCTCACCGCTCAGGGGAAAGTGGAACTCACTTCCCCACAAATGAAAGCGATTGGCATGCTTTGTATCCTAATGAAGTATATCCACTGAGGATGTCGCTGTCCGCACTGTAGTTGTATCAGTGGTATCAGTTGGGTCCCAAGAAGATGAGCTGGGTTGTGGCCACAGCGCTAGTCTGCCTCCATTTAGGGCAAAGGAGAGAAGAGTATGCTGGGGTTGCGAAAACAAAAAAAAAACCCATTTCTGCCAAAGTGACTTTAAAAGATAAACCATCGAATCATATCATATGGGGTTCTGCTGGGCGGGTTATCTTTTCCGGCGTTCATTCTCCACACCATCGCTCTTCCTCTTCTTCTCTCACCATCCCTCTGCCTCTCTTTCACGCAACACATACCCCCCTCGGCTCTGTCATCCAGCCTCTTGCATCCGTGGACAACAACAACAACAACAACAACTGTGTGCAATCTCATAGTCTCTCTGCACCCTTTCTGATTATACCCCTTCCCCTCTCTCACACTTACCCTACACCCTCACCCTCACCCTCACCCTCACTCTCACTCTCACTCGTACCCTCCCTCTTGCCCATTGGCTGACAAACCCTCAACCACTTCCCTTCCTCCACGCTCACCCACCTCTTCTTCACTCTCCCTCTCTCTCTTTCCCCTCTAACTTCTGCTGTTTGCTCAGCAATAGCTCACTTCCCGCCACACACCTCTCACACCTCTTCCCTCGAGCGCCGCTGTAGCAAAAAAAAAATCATCAAAACATGACGCAAAATGGGTAAAGTCCACCCTTCTCCCTCTCCAGCCACCCGTCGTTCTATCCTTCAACCCTCGTTTTCGTTGCAATATGGAACCCCCTCGACTGACCAGGGTATGAATGCTTCTTGTCACCCTAGTCTCCGAATCAACATCACGGGCATTCCATCGCAGGGGGCCAAGTCGAGGGTTGAGACCCAGATCAAGCTAGGCATTCAGCTGGTCAATCACCAGAACGACCGCGTCGGCGCCTGGACCCACATCAAGCTACCCGAGTATATGGTAGCTAAGGAGAAGAACAAGCGTATCAACGCAAAGAATGTCGGCAAGTCTCCTCTCGTTTGTACTCCATGAAAAAACGTGCGTCTGTCCCGTGTGACGGATGCAAATTTAAATTTTGTCACCCAACAAAAACGGTATGGATCTTTCTTGTCTGTGCTTGAAACTGACCTTGTAGCTCGCACTCAAAAAATTAGGCCCTGAGGTGTACGAGGCATTGAACAATGGGACGTGTCTTAGCCTGGAGGCATCAGTTGTCTGCCAGAGTGATAGGAGCAAGATCATCCAGACCTGCACAGGATGTGTTCTCCGCGAACGGAAACGCACTCAGCGCAAGAAGAGCCTCGGCAAGAAGAAGAACGGACTCGCCGCAGGTCCCCTTGCCCACCTCGACGAGGATAACCCTGAGCAGATGGCGCTCGAGCAGCGCAAGATCCTACTCTTCAATTGCACAGAGATTGCCGAGTTTAGCTCGGGAGAGTTGATTCTGCCCACGCGCATCACCTGCTACTGCAGGCACCATGGCGAGAAGCTCGGATTCTGCATCCAGTTCTTGCTCCGAGACTACGCCAACAACGTTGTCGCTGTGGGCGTGTCGCCGCCCATTATGATTACTGATGACCACAAGGCGTCCAAGGTCAAGAAGCCAGAGCAGGGTGCGACTGGCGTGCAACACAAGACCTCGTCCAAGAAGGCGACCGACCCATCCAACAAGGTTGTCACTCTCACCCCTCCCAGCTCACCGACGACGCCAGGAGATGAGGTGGAAAGTGAGGTCGACATGGGCACCGGACAGGATGACGATGAGGAGGAGGAAGAGTCCGAAGAGTCTGAGATGGACTCGTCCTCCTCTAATGCTTCACCTTCACCGCTTCAAACCTCAATGGATATCAGCCACTATGACCCCAACAATCTCTCGATTGTCGACCTCATTTCTCAGTTTTCACAACCGGACGATGCGCGTCAGGTCCCATCGCCCTCTTCACCAATCTCACCCACAGAGCGTATCTCTCAGGCATGCCAAACCACACCCTCGCCAGACTACCCGCCAACGTCAATGGATAGCCAGCAACAGTTCCAAACTATGAACAGCTTTATTTATGCTTCGAATAACGACAGGATGGTTCCTGAGCAATTGGTCGATATCCCCATCTCACTTGCACCCGCAACATCCGCTCCGCTCGACCGCGTGAGGGACAACGTGAACCAGCAATATCAGCTACAACAGGATCAGGAACGTCAGCTGCAGCAGCATCAACTTCAGCAGCAACATCTTCAGTTTCAGCAGCTGCAACAGCAGGCATTATTCCCTGATGCATTTAACACCGCAGCTACGGTAACTTCCTCGCCCATTGCGCGTCGCACAAGTACTTCTGGCGGGGTGGGCCCTGTCAGACGTCGACGAGCTCCTACGGCAGCCAATCCTTTGGCCTCCAATACAACCCAGCCCTCGATGACCGCTCCACTCACAGTCAACCCCCTCGTTACACCTCCCGTAATCTCGCCCACATCCATGCCCTCGATCCTCGGTCTCTCCTCGACATTAGCCATGGTACCGCCCGGCTTCATTGTCCCAAGGATGACAAGATTGATTCCTAACTCAGGACCGTGCTTTGGTGGCATTGAGGTCACAATCCTGGGTGCCAACTTTTACGCAGGATTGACCGCTATGTTTGACGCAACACCAGCACTTCCCACACAGTTTTGGTCCCCCAACACCCTGATCTGCATTTTACCACCAAGGATTCAGCCCGGCACAACGGTCGTCACATTTAAGGAACATCCAGCGATCACTTTGGCTCAAACTGGGGATGTGAACGAGATGATGCTGTTCACATATGTCGATGAGAGCGACAAGGCTTTGATGGAACTTGCCCTTCAGGTGGTTGGATTAAAGATGACAGGAAGGCTCGAGGACGCTAGAAATATTGCTTTGCGCATTGTTGGAAGCCAGGTAGCCAATGGCAATCAACAACAGCAGCAGCAGCAACAGCAGCAGCAACAAGGACAGCAGCAACAGCACCAACAAAACTCGCTCAACTACGCCAACCTTGTTAGAGATCTGATCTTGTCATTTGGAGATCAAATTTCGGATACAGAGTTTCAGGCTGGCCTTGAGGACAGGATTCTTACCCTTCTCACGGTGCTCTCGGAGCTGCCAGCCCCTAGTCATGGAGTCATCAACCTCCATCGACGCGACACTGGACATCGTCTGCTACATTTCGGAGCAATGAAGGGGTTTGAACGGTTGGTCGAAGCCCTTGTTTTTAATCCAGAAATCGAGATCGATGCCCTAGACATGAATGGCTACAGTGCGCTTCACTATGCATGTTGGCGCGGAGAGGTGGCAAGCGCCAAGCTGCTGATCGGACATGGTGCGGACGTAATGTTGCGAAGCGTTCATGGTGTTGGATGTGTGGACTTGGCTGGAATGAATGAGCCAACAAAGACAGCTGAGCTTGTGCAGGCGCTAAGGACCAGCAATAGCTGGGTCGATGCTGGAGCTCAGGAAGTCGATGGCTACGAGTCTGCCCAGGAAGCCGAGGGCGAATCTGAGGTTGAAGAAGAACTCGAGGCATTGGATACTCTGGAAGATGGCGCGGATAGTGGTGTCTGGTTGGAGCACTTTGCCACAGAAAGCGATACGCTTGAGGAGGATGGGAACGAGGGTTCTTTTGATGCCTCGAGTCTTGTTGGCTCAGAGATCGAGGACCTTGCCTGGATCGACCGCGGCGAATGGATTGGCGAGGAAATGTCGGATGACTCGAGCGACTGGAGTGGTAGCGACTCGAACAGCCAGGACGATAGTCAGGAAGAGATTTACAAGGCTGACAACGGCGACATTTTCCAGGCGCCTTCGTCTCCAAGTCTGATCCCCATGGCAACCCCGCTGGCTCAGGATGCAAAGGACGCACAGGCAGCGGAGATGGAGAGGAACTGGCTTCAAAAGACGCTGAGCCAGCTCCAGTCCTCATCGCCAAGCTTCGACTTTGAATTCTTTAAAGCCCTGAACCAGATCCTGCCAGAGAAGGGCGCCTTCTTGATGAACATCCCCAGCATGCCGACATCGATCCAGGCCTTCAATGCCAACATCGGTACCTACATGCCCTACAATTTCAGTGGCAAACAGGAGGTCGCTGCGAACGAGCAGTCGGTTGAGCACGTCACTGAGAAGCAGCCGCTCCGTCATGGACGCAGCCGGTCTATCGGCGCGGAATTCGTATTGGATGAGCAGGCCATTTCGCACGAGTTGTGGACAATGCACTCCAAGCCCGAGAACCGGACTATTAATAGCTCCGTGGTGGCTAATCTAACCCCTACGGCAGAGGAAGCACCGAGCCGTTATCTGAGTGTCTACCACCAGCCCTTCTCGGCTACGTCTGTCTTGCAGCAGCCGGTGAACAGTTATGCAATGCCATCACAGGATTCGCCATATAGCCCCTTGATGCTGACGACGGCCCCTGGTCCGAGCACTGGATGCAGTGCAACGGTGACATCACCGCTGAACAAGGACAAGGCCCGACGCGTGTACCCACCCATGGAACCTGAACCTCAGCAGCCGACACCGAGCTCTGATGTGGGCGAGTCATCTGTGGTTCGAAGTGGCCGTAGGCTCATTACGGAAATCGCGAACAACGGAGCTGTAGTTGGAGGCGCTGCTGTTGCGGAGAGAGCCGTCGAGGCTGTTGGAGAGAACCGACACATTCAAGAGCTGAGGGCTAGATATCACCAGAAGATGAGACGACTGAAGAAGGACAAGATGCTTTTCTTGTTCTGGGTTCCTGTCTTGCTAGGTAAGCAATCATGTCGTGCCGTAGCAGATTGCTTTATGTTGCCTCGTGTTACACTGTTCTAACATGCATGTCTTATTTTTTTGCGAATATAGTTATGTTGGCATTGACTATCATCCGTATCGCCTCAACGTTTGATGTTGCCAGACAGTGGACGCACGGGCTGATGAACCTCGCTGGCATCCAGGTCTAAGGAACGCCACAAGACATCTTTATCTTTATTTGCCAGCCGCCTTTCATACCTCTGGCGCGTATTCCCCTATTTATTTCACCTTGCATACTATTATGTTTTCTATGTCTAGTTTGCCTTCTTTTTCTGCTTCTTGTCTTTCTAGTATTCATGATAATCCTTTGCTTCTGCTTGCTGTGCCTATTTGTAAATGTATGTGCTTCGGCACCAATAAAGAGCGATATTTGTTGACATAGAAATGACACATGGCGAAATGAAGGGTTGGTGTTAGCGTGGGGCTCGCGTGCAGCTGCATACTTTCTGGGGTCGCAGCTTCTTGTGCCAACGAGCAAAGAAAGCTCCACTCCACTCCCATTTACTTTTTTTTTTTTTTTTTTTTTTTTTTCCTCCATCAGCTATGTATTAATCTTGAATCCCACCAGTACATCTCATCCTCTCTCTCACTCTCCAACTTGAACCGATTCCCTTTTTTTTTTGTTTTTTACGTGAGCGCAGCACTTCATGACAACACACTCCAACAGCAGCAGGACTGTTTCCCCGCTCGAAAAGGTGCTTAGTCTACCCGAGCTTCAAGCTCTTGTTGCCCAATACCTCGAGCGCGAGGTCCTGGCACTCTGTGCCCGAGTCTCGCACCAATGGCACCAAGTCTTTGCCCCCTTTCTCTGGCGAAAAGTCCTCTTCCGGGTCCCACAGGATTTCTCGCTGTACGGTCGGCTGGTTCAGATCCTTGACCTCTATATGGGGAACATCCCCCAGGCCCAACGGGATCATATCCGGTACTGTTGTCCCCATCTCCGGAATGTGCATCTGCATTTTCAGCAAATGCCAGTCGACTCGCTGTGGCGGCTGTTCGAACCAGAGGACGGGAATGGGTTTGTGGGGGCAGGGATTGAGGTGTTAGAGATCTATGTGGCCGAATTCGAGGTCATCCCATCAATCTTGCCGTGGTTGACATATGTGAGGAAGATGGGTTTTTTGAGAGGGCTAAAGAGTTTGACGGTCGGGAACGGGCAGGCATTGGATGAGGAAGAAGGAGGAGGGAAGAGGAGAAAGCAGATTGGGGTGGGGGATGTGGTGAGGTATTTGGAGACGTTCCCCGAGACAAGGGCGTTGTGCTTTGGGAGGATACCGATTGGTGAAACGAGGCGGTCGGAGGAGGAGGAAGAGAAGCGGGTGGAGGAGGTTAAGTTGGAGTGCAGGGACGAGAACAATGGGCATGATCTGGATAAGCGGCAGCGGCACGAGATGATGGAGGAGAAGGAAGGCGAGGCAGGAAAGAGCGACAATCAAATGAACGCGAATACGAACGCGATGATAGGATCGAGAGCCGTGGGCGCGATGCCATACCCGCTCCAGGATCTGGATATCTACCCACGGACAGCCTCTGTCCTCTCGAAACTCCTCCACCGCGCCCAGAACCTTCGCAAGCTTCGGATTCGCAAGATCAAAGACCCTCGGATCCTATCTATCATCGCCCGGTCCTGCCCCAAACTTCAGACCTTCCGATACATGGGTCGGGGACTTTTGAGCCTTCCCGATTTTGACTGGCCGACTTTTCTTCAGGGCTACTCTCAAATGGAAACCTTGCATTTCGAAGACGTGCTCGTCACAGATCGGGCAGCACTGACGATCGCGGACGTCTGTGCGCAGAATTTGCGGTACCTCACGATCCATAATGGAGCCAAGATCGGCACGCAGGCTTTGCTCGAGATGTTAAGGAAGTGTGAGAGGTTGGAGTGGGTGCAGTGCACGGCGGATTTGATCTTGGGGGAGCTCTTCTTCAAATGCAACGCCTGGGGCTGTTACGGCTCCCTTCAAGTCCTACGGCTCTTTGGTGTAGAATTACAAGGCCTCGACGAGAATGAAGCCTTCCGGACCAGGATCCGACAACTGCCCCGTCTAAGGTCATTAAGCATCCGAGGGACGGGTATGAGGATAGAGTCGTTACTGGATGAGGATGAGCTTGCGAATACTGGGAGTGCGGTAGTGATGGATCCTGATCCGGGATATTGTTATCGGTATCTGTTGGATATTGTGATGCCACGGTTCAAATGTCGGTTGATTACGTTGCCGAGGTTGAAGGTGTTGTTGGCGTTGATGCCGAGGGTCGAGTATATTAATTTCCAGAACGGTTATGACGAGGAGGCACGGGAATGGTTGCGGACGAATCGGCCGAACTTGGATATGGGGGTCGTGGTCTGGTAGGGACGCGAACGTGGGTGTGCATAACAGATAAAATAAAATAAAATAAAATAAAATAAAATAAAATAAAGGTTATCCTGAACGATCTCAGGAACCATTGCTATGATTCATATGATGATCTCTCGGATGCAGATATAGAAAACTATATCGTTTGCGCGCTGGTGCTGTGCAGGCCACGACTTCTAGCTCTGCGGTACAACTCTCTGCGCTACATCCATCATTAAATCAGCGCCATCACCTCCAGCTGCTCCTACTCGTGACTTTCTTTTTTTCTTTTTTTTTGGATCGAGTGTGAAAGCTCGTTCTCACAATCGCCACTTTCCTCTTCCGCTAGCCCCTCCTCTTCCTTTCAAGCTCAGTTTCGCCAGCCATGTCCAAGGATAGCTCTGTCGAGGATGCACCGGCCATGACGCCCCAAGCAAGAGTCCTTTCGATGCCAGAGCTCGCATATGTCATCAGCCCTTACCTCGCACGGAATGATATCTGTGCCATGATGAACATTAACCGAACCTGGATGGAGCTCGGGAGTTTCTATCTGTACGAAAACTTAACCTTCCGCGGCGACCAGAGCATTTTTTACATCTCAAAACGGTACCAGTATATCAAAAGCCTCGATTTCAAATACGTCGGATGGAACCGTGTTGAATCACTCCTCGGCAATTGTATCAACCTGAGGTCCCTTACTTTCAGCTATAGAACCTTACGGTTCTCAGAACTTCAAGAGATCGTGGGATTGGCGCCCCGTCTTCAGGACTTGCACATAACCTTGTGTCATTACAATACGGAATCAGTATGCCTGCCGATATCTATCGTCGCGAGGCTCACCGACCTACGAGAACTCGAGTGGGAATCCTTGTCCGAGATACGCGTCGATGATGTTCTCTTCATCGTCAAGTCTTGCCCTTATCTTCACACCTTGATTTTGGGTGCGATTACTCCTGTCGAGAGATTCAGCAATATCGGAGTCATGAGAAGTAGAGCTGCCGATCTCAAGGACCTCGTAAGAGTGGACGAGAGTGGGTGGGCGAGCATGTCGCTTCAATCATTGACTTTCAACTATCCGCGTCTGGAAGGATGGTACCCTTCTTCCAACGGCCCAGATTCTGTCCATCCTTTCATCCGCCGGTTTTTTCGGCATGTTCCCAACCTCCGCAAAATCGGAATCTCCTGCCAACCTAGCGATAAAAGCTTCCAGGCCGCTGATTTTGACTACATGCGTGCTTCCTCGCCGCTCGCTGAGGCGACCAAGCGGCCCTCCAAGCAAATCTTCACCGCCTGGTGGTAGTAGAGAAAGCAGACCAACAAAAAGACGAGGACGTGCGTGTTTGCCTGGTGTCAGTCTGCTTATAGGAGTCTTTGTCGGCGTTTGGAGCAGCCGCAATATGCACCACAAAATAAACGCCCTGCATCTCATCTGGTTTAACAACTCAGAGGAGGAACGCGTTTTTTTTTTTTAAGTTTGCAGTGCAGAACCTTTTTTTCGTAGAGTCCTCGCCAAGACCCAAATATTTTTTACAATAAAAATCAATTCAAAAAAACCCCGTTAAGCCACTGAAACTCAGGACAAAATGTTCCCCAAAGAAGCAGTCCCTGTATTTTCAAATTTTTAGAATAGGAAATCAATTCAAACGCGCGATGGGAATTTTTTTTTTTTCGCCTGCGCCCATCACCATCATCTCTCCCTCCATCCCTAAGCGGCTTCTAAGGCGCGTAGCCTATGTCTGGGCGGAAAGACGTATCTACTCCTGCTGGATCCCCTGTTCCCAAGGGGCCCCTCGTCACGTCTACAAAGACCACATCCCGCAAGACCCAGCTTCTAAATATTTCGCCCAGGAGAAGCACGGCTACGAAGCCATCGACGATAATAGTGTTGAAGCTTAGAGGCGAAGAATAGAATGACCACAACTTAATTTCAAAAAGGTCCGCGATGGGAGTATTGTAGCTCCATTCAAAAATATATCCCTTTTCGGGAGAGGAAAAAAAAACCTGGGCGCTACTTACTGGCGAGGGACTATAAAGTGCGGTTCTGCATTTCTTGCTTGGTCTCAAACGAATCCGCATGCGAGTCAACAGCTCACTCAGGCAGTGGCCTCTATGCTTCCGAGCTAAATAATGCAGACCGATGTACCTCCTGCGGGACCATTGCCAATGTCGACAGCGAGAGATCTTTTTCCTCCTTTTTTTTTTTTTTTTTTTTTTTTTTTGGTAACAAACATACAAAGGACTCAATGAAGATATGCCGCAACTTCTGAAGAACATGCGTGTTTTATTAATGCTGAGTCTATTATACATTGGATGCCGAAGGAAGCGATGAATATGAAACAAAAGTAAATGAGCAAAAAACGATCTCTTCTTTTGTACAATGGTGAGATGATATACACTTGATAAAAATAAAAGAACAAAAAAAAAAAAAAGGTCAAAAACATGGATACCCTCCTCATTTCTTGCCGCTATGAGTCTTGGATTGTGCCATAAGACTCTCGTGGAATCCATCCATTTCCTTGCCGATATCCAGCTCCAGATGAGACACTATCGCCTCTTCGCCGCGTTGCCCATCCTCCCGGCCCAGATCATTCGCTTTCCCATCCTGGTCTCCGCTGACCATGGGTTCTCCCGAATTATGGTGATGAACCCTTCCGCTCGCAGATGTGGCGCTGAACAGAGGCGAATGGAGCGGCGTAGGACATGCTGACGAAGGTAGCTGCGTAGAGTCCGTCATCAAGTCCCTCAAATCCGCTAAACTCGCCATTCGACTTGCATCTCCAGAGTTCCTTCCGTTCTTGGAGCTCGAGATCCCAGATCCACCAAAGCCCTCCAAACCGATCCCTAATCCTGCATGAAAGTCCATGTTTAGTCCTGATCCTGCCATATCTGACGTTTGCTGGGTTGAAGATACACGGGATAACCCTGCTTGGAGGCTGGATCGATGTATATGTGCTGCGCTGCTCCCGGCGCGTCGTCTTCTTCGGAGTGGGTCTCGATTCGTCGCTAAAACGTTCCCGGTAGAGGGGACAGAGGCAGCGAGGAGACTGTCTGTCAACGAACCAGCGAGGGCAGCATGGGCTTTGCTTTGCAGCAGACGATCCTGCACACCAGGAGAGACGCCCACCCCCTTCATACGAGTGCTGCCGTCTCTACGTGTGAGGCCGGATAAAATGTCTGATGCTGAAGACGACGCACGATGCTTTCGGACACCAGGGACTTTCCTCTGAAGCCGATGTGATTCCTGAAACAACTGTTGCTGTTGCTGATGCTGATGCTGTTGGTGGTCTGACAACAAAGTCGCCGGCATTGTCACGTTTCCAAACTTCAGTGCGCCCTGTAATCCCACATACGGCGAACTGGGTCTACGGCTTCTTCGGAAAGTACCGATAGGGACCCGCTCCCACCGATTCAAGTCCTTGAGGATTGTTTGCGAAATCTCAGTGTCACCCTCTTCTGCGTCTGCTCGGTCTGGAGACGGCGACCTTGACGAGGATCGGCCGTACAGGGCAGATGTGTCCAGCAAGTCGTCCATAGGCATCACATCAATCTGTTTCGGTTCTTTGCCCTTCAGATAGTGCTTACTTGTGCGGATTGTGTAATGAGTGCCAGATGGGCCGATATTCCGCGTTGTGGGATCTATAAATGGTAGTGCCCCCTTGGAAAAGTCATAAACGCTGGTTGTTAACTCAGAAGCGGAGGAGTTTTCGATGCTGGCAATGACAACGCTGAGCGGCGACTGGGACGCGGTGGACGGTGCGGTCGAGATTGATGATATGGTCAAAGAATTGACAGAGCTAGATGGGAGAGTGGATTCAGTTTCAGAGGTCGGGGCAGTTCCTGAGTTCAGCAAGCTACGCACTTCGGATACAGCACTGGCCTGGGAGCTGCCCATAATGTTGGCAGTGGACAGCCGCCTACGTTTCCCTTGGTGCAAAACGATCTATTATGATCAGAAAAAGATATGGTTAGTTTTGAAATTAACTCGCCAAGGAAACTTGAAGTGTAAAAATAAAATAAAAAAAGATGCATTCATACAACACACATACCTCCTTCGTCTTTTGATCGTCACCCTTTCGCTTCCTGATCTCTGTGCTATGCATGCCTGGCGACGCGTCGGCTACAGTATCGCCACTAGCTTGTCCATCGCCCCGTGGCGCCGCCCTACTTGAATCCAATGCTGCAGGTGCAGCTTTACTGTTACTGATGATTCCACCCAGTGCCTTTTGAGCCGCTTCCTTGAACGCATTTGCGCCGCTGCTTTGAAGGCGCGATTGGTTCAGCATGGCCAATTGAGATTCCGCTGCATGGGCCTTTGCAAAAGGACTCAAGCCTGCTAAACTTTCTCCTGGGGCCAGTCGCGGTAGAATGGGCTGCACGGGTCGCCCACCAATTGTTGGCACAGAAACGATGGACGTCAGGGGTTTGTATGATGGATTGTTGGAAAGCATCTGGACTTTGCCCTGCATCCTCTGACTCGAACCACCCGATTGTATTGACAGCAGCGAGGTATGTTGGTGGTTATTTGGGCCAGAAGTTTGAGCAGGCGTCTGGAAATTCTGAGTGTCAGCCCCAGTAGTGCTTGGTAATGAGGGCGATGCTCCCATAATATTTCCTGGTAACGTTGGGGTATTGGCGGGTGTAGGAATAGAGGCCGAGTTTGAGTCCGAAGGGGTGGGAGTTGACGTCAGCGATGCAGTCCACATCACAGCCGACGACTCTGGAGATACTGATGGAGCTGACTTGGGTGATACGTCGGATGGAGCCCTAACTGCGCTGTTCGTGTCGGGAATATCGGTAGGTGAGGCGTTTTCACCACTCCCAACCGATGAGAAAAGGGAGCCGTCCAGCGATTGTTTCGCCGCCATGCTCCCCGCCATACTCTCGGCGATGCTGCTTGCGAGTGAGGCCGCAAGCTGCTCTGATACAGCATCCAGGTCCGGCACATTCACATCGAGCGGTGGTAGGAGGTCCGAACCCGTCAGCATGCCTGCGATCTGCAGATCCTGGCTTGTTTGAATCTGTTCCTGAGATGGATGCTGTTGCTGCTGTTGATGTTGCATTTGCAGCTCCTGTTGCTGGCGATGGGTTTCCTCATAGTGCTGAAGCAGCAACAACTGCTCCTGCTGCTCTGGAGGGATCATCAGGAGGGCCTGCATATCCGCTTGGACCCCTTTCAGCTGATTAAGAATGTCCTGCTCGTCCACCTCGTCGTAGTCGTCGTAGTCGTCGTCGTCGTCGTCGTAGTAGTATTCGCCCTCGTAGTACTCGTCCGAATAGATGTCTTCGTCTCCACCAAAAATATCCTCTTCCTCGTCTTCCTCATCTTCAGAACTCTCAAAGGGGTTTCGGCCTGGATCCGAGTCTTCCTCACTAAGGACATCAAGCAAGCCATGCGCCTTGGCTAAGAACAACCGCTCTTGTTCTTCCAGACGCATCAACCCCTCTTCGTCGATCAACTCTTCCGATCCCTCGCGTTCCAGAAGATCAACTTCATCGTCCAAGTCCAACATATCATGGGGATACAGCTCGTTCTCGGAGTCCGTCGCTGAGGACGAAGAATCCGAGCTGTCCGTCGTAATGGAGTTGATAGACGAATCTGAGTCGACCAAAGACTCATCCTGCTCCTCCATGTCGGAGTAGTGAAATTCGTGGGGGCTGCTGCTGCTGTTCACCTCATCCTCTTCGTCAGTACTGCTGAAGTTCAGACCATCATCCGAGAGATCATCCAGATCTTCACTCAAGATGTCACTCAGATCTCCACTCAACTCGTCGCTCAGGTCCCCGTCTCCGAAGATATCATCCTCGCTATACACATCAGATGGAGCAGGCATTATAGGCGTTGCATGGTCTTCGCTCTCGTCACCACTGTCTATAGCGTTTAAGGTCATAACATCCTCAGCAACCTCGGGGTCATAGGCGATTAAAGGGAGCTCGGCTTTCGCTCTTACTTTGGTCGAGGGATTGTAGGTCGCGGTTAGCTTTCTGGTCGCTACTGCGGGAGTGTACAGTGCCATCTCGTCCTCACGGCTGACAATAAGAGGGGGGTTCTTTTGCTTTCTAGGCCTGCCAGGTCCGCGCTTTTTGAGCGTTACGAGCTGGTCGCTCTTTCTAGACGCAGGTTGGGACCATCCTTTGCCCGCGGTAAGTCTGATAGGTGTACTAGGGTTAGACGTCAGTCGATCTGTGACCGAAAGAGAAGCTGTAGCCTGTGCTGCATCCTCGTCAAGGTCGCTTAGAGAGCTGGATGAGCTCAGCGATAGCGTCTCATCCATGTCGTCTATATCGTCGCTGTCGCTCTCATATCTTGCACGACGTCGAACAAACTGGGATTCTCCGTGGTCCAGAGCAGCCTCTTCCAACTCCTCGTTGTCGCTGAAGCCATCTGATATGTCGGATCTTGAATCCCGTCTCGTTTGATGGTACATGTGCATCGCGGCTTTCCCGCCTTTCATGCTCTTGCCGCGGCTATAGCCCTTGACTGCGTGCATCAGGTGAGGCGCCTTTCCAACTCCCTTACCCCCACGTCCCATGGCCGAAGACCCTCCTTGCCTGCGAGACGTGGATACGGGATTCCTGAGAGATGTAGGAAAGGAATTGTTTTTGGTGCCTACGTCCTCAGCCTTCACGACAGGTGTCTTCCTTGCGTCCAGAAATGACGAATGACTCGCCACATTCACTAGCTCGGAATTGAGCCGCGCCTCTGGTACCTGAAATCTTGGGTCAGGCTGAAACGGAACCTTCACGGCGGTGTAACTATGAGGATCATCCGTGGTTGGTGCTGGTTTGGAAACGGATGAAACCGTTTCCGTGTCGGTTTTGTTGCTGTTGCTGTTGCATGTACATTCAAAGTCACAGACGGGACATACATCCTCCTCGTCGTCATCCGGTATTGCCGATGGTGTGGCTCGAATAAAAGTAGGAGTACGATCTATGGAAAAGAAATCGGTCATTGTGATAAGTTTCCAAGACATTGATACCATACATCTTACACATAGGGCATTGTCATGGTTCATAAAGATATCTTACCTGAGGAACTGCTGTCGTAATGCTGTGGCGGGGTGGTTGCCGTATGTGCCGCTGTGACCGAATGGGTATCGTAAAGCGCTGATTGAAAATTCCTGTTGTTTTGACTCGCATTGACTGCTCCACACAGCCCCTTCCCAAAGTGAGATTGGCCAACAGTAGCTGGGGAATATGGCGTACTCTGGATCCGAGAGGGTTGCTGGATCGGTTGTGGGTACGAAGTTGAAGTATAACTGACGTGGTGGTCGGTGCCTGTAAGTGAAGCTGATGAGCGCTCTGGATCCAGCCTGGCCTTTATCTTCAGTGTCGGCTGCTTCTCCTTTGTTCCAGATTCATCTTTCTCTGCACGCTTGTCGGTGCTTATTTTGCTCTTGGTCTTGGTGAGCTTGGCAGAGTTTTCTGTTGCATCAGCAACGCCAAACATCTTCCGAATCCGTTGACAAGTATCGCAATAGTAGTGGCTGCTCTTCTTCGCCTCCTGCGGCTTCATCCCTATGCAGCGACCATGGAACCACTCTATTTGAACCAAGGAAAAGGCAGAATCTGTTAGAACCTTGTGTAAATGCATGGCAGCTGATAATCCTGGACTCAGTTTCAGTTACACTACAATACCTTCGCAGCGGTCGCAGGCTATCATAAACTCGATTCCATCGTATGGCCCTCGACAGATGCAGTAGACATCCTTGGAGACGGATTTTGGTCTCCCTATTTTTCTCCCGCCTGCTTTTTGTTTGCCGTTGGTCCCGCCAACGGGCTTGGAAGCCTTCGTCTTCGAGCGCCCTGTCGTCGTCTTCTTCTTTTTGTGTGCTGTACTAGGGGTCGGTGAGACGCGTGGTATTGAGGCAGTTTCAGCAGCAACTGCTGGTATCGGGTGTTGTTTCTCGGTGCCGTCCTCGATTGATACTGAAGGATTTTCGAAGTCGATCACCATAGTGCCTTGTGCATCGTATTTGCGAGATCCATGGCCTGCCATTGGAGCTCGTCCACGCCCTCGACCTCGTCCTCGTCCTGAATTTGATGTGTTGGGATGCGCGTTGTACTTGGCGTTTGCGGGAGAGTGCATCATGGATTTCTCCATGATCTCCTTGGAGTAGATTGGTTGAGAGGCGGATAGGGAAATGGGCGCTCCGATATCTTTGGAAACTTTAATGTGATCGGGTGTGTCGCCGTCGTCCGAATCCGTAGAATCGTCAGAGTCGGATCCTGAAGACGACGACAACGAAGAAGCGCGTGTGTCGCGCTCAATTGGCCCTCCTTGTATTGAGGATAATGACTGGGTACTATGCTGCGGTTTCCCTTGTTTTGACGGCCGGGATCGCTGGTGTTGTTGCTGCAGTTTCAGCCGCTGCCCGGCTGACTGCGGCAACCTATCCAGGACATCTCCCTCGGATCCGCTCGAGTTGTCGGAATAAGGGGACGAGGCCTCGGAGAGGTCGGAGGATCCAGAGTCTGAATCCAACATGGCCGCCAGAGATAGTTGAAAGGCTTGTGGAGGTGGCTAGCCAGAGCGTTGCCTTGTGTTCTTTTGTTTGCTGCCTTCTGTATACGATGGTATGTGGGTGGAAGTGCAGGGTGGCCTAGTGGCTAGTGGGTGAGGTAGAGGTAGAGGGGGTTGATAAGAGACCATCATACGAGGAAATGAAGAACTGCAGGGGGCACATCTCTTGCTTACCTATGGCTAGCGTGAGATTGCTGGTGAGGGATTGAGCGGGGAAAAGAAGACAGGATGGAGGGCGCTCTGGAAGCTGAAGATGGAGAAGGTGTTCCTTGGTTAAAGCTCAAGCATAAGTCTCACCGCAGCCAGCCAGACGTAAAAAAAAAAAAAAAAAAATACAAACAAAGTGGGTTTGCAGTCACAAACTGGTTTCTTCAAACCTTAATGACCGACACGTCCCTGATCAGCCAATGAGACCACAGTATTGTCCGATCCCCGCAATATCTATCAAGATAATAGCATCGCCGTTATTATCTCAAGGTCAGGCAGAGATGAGGAAGAAGAGGCATCCCCTGCATGAAATTTGAGCGCGAGTCTTCTATAGTCAAAACTATACCCATGTGTGCTGCTGAAAAGCGCCCTGGCCATAAGTTCGAGTTTCGTGTAGCCGGTCGTGAAATTGTGGTGGAAGGTCCTCTAACATAGAAGACGATTATCCTTCCAAAGATAGCTACATTGCTCAATCCAGGAAGTGATTGCTACTTCGTCAAAAGATGAACTTAGTCAGGCTCCAATCTGTTTCTTCCTCATACTCATGCCACAACTGCTATCAAATTTTCATGCTAGCTCTTCTGTCGAATTGTCGCCAACGAGCAATGCCAGGCACAAGCACCCGCCCTGCCCTTGCAAGTTAGGGTCTCAATTACGCTTGGAGGACGATCTCGACATGAAATTAAGGCTGGTATTTCTCTCATGTATTCAAAACCACAGCACTGGCAGTGATATTGCTGAGGGCCCCGCATTCTTTGACTTAAGCTTGTCTATACGCAAGTCAAATGGAAGTGAATGAGGTCACCCTCAACAGCCATCAGCAAGCAACACTGCTCACCTCGGCCACAGCAAGAGAACACTATCAATTCTGACGGGTTACATCTCAGCGGCTACGAGGTGCAGAACATATTAAGCAGCTGCGGGAAACAAACAATCTTGAAGACACCTAATAGCCGCAATAGACAGGAAGGCCACAATCACTGCAACAGGATTATCATTCGGTTATCAAGCTTCACGGTTACGACGTGCAGACCCAGGATGGAGTCCAGCGCCATGACAACACCGTTACGGCATTGTATAATAGGCCATAGACATGCATATAGGCCGCGCCTGTGACAATTAAACAGCATCTATTTCCATACGTTCCTAGTTCACCACTACCCTTGCCTTCTTGACGCTGCTGCTGTTGCAAAATTATGAGTTCCTTAAGTAGGGCTTTGAGTCATCGCAGACTTCTTTAGCTTGTCTGACTCAGCTGAAAATGAACCACGGAAGAGGAGAGAGGTGGCAATTGCGATGTTTCTTTCTTCTTGAGATAAAATGAAAAGAGGCTATTGACCATTTGGCACTGGTTACGAAGGAGCATCATGAACCGACAGCTTTGTGCACTTTCCCCCGCAGCTTTTGGGAGCTCTCATTTTATGTAATCCTACCAAACTGCTCGCGGCTAACGCCCTAGATCCGACATTGTACAAAAGAAATAAAGCGTTGTGCCTTTCATTCTTTGATCCGCAAGCCCTTCCTTCCCAAAAGTCCGGCACGATTCTCATTGAAAGGAAGTTGGCCGGACGTCAGAGTCTTCTCGTGTCATTCCTCACCCCCGAACTGGCGCCCCTCCCTTATCTCCACTCCACGTTCACTCCCACCCTAAAGAGCCCTCCTGCAGAGCCGTCTTCTTATATTCGTGATATCTGTGCAGGATTTGGTCTTTCTCTTGTGTGTGCGTGTGTGTGTGCGTGTGTGTTCCAATGTCAACATTTTGAAAGCGCGTCGCAGTGATTCCCCTAGAAACATTTGGACGGATTGAATCGTTGGAGGAGGAAGATAGATGAATCAGCAGGAGTTCAAGAAGATGAAAGCGATTGAAGTGGACATACCACCGTAGCCATTGTTTTCTCTACGCATCTTCTATGCCAGCATCTGGTGTCACAGAATTAGCTTATCGCGTTCGCTTGATTAAACCTTTCTTTTTTTTTTTTTTCTTTTTTTTTGTTGATTGGCTGGTTGGTCTAGCTGAGGGCTCAACTATTCAGCTTCTTCGTGGGCAAGGGTCTCTTGCGAGTCGTCAGTTTGTGGTCAAAATGTAGGGATATTCTAGGCGACAAATCGAAGGCCTGATTTTATTTGGGTAGGGAGGCCAGTTGAGAGGATACACTTGGGCGCTTCATCTTCAATCACAGCTTTGTGACTCGTTGTCTTTTGACCTCCTTGACGCCCTCACCGGGCACAAAAATAAAGTCGACATGTTCCCGAACATACTTGGACCTGGCCTCGTTGGTTCCAAGACTATACACAGTGCGATATTTCTCTTTGGAGTACTTCATGAGGTACTCGATCTTGGTTATGGGATCGGTATAGCCGGTGCACAACGGGAGGCTGCCAAGGAGGAGCTGCTGGCGACGACTGTTTCCGTTTAGGGCAGACATAGTGGCGGTAGACCGCAATATCAACGGTGAGGAAGAGATAAGGAAAGGAGCGTAAAGATGTCGGGAGCAAAGATGTTGTCGAGTCGAAAATGAAGATATTGTGCAAGGGTCGTTATGCAAGAAAAGGAAAGGAGGAGGCGGGATGGATTAACGAAAGGGCGAAAAAGGAAAGTCTTAAAGAGTGACATATTCAGCATGCGCCCTTTCCTCGATGTGGATCTACCTTGCATAAATAAATAGAAGACCGTATCCGAGCCTTAGCCTACAGTTAGCACTTGCCTTCTTCTCATATGAAGCACTCCACAACTCACTTTGATCTATACTTTCCAAACCTCCATATCACTTTGACTGCTGATAACCCCCTCATCCTTGGGGGGGTTAACATATACGGCTGAGAGGGAAAAGGAATGCGGACAGATCGAATTACGATCACAACAACAGCCATGAAGGCAATGATCGCCAGTCGGCTGGTGACACCGACGCCATCTTCGACGTGGGGGACTTGGCGTCCATGACTACCAAGGCTGGTAAGCAAGCCAACGAAATCCTATTCGGCACTCTGTCGTACCGATATCCAAGTACTCCATGGCGTCCACTGCGGCTACGGTTGGATCTATTATTCTAATGTTTCTTGATATAAATAATAAACGGTCTGGTTCCAGAATCAAGAGTCTTCTTTTCCCGAGCAAACTTGCGTCAACATCAGCATAATGCCTCGATTCCACCACAGATCGCCGCCAATCATCCAGTCAGTCCGATACATCCATCAAGCATCACCGATCATGATCAGCATTCACCACAGGCCTTTGAATTTGCTCCTGTCCGTCATCATTATCTGATCGTCTCTTGCAGTATTCGATTTTGATCCATTCACGTTCAATGGCGTCTACAAAGGTACGATGGAGGGCTGGCTATCGAATGCGGCGAGTAACGACTCCTCAAAACCATGGGTAGTATATATGCGAACCCTTTGCAATTACCGTGGTCACCCAAAAAAAAAGGGATATAGTCCTTCGCGTACCACTGGTCTATTTACCTTCGTGCCACAGCACGCGATTACATTTAGATCCGTGTCACCCAAAGAAAGACTCTGCATCTTCAACCGGCAAGTGACCAAAACATTCCTTCTGCAAAAGTTCTAACCATGAGGCGTTCCCAATTGTAAGTAGAGCTGATGGTAGCGGGCTATAAAACTCGTTGTCAGATCCCTTCATGAGAATATGGCGCCTCCGCGATGTCCCCGCAGTGGAGGACTCCTCGTGAGGAAGGCCCTCGTGAAGCGACAGGAATTTAGCCTTGAATAGATAAACAAAGTCGAACTCTTCCTACGGTAACTTCACTCGCCTCCCAATGCTGGACTTCCTACTGTAAAATTATTGCTGGTCTCCTTGCTTCTCCTTTTCGCGAGTCCGGATCATGAGAGAGGAAATGCTATCTCTGCACATCTTATTCGCGTTATCATGCTATCTCTACGTATCCCACTCGCATTATCGTGCTGTCTCCCACATCCCACCCGTATCATCATGCTGTCTCTGCACATCTCAGGAATAGCACAGCTTGAAGTCAAAAGGTTCTATAGAGGAACAATGCTGTAGTTGGTCTCGGGGCGCAAATTTTAGCAGGCCATGGACATAGGGAGCGAGGAAATGCATGGATATGATGATAGTGGGCCTGTGTGGATCCGATGGCTAAAAGCTTCATGTTGAGTTCTAGAACTATAGTATAGATTGGATGCCCTCAATCGACTCGGTCCTTGACGAACAGATACTCGATGCTCGCACATGCATTCTCAGGCCGGTCCTTGAAGTGCACAAAATGACCCTGCAAGGCCGCCGTGCTGACCTTGTTGCCCGCCAATGATGCTACGAATTTCTCCGCCAATTCATCCTGACCCTCGTAAAAGCGCTTGAACATCCTCCGGATCTGATCAGGGGTCGCGTCCCCTACATATTCTCTCAGATCAACACGTCCAGGGCGGATTAAGGCCGGGTCAAGGACCTCAATGTGGTTGGTCGTCATAAAAATGATCCTGCCCTCTGCTGATGCAACACCGTCTAATGCATTAAGAAGGCCACTGAACGTAACCATCGAATGAAATCTATGGAGCAAAAGAGAGTACAAATATTCATTAACAAAAAGCAACAAAGTAATGGCCGGTGCAAACATCCACATTCCTTTGGAAAAAAAAATAAAAAAATAAAAAAAAAGAGCCCAGAGATTCAAATGTACCCTTCTTGTGTCGTGTCGCGCTTTGCAAAAGCAGCGTCGATATCCTCGAGCAGCATGATACTTCTCTCGGGCAGGTTTGTCAGCAGATGGTTCAGTCGGTCATTCGTTAGCCCGCGCTCGCTCAGGTTAAGGATGCAGATGTTGTACTCCAGTTCTCCTGCCAATGCCTGAATGAAACTCGTCTTGCCGCTCCCGGGTGGTCCATACAGCAAATATCCACGACGATATGGGATTCCTTATCCGAATGAATAGAAGAATCCGGTTAATGGATTTTATCCTTGAAAACACTATCATGTAGTCCAGTGGCAAAGCAATGCTCCTGGGTACCTACCTCGATCCCCATACCACTTCTCATTCTTTACGAATTCCTTGACGTCCCTCACCACCCTCTCTGCAATCCCCTCATCCAGAATCACACTCTCCAACAGTCTCCTCTTTCTCGGTTGCCCAAATGGCCTCCACTCTGGTCCCCAGCTGGTATAGATCACCGTCTTGCCCTCCTGATTCATCAGCGCCATCCTCTGAGCCTCCTGCAGAAGCACTGTAAACACAGCTCGATCGCGTGACAGAGTCGTCAGTGTCACTGTCTCCCAAGGTGCGCCTGTTGACAGATCCATCATCTTGGCATCACGCGTTCTCTCAACCTGGATCCATGCGCCGCGGTACCGAATCAGATGCTTGCCGTTACCGGGGACGAGATTGAACCGTGTTGATACAGATCCATTGTCATGCTGCTTAAACTCTGTCTGGACCGCCAAGAACTGAGATCGCTTATTGATCCTGTCAGCCAGACGGTCTGTCCACCTTGTGAAAAGTCCCAGGCGCTTTGGTGCTACTGTCCTAGATGATGCCTCTGATCCCCCTGCTGTTGTTGCTGCTGCTCCTGATATCGATCCAGCGCCTCTGGACTGGGACGACATCCAGTGGAGAAACCAGAGATAGGACTTATCCTTGCTTGGGATCTCGAGTGTGACAAGCAATTGACGACGAAGGACGGATGCTCCTGTTACGGTTCCCTTGCGCAGAATGGTCAGTCCTGCACCAACGGCCATGAGACCGAATCCTGCGGAGAAGTAAGGGTTGGAGTCTAGGATGGTTTGAATAAAGCCCTCGTCCTTTTTTTCAGGCGTCGGTGCTGTAGGCGTAGATGGGGTAGAGGGGTTTGATGAGGACGCGGCTGACGAGACAGAGGACGTAAGGTTGGCGGGGTTGGGTCTCGTGTTGATGTAGATTATCTGGGGCTGTGGGTGCGAGGAGCCCTCCTGGGTCGCGAGGGGAATCGACACGGGTCCTTGGATCCCCTCAGTCGAATCATTCATGTTTAAAGTCGCCATGGTTGATCCCGAATTACCGATGTCCTGAGGTATGAGTGCTGACGAGTCCAATGAGATCTACTTCTCCTGTGGGTGATGCTTGTTCGGAAGAGGAGGGGGTTCTTGCTGCTCAGACACTCAGGAACACGCAGGGACCAGTTGTTATTCTCGATCTGCTGCTTAAGGGTACTAAGCGCATCTCATCCTCAAGTCCGCGATAGATCGATTACTAGGATAGTAGTTTATTACTTGAATTATAATATGTTTTCCTTAAAAGTGGTGTACTACATTGGGAAGGTAAGGATGGAGATGGTTGACGTAGGCGGGTATATAGAAACCTATACAATTATGTTACAAGTTACATGCAGTTGTCACGAAAAGATCCTTCTAAACGTAGTGGATCTCAGTCTTGTCCTTGTGCTCAGAGTCCGAATCCGAGCCGTTGTGATGGTGTTCGCCACCATGAGTAGTATGGTCCTTCTGCCAGGAGTCAGCGCGGATCAAGACCGAATCAACAGCATCGCGGACCGTGAGGTGGACCAATCCCTCCTCCTTCAAGAAGGGGCTCGAGCCAAGGACCGAAACAGCAGCGGATCCGATATCGCCAGGAACAGGGCGAGCAGCAGGCTTGATGTCGGAATCAATGGTGTCGACAGCGTCAGACTTGACATCCTCCAAGACCTCGACCTTCTGCAAAGCAATGGGTGCAACGGGGCGGGTGATGCCAGAGAGCTCCAAGATGCGCAAGACGTTGGCCTGGATACCGACAAAGTGAAGCTCAAAGAACGTCTCGGGATAGTCAGTTACACCAGCATAGTCCCTGAGCAACTCGCGCAAGTCAAAGAGTCCCTGAAGACCGGTCGAATCGATGTTGTTGACAGCAGAGAAATCAAGGACGACAGAGCGAAGCTTGGGCAGATCGTCGTCCGTGATGTGCGAGTCAGCACCGTGAGCAATCTTTCGCAAGTTGCGGATGTGAACATCCAAATCATCTGACCAGAGCTTCTCGCTGACGCTCTTCTGGCGACCACCGAAGCGGGTGTACTTGTAGACCTCATCAAGGACCCAGGTTTTGAAGGCATCAGCGTTAGGGAACGTGGTCGACTCCTCAATTCTGAAAACCAAGACACCATGAGGAGCGGGGACGGTGTCAAAGGTGCTGCCGACAACGGTATCGACAAAGACATCAGGGCGATCCTTGATCTGGCGCATGAGATGGAAGTTGGGGCGTGCAACACGGAAAAGGAGGACGACGAGCGAAAAGATAACACCAGCGGCGATACCGGTCTCGACAGAGACAAAGATGGTGACCCAAAGGGCGACCTGGGAAGAGAGGAAGTCCCAGAGATTGACCTTGTAGAACTGGATGAAGACTGAGGGAGGACTGACCAACGTGGCGACAGCGACCATGATGACGGCGGACAGGGCTGCATCAGGGATGTAGAAGAAACTGTTTTGGATCCAATGCAAATGGGTACATTCGTTAGTGACATGAAAATTAAACAATGCATGAATGTCGCCAAGTGAACACAGCATATTGGCAAATAAGAGTACAGGATACTTACGCAGGGGTCAAGAAATAAAGGGCCAAAAGAACAAGAGCGCCGGTGACGAATCCAGCAAAAGGCGATTTGACGCCGCACTGGAACTTGACAGCAGAGCGCGAGAAGGATCCAGTGACAGTGTAGGCACCAAAAAACGAAGCGGTAACGTTGGCAAGACCCAGGGTCAACAATTCCTGGTTGGCGTCGATCTGGTAGCGGTTACGGCGAGCAAAGGCCTTGGAGATAGCAATGTGCTCCAAAATCGTAGCCAGGGCGATCGCAAAAAGTTTGGGCACAATTTCGTTAAAGATATCAGATGAAACGCTTGGAACGCGTGGTGAAGGCAAACCGGAGGGCACAGTCTTCAAGATTGAGATGCGAGGGATGATTTGGCCCTTGGCGTCGTGAGGAGCGTCCTTGTTGATGATGTATGAAGCGACCGTGGCGATGACAGTGACGATGAAGAAACGCGAAATCTTGATCAGCTGAATCGAGAACTTGCCGCGACCCCAACGGTCGACCGCGAGACCGATGCCCACCAAAATGAAGAAGCCCAGCAAACCAAACACCAGATCCAACCAGGAAAGCGTTTTGATGGCCTGGAACATGGTGATGATGATAGTGTAGACGGGTGCGCGGTTGTTGATTCCGGGCACACCGAGCCACTTGGGGATCTGCTGGATGATAATTGTAGCAGCCGCACCGGTGGTGTAGCCGACAAGGACGGTTGTTGGGAAGAAGTCGAGGATGATTCCGAGACGGAGGACTCCGAGGATCAAGGTCAGGGCACCGACGCACAAACAAGAAATGGCGGCCACCTCGGGAGGGGTCATGCGTCCGGTAAGTTCAGCAACGAGTTCACCAGTAATGAGCGAGATAACAGCAGTTGGTCCGATAGTCAAATCCTTGGAGGTTCCCATGAAGCAGTAAAAGATAGCACCGATGTAAGCAGAATAAAGACCGTGTTGGACCGGCAGGCCCGCGACCTTGGCATAAGACATTCCCTGGGGGACGACAATCAGACCGACAGTGATGCCGGCGATGATGTCTCTAAGGGCCCAGGTGCGGTTGTACTTTGGCAGCCTATGAGAAGGTGAAGAAGGTTGTGCATGAGTAAGGATGCTGGGGCCATCATAATGTATGTTGTGCAGTAGGGGCGCCATGCCGCAAGGAATTAAGTGCAGGAACGAAGCGGTATTGTTACCATTTGATGATGGGGAGTCGCTCGTAGATGTAGCGAGGAGTGTTGGAAGGGAAGGCCTTGAACCAGTTGACGACACTGTGGCCGAATTCCCTCAGCTCACGATCAGCCATTTCGGATAGGAGGGGGAGAGAGAAGGGATGATAATGAAGGAGGAAGGCGATAAAGAAGATATTTCTGAAGTAGGACGGGAGGGAAGTGTTCCTTTGGTTCAGAGGGAGGACAAGAGCCAAGGGGACGAGAGGAGGAGGCGGGGCTGAGCGAGAAGTGAGAAAAAGAGGAGGGAAGATCGAAGTCTTTTATACTCGACCACACGAGGGGGCGTTGTCCCTGGATGAAGACGGAGCTCTCTGGAGTATAACGGATAAGCATGTCAGCAAGGTTGTGGTGGACTATCATATTGTCGGACAAGGCGAGGTTTTTGGTAAGTCAAGGCAAAGCAGGATAAGGTTCGTCTTCGATGGACCCACCGATCGCACCATTTCTGTCTGATGGTTCTAAAGAACCTGGGTAAACGGTACGAGACAATGCTACTGCGCTAGTGTCCTATTGTATAGTATAGAGTAGTAGTGTCTCCCTTCATAGGTGCGTCAAAATAAGGCTTGGCCATCGTATTGTCGGTCTTCTCAGTCCAGACGGCGAGAGATTGGTTGCTTTGTAGTCTGTCGATGCACTGCAAGGACCAAAAGCAAAAACCAAAAAAAATTAAAGGTGGCATAACTTTAAATTCGTCAACCAATCACATCCGAGCATTTGCGGAGAGTGCATGCATCTCACACCTTGCTTTACGACGATTGACTTGTGTAACCGTGTTTTGTCATACTCGAATGGCGACATTTCGACCACGACTCTCGCGATTTCCTGCCTTGGTGGACGTATCAGCACCCACCCTGCCGCCACTCTCACTCTCCACACCCTTGCCCGAGCGGTCATTTACTCGAGCTGCTGACATCCACGACGCACACACATCCGCATACACTCGCGTTACGACCGAGTTATCCATGCTCACAGATATCTCTTGAAAGAATGCACCAAAAAAAAAAAAAAAAAAAAAATATAGGTCCATGGCCCAGATACACTTTTTGAAAGCATACAGACGTTTTTTTTTTAAATCCGCCTGTGCATGCAGTATAATATAATTGAGTATCATTAAACTAAGCGCGCCTACATTCAAATGTCGACATATCGAGATCTCGCTGCAATGTAGAATGCATTCATCATCCCCGGGTTTCACGAATTTTTTTATGCTTGAATCTCGTAAATTAAAAGAACCATTAACGGCTGAAGCAGCTAGTGGATGACGCGAGATGGTGAGGATGGCCCAGAATCCGAGGAAGCAGAACAGAGGACAGTCTTTTTTTAATGTTCTTATGTCTTTGTGTCTTTGAATTCCTTGGCCATGCAGGAGAATGGCGCAATTGTGAACGTGGAAAAAGATCAGAGTCGCATGGCATAAGAAAGGCATACCAGACTAGAACAGACTATGGAGAGAGACTAGAAGGGTGAACGGAGTGAACTCTATAACGTTCGTTTAGACCACCATCTCTGCATCCCAGGACAGCCAATGGTTGGGTATCTTGAGTTGCCTGCTATCCTCAATAGTGGTACAAATACAAAGAGAGCAATTGAATAACAAATATGTGGGAGTGCACCGAAAAGCACATCAGACGTTAGTCTTCCGAGAGCGATATGATGCCATATCTCACTTTTTACTTTTATTTCTCGTCTGCTGTGTGTTCACATGTACATGTACATGCACACGCACTTCTATCGTGCCGCATGGATCTACACAACTGAGCTTTTTTTTTATTTTTTTTATTTTGCTCGGAGAAAAAAAAAATGGCTTCATGGATCTCCTGTGCCCAATACGTCTTCATCAATAGACTCTCTGACCTTGGGATAAGAAGAAGAAATGCCTGGGCCCATCTTTTGCCCACGACCATTGGTCTTTTTCTTCGGCCCACCAATCCAATACCCTTCCAAGGATTGCGCATGCTACTGAGCACAAGAGCGATTTTGGGTCTGTCTAGCACACAGAACAACATGCGAACCTCAAAGGTGATACCATACAGAGTTCTGTTCCAGATAAAGGCCCACTTTGTCCATGTCGACATTTTGTCTGTGTAGTCTATGTGTGTGGGCGTTGTTTCTTTTGCCTAATTCATCTCAAGAACGACCCGGCTGAGCTCTGTTTCTTGATCTTTTGCTTTGCCCAAGAATGGTGGAGGTCATGCACACTCCAAGGTAGCACCCGACTACGAGCACAACATTTCTATAGTTAAGCAAGTAGGCGTAACGACATCTAGTTATTATGAGCGGTATCTCGCTGAAAAAGATATGCAATACAACGACCTTGGGAGCACTCCTGGTTTTATCTTATTAGCCAAATACGCCTCAGATTAAAGGATAGAATAGAATATGGAATTGAATGCAATATGATTCGCCCAAAAAAAATCCCCTCCTCCCTCGTTTGGACCAAGACGCGCGTAAAAGTTAAACGCGTTTCTAGAAAAAATTCATCTCAGGGCGTTCAAGATTTGGTGGCTTGGTGCGTGTTTTGTTGTTCCTGCTTCGCCTTCACTCACTCATTCATGCACACACATCATTCTCAACCAATACTGCTTTCTGCAGCAGCAACCAGGGCGATTTCAACATCACTGCTACTTGGACCGGACCTTACCAGAGACCGTAGAAGGCGACAGGAATCACTTGCAGTTTACCAGCATCCGTATAAGTTTTGAATTAGACAACTTCGATCACTTACTAAACTACGCGGAGCAGACCTACAGGAGGCTTAACCACGGAAAAATACGATCGACAGTTCACATATACAGTATATAAATCATGTTTAACCTCGCCGAAATCAAGGACACCATCAAAATTGAGCCTTCAGGATTCCGCAAGAAGAAATCGCAGGCTATCACAGACGAGATCAACCGGAAATACGCCAATAAGGTAAGAACAATTGGCGCCATCAACACGTCGCTTTCACTCTGGATTATCAAGCATTGTCAAGCATTGTCAAGCATTGTCAAAAGGACAAGCACAGGATGCGTGCCATGAACCATTTTTGTGCACATTGCATTAGATATCGCTATCTGACATCGCATCCTCCACCCGCTTTTCCCGAAACGACGCTCGATCTAGGTCCTACAGGATGTTGGGTTATGTATTGCGATGTACGATATCCTTCACGCAAGCGAAGGATTTATTCATCACGGCGACGGCTGTAGTTATGTAACGGTTCACTTTAGGATGATTATCTTTCGGCCATTCATCGGCGAGATTCTTACGGGCAAGATCAGATCGTGTAATCCGGAGGGCGTTCGAGGTAGCGATCCTTTTTTTTTTTTTTTTTTTTTTTTTTGGCATGCCTGTTGATTGACCGAAGCCGAGGATATTACACCGTTAAGACCACAGTGCTGCATATTCATAATCCTTTCTCTCTCTCTCATCTAATTATCTTACCAACACTGCTTTATTTTTACGATTTTTTAGTATCACTCGGATTCTTCGACGACATCTTTATCCCATACAACTATCTTCAGCCCCAATCAGAGTTCAGTGCAGAGGAGCAGGTCTGGATCTGGAGGTACGAAGAGAATGAGATGTTCATGGACCTGGATGAGGACATCCGATTCCGAGTCGAGTCCGAGCAGTTCTTTGATACCTCCCCCTCAGTCCGACCCAAGAAGGAAGGCGTCGATACACCCGATTTGAGCGCCAATTCGTCCAAACAGGCACCGTACTCTCTCGTAGTATGTTGCTTGGTCTTTATCTGGTTCCTCGTCCTTTGGGTCATTTCTCTCAAGGTTCCGTACTGACTATTTTTCTTTCTTGTATTTTTTTTAGTGCTCGATCAATGGCGACGGTTTGGGTCTGTTCTCTTGGTGGGGATAATGGCAGGCTTTTAGTAAACAAAAGAAAAAACAATAAAAAAAGGCATTCAGCATTTGAGAAAACCCGCGTCCATGGAAGAACCTTGAAATTGGATACTATAGCTTTTGTGATACAATCTTCTTCAATGCAGCAATGTTCATGATCTACCTGACTCTCCCTCGGAGCCATAAAGATATTCCTAGGACTTTGAATTGCAAAGTAATCTTGACGTCTTGCGCAGCGATTACACTTTATACATGTAGACGCATACTATGTAACCCATTGCTTTAAACCCCAGTTGTTTCATGGGTTGCAATCAAAGAGCCTTGGTTTCCGATAAAAAATAAAAATAAAAAAATAAGTTTTTGAGAAGCCTAGAAAGTCGAACGCTTCGATAAACTCTTCAGGTTCAGGTAAAATTTCATGCGATTGAAACCTCTCTCAGTCCTCTTCACTCGAAGAGTACATTGGCTGCAGATTTGAAGGATGTATAATCAAGCAGTACGAACGGTGCATCAGCGGATGGTTCGCTCTGAGTAAAGACCATTGCAATGGACCATAGAATGTATGTATGCGAGGGACTGCAGCTTTTGACAGAGCGCGTTCTCTCCGAATGGATGAGGAGAACTATAATACGTGTCCTTTAGTCGCGTCGTCCCCTAGGATAGTTGGATCCGACGCGACGACTCCGTGTTGAGAAGAAGATTTACTAAAAGACATACTGGCATGTTAAAGAAGGTTGCTGAAGCGGATAGCAAAGAGTACCATGCTCTCGCTAACAATCTACCCTGTTTAGTATCTCAACTCTTTCTGTTATCTAATCATTTTGATTCCACCACTTTGTTGGCATATGAGTGATATTGTCATCCATCAGGGGTTCCACAAAAACTGAGCCACTAGTCAATCACACCACGATCCCATCGTATTAGAATGCACGATTTATACCAGTACCCGGTTAAGTCGTACCGGCTCTTGAATATAAAGCTAAATATTTTTTCTGTCAGCGCCTTTACCCGGGACTCGCTCACTCCTCGAGTGACTGTACAGGAGGCCGATCTTCGTGGCGAATGAAGGTGTGGCCTTCGTCGTATCACGTCGGATTCATGTGCCACATGGCGGCACACCTACAAATAGAGTGGAAGTCGCCTGCAAGGGGAAAGGTCCTGGCGTTAATAATAGTGTGAGGAGGACAAAAGAGGCGAGAAGCACGCCAGTAGCCTGGTATCCCATTTTGCGTTTCATTTCAGGTACCATTGTAACTTAATCCAGGCACAGACGCTACGCCCTTTCATATTTTTCTCTCGGCCACCATCATCTACTGTACTCACATCTTGCCAATAAAATCCTCGCGTAGAATTTCAATCAACGCTTTGAGTGGTGCTATTGGGTCCTGAATATAACGCCATCCATGGTTTCTCTCCACTTTGAAAGGAGCTGAGAGACCTCAAGATAGATATGGCGAAGGGCAAGAAGGACCGGGCGCACCAACAGGGTAGATGCAGTTTGTCACTACTACCGGAAGGGGGACTGTAAAATGTTTGATGGAGCCAACATTTGCTAATACATAAAATATATTTTCAATTCAATAAAATGGGGTTACAGCGCCCAAACTAATGGTGTGGACGATGCCTATTGGATCCCAGGAAAGATCAATTCAGGGACCTATTCCAATGCGCTATAGAATTATCTTCTCGCTTCTCGGGATTGGTATGTCATGGACCCGGTCGAGTTCTGCTGCATATTCAGCCGAGTCCAGTGTACTTTATTACTATAAAAATCTATCACCTCTGAAACTTAATCTAAAGTTGATTAATAAATATCGTGTAGATGTGTGTTTGGAGACACATCTCTTTCTCACTGACTTCAAGAACCACTATATATTTCAAGTTCATTTTTCAGCATGACAATGCAAAGGTGCATACAGCAAAAATTCTCCATATCTCAATCCTATCGAACACCTTTGTTTGGGCTTACCTCAAATACCACCTTGATCAGTATAAAGATTCGTCTGCTGACATGAACGAACTCTGAGAACGCGTACAAGATATATGAACTCAGATACCTATTGAGTTCATTCATGAACTATACGACAGCATGCGCAGGCGCATGATGTTGCTATATCGCAGTGAAGGGGACAATATCAAGTATTGAAGCGTCGAGAACGAAATAAAAAAAGTATTGACATAATTACTTCTGATGCAACCAGCTATGAATGATGCTACGAAGTAGATTAATGTTGAGTATGGATATCGTTGCGGATTGATAAGATAGCAATGGAGAAAAAAACGAGAAAATCGAAATGTGTTGAAATCCAGATCAATTCTATCGAGCACTGTAGTTTGGCGAGTCAAGGCTAAGGCGCGTGCGGTCCAACATGGCTATATTGAAAGCCAATGATCCTGGTGTGGGCACGGATCCATAGTATGGTGGATGAAAGAAGAGCTAATGGCTTTTATTACATAATAAAATGATATTTATACTACTACATATCATGTGCTTAACTGTCGTGATCCCTCACTCGTAACGGCGCTATCCGTTCCGGCTCGGGTCTGTGAGTGTAGGTGCGTGTGTGTCTGTATGAAGTATGGCAAGTGTGTGCGTAGAAGTCAGGGTAGTTACGAAGGGTTTATTCAAGGTAATCGGTACAGAAGCAAGAGGTACAAATGGTTGAGCTAAATAAATACTACGCACTCGTCTCTCTAAGGCAGTGCTCAGAACGGAATCATGACTAGGGCCTCAGGGGCAAATACGCACAGTTCGCGACATTAACACATCGGTTGAAAGGCGTAGTGTCTGCTGCACGCAATTCCTGCAATGTATTGTTGTTGAACCACTCCTCAGGCAATCTGAACACGATCTTCGTTATTGTCAAGAAGACGCCGAGGTTGCCTTCATCGGCCGATTGGTCGATCTTTATTGTAGGTAACGGAGACGTTACTGTCTTCTTGGTCGCGAGAGGCTCCAGGTGAGTAATATGGGTTGATAACAATAGTCGCTGTAGTGCCGTTCTCAAAAGTATCGCTGTTGTGGATGCGCTGGTCATATTTTCGATTCCTGCGGTTAATGTTGTCGTATAGGATATACCATGGGAGCGTTCGAACTGCAAACTGAACCTCGTCGAGTATGTGTAGGCTTAATATTTTGAAGGTGTTATAGATCGTCTGATGCGATATAGATAGACCAGAAGGGGAGAGTACGGGTGTCGTGAACCTATGCTTATTCAGAGTCAAGATGACCTTTTCTAAGCACGGCGGGACAGAACAAGGGAAGGTGATATGCGGTTCAGGAAGCAAGGTCAGAGGAAGCGTAGGAGATATTCAAGTTGCTAGATGAGGAAAAAACAGGTATAGAGCGTGTAATAGTTTTAGGTGGTCAAGAGGCAGGGGCAGGGTTGAACAGGATGGAACGCATATCTGCATTAGGGTGGCAACTACGCGCTTTAGACTGAAAGATATGGCTGTAGTCCAGAGTCAATGAGAACAAGTGCCGTGAACCTATGCTTATTCAGAGTCAGAATGACCCTTTCTAAGCAAGGTAGGTACTGATAAATGATGGCAAGTATTCAGGAAGGAGGTGCCAGGATAAGCATAGGATTGTATCCAAGTCACTAAATGGAATAAAGCGGATACAGAGCTATGGAATATATACATATAGATCGCTATTTGCCTTTGTGTAACGAGCATACGCGTTGCCAGGGGTGGTTCGATCACTGCTAAGAGTCGACCGATCATTTGTAAAGCATCGCTGCGGCAGTGCCTTCGCTTGTGGTACGCGACAACAGGAGAGATATCTTTAATTACAGCGACCGAGCGATTAGACTGCTTATTGCTGGACTCAATCTAGCTATCCCACACAGAGGCAGCGTGGAAAATAGGGAATATGCCACATGGACATCTGGCGCCGGCAAAATAAAGGCCCCCGCACGAGGTAGGATGCTAATTCTTGGAGTTGCTCCTCAATATATTTCAAGAAAAACGCGTCGATCTGCCTGAGATATTTTTGGATTCAGAAATGAGTGAGAAAGAGATGTGGCTCCACACACCACACCGATTAGGTATTTATTTGTATTAAATATAATAGTGAGCTGGAGATACACTTGTTAGACTAAATATACAGTGAACTCTGGTGAAATATGCGACACTGCCCAAGGGAATCACGGTTGGCTGGTACTCGTAAACACCCGCCGTCACAGACTCTCTTGAGTTCCGTTTGCGCTCGATCAATGACAAGTTCTACGACAGCCTCAGTGAAGGAGTGGGTCGTTGCCCGTATGTCGAAATTTATCCCTCCAGTAATTGACCATGGCAGCTGGAGTTAAACAACTCAACGCGTTGTTTGATCTCACTATGCTCGGACCTACAGGCCGCCAACAAGCCACGAAAGGGGGAAGCCTGCTTTCGATATCTCCTCAAATATTTTGAGTAGGGCGTGGCCGTTTGATTCATGTAGCCTTTTTCTTCTTCTTGTTGGCACTTCGGCTTTCGTCGATGAATGTATTATGGAGCATTCTGACGAGGACTAACATGGAAACATAACACATTACATGTTAGTCTTTGGGATCGACTCAAACACCTTCCTGCATTCGCTTTATTGAATATCTAACGACGATAAACATACTGCTGGGCGAGGATTGACAGGAAGCAAGTAGAAAGAAGAGGGGTGGAAAGGATCGGCAATGCTTCTATGTAAGGGGCAGTATGGGTAGCATGGTCAATAGCCTTACGCCTATAGAATGGACGTCTCTACAAATGCATAATTTTCATAGGAAACACCCTCGACAACCTTCCGTTCATGATCTTTGCCTTTGCGATGTTCCTCTATTCTGCAGTCGGATATTCATGAGTTTATTCAGGTGTATCCTCAAGTTGAGGGATGCATATTTGTATGTACAAGATGCCGTTTAGTCAGAACGCATGGGTGCGTTCGTCTGCTCTACAAAGGACTGGGAAAGCCTGGACGTTTGGCGCCATGAAGAGCTCTCCTAATGGAAATACTTGCGCACGAGCGAGGGAACAGAGCCCTCTTTCTTATAGAAGTCAACGGCCTTCTTGACCTTGCCTGCCACGACATCAGGGACCATACCAAAGTGCTTGTACACATCCTTCCAGGGACCGGATGCTCCAAACGTGTCAATACCAATTGACTCGTGCGCATAGCGGGACCATCCAAACGTCGACAGTGCCTCCACAGACACAGCTGGTACACCATCGATCAAGACTGATGCCCTGTATTCGAACGGTTGCTCATCGAAAAGCTTGGTCGAGGGCATAGAAACGACACGGGCCTTGATTCCTTGCTCCTTGAGAAGTTTGGCAGACTCAACACAAAGCGAGACCTCGGATCCAGTGCCCACTAAGGTCACATCGGCTCCTTCGACCTCCTGAAGGACGTATCCTCCCTTCAGTGTCTTCTCGACCGAAGAGCCCTCAAGCTGTGGCAAATCCTGGCGAGTCAAGGACAAGACACAAGGGCGAGTCTTGGCCTCGATCGCAAACAAATACGCACCAGATGTCTCGTTACCGTCCGCAGGACGCAGATCAACAAGATGGGGAGTAGCACGAATTGTGGCCATAGTCTCGATCGGCTGATGAGTGGGACCATCCTCTCCCAAACCTAGTTGCGGTTGACAGCAAAATAAATTAAGGGAGCAATCAAATCAGTATTACGTTCTACAGGGATGTACCTAATAGAAAGAAAATAGGGACAAAACGCGTAGCATACCGATAGAGTCGTGGGTCATGATATAGATGACTTGGTGGCCAGAAAGGGCAGCCAAACGAACAGCACCTATGATACGAGTGAAATGGTTCGCCAGTCAGGTATGATTCAGTAGTAAGGGTGCTGAAATTTACATCACACCGTAGTCCTGCGTTGCTTACCGGAAGCATAGCTGATAAAGTTAAGGAAGGTAGCGCCGGCAGGGATGATTCCGCCATAGGCATTCATGCCGTTCATAGCAGCCGCCATGCCGTGTTCGCGCACCCCAAAACGGAAATAGCGGCCGGCATAGTTGCCGAGGCCTGTGCTCTCGGGCTGAAAGTCTACAGCGTCCTTCCAGCGGGTTAAGTTGGATCCAGTCAAATCAGCGGATCCTACAAGCAATTCTGGAATAACACCGGTAATCTTGTTCAAGACAGCCTCGGACAACTTGCGGGTAGCGGTGGCCTTGTCGGCAGGAGTGTAGCGTGGGAGTGCCTTGGCCCAGCCCTCGGGCAGATTGTTTTCCAGGCGACGCTTCAATTGCGCTCCTAATTCTGGGTGGGCGCTCTTATACTTTTCGAAGAGTTCATTCCACTCGTCGTTCACCTTGGCTCCTTTAGCGGCCTTGGTATGGTACAGGTCGTAGGTCGCCTGGGGCACAACGAATTTTTCATCGGGGTTGAATCCGAAGGCCTTCTTCAACTGAGTAATATCATCCTCCTTGAGGGAAGATCCGTGGACCTTCTCGGTGCCCTCGTTCAAGGAACCGAATCCAATGATTGTCCGGACCTTAATGAGCGAGGGCTTGTCGGTGACCTTCTTGGCCTCTTCGATGGCGCGGGTAAGGCCAATGAGGTCGGAGTTTCCATCATCCACAACCTGAACATGCCAGCCGTAAGCCTCGAAGCGCTTGGGAACGTCCTCTGTGAAGGAGACATTGGTATCGCCATCGATTGAGACGTGGTTGTCGTCATACAGAGCAATGAGTTTACCTAATTGCAAATGACTATGAGCATAAATAGATTTAGTGTTATATAGAATTAATGGGCCATTGGATGACACGAATGTAGGACAGAAAACCATGTGGACACATACCCCGCAAGCGAAGCAGCTTCACTGGCAACACCCTCCTGCATGCATCCGTCGCCAAGAAACACGTAGGTGTAGTTGTTGAATAACTCAAAGCCAGGGCGGTTGAAGGTGGCAGCCATGTGCGCCTCTCCAATCGCCAGACCGACGGAGTTTCCGAAACCCTGTCCGAGGGGACCCTGAAGATCATTGAGGCGAGTTTATGTACAAAATATTTAACAGTCTGAATGGCATACAAAAGGCGAGACTCCAGGCTGAACACCCTCAAAGAATACATACCGTGGTGACCTCAATGCCGACAGTAACATGGGACTCGGGGTGTCCGGGTGTCCTGTAGTCGGAAGAGACGATAAGACGCACTAGTTAGTACGACTGCCCATAATGACATAATAACCCGTCTGGAACTCCATTTATCCGGCAAAAATGAATCCAAGACAATGGTCCCCTCCCTCGTTTGCTTTTTCTTATCTACGCATTAGCGCGGTTCGATCGAACCCCAAATCTCTTTTCCATCTCGCCCTTTCTCATTTGTGGGAACTTTTCAGCAAGAGCCAGGGGAGGACGTCTTAGCGGCCATATATCACTTTGACAACAGAAACACGCAAACAAAAATCCTTACTTGCTGTTGAGCTGGCGGAACTGCTTCAGATCGTCCATCGTGGTGGGATATCCGGTCAAGTGGAGCAGGATGTACTGCAACGCGCAGGCATGTCCGTTTGACAAGACAAATCGATCGCGGTTTGGCTAGATTCAGCGGAAAAGATGTAGTGAACATAGATGAGGAACAGAGCCGCTTATCGACATGATGATTGCTTCATGACATCAAACGATACAAGCACGGCTAGATAAGAATAACTAAAACTGGGGGGGGGTTTTTTTTTGTTCAAATGTACTCACCCACAGAGGGTTCTTGGGGTTGTAGTTCATGAAGCGCGAGAACAAGAGATGGGCCATCGGGGCACAACCCATGGGAGCACCTGGACGCGTAACGAAGCATCGCGAGAAAGGGGGGAGGGGGAGAAAGGGGAACAATATGCGTGAGAAAAAATGCATTGACGTTGAGAAATAGGGGATTAACCGCGCGTGTTCTCTCTGAGTGGATCGACGGCAAATTTGGAATGGATTCTTCTTTCTGTCTTACCAGGGTGTCCTGACTGGCTCTTGAAGACCATGTCAGCAGCAAGCACACGGATGGTGTTGATAGCCTTTGTGTCATTGTCGGTGAAGTCCATGGTGTGTTTGAATGGGTTTTATATGGTAAGTATGGTAAGAGCAGGAGTTGGTTATCGAGGAAGGTAAATGAATGAAAGAGAGAAAGAGAAGAAAAGAAAAGAAGGAGGATAAGAGGGAAGAAAAAGCAGACGTCGATGTCTATGTCATGATGGCGCGCAAAGACCACCTGCGGAGCTACAATTCACGAGTACTCACAAATTCATAATCACGATCACCTGACCCTACTGTGTATAGTCTTATGGCACACCTGCACGCCTGGGGGGGATCTGGCGTCAATAAAAAACGCTGTGTATAGTCTTGTGCTGTGTGAGCCCGTAGATCCACGCGCTTTCATGAACTGGACCAGCGGATTCTTACTCAATTGTGCTCAAAGAACAAACATAATGAATGGCGATGAACATCGGCTCCCCTGCAGCATATCACACGAATGCAACAGCGACATCCTGACATTAGCCACTACACTACCACTCGGATCGAGAGTCGGGCTGTTGAACACAAAAGGCGTCGCTGGTCGCGCCCTGGTTGAAAATCATATCTTTTTCGAACGTGCGTATATACAGAGTGCAGTCAGTTGACAGAGTCCCACCAAGGAGGTTTACTACAGCTATTCCTCACTTCTTCGCTCCTCAACAAGAAATGCTGCTCCCGTCCTTCCTTTTCTTCCTCAACCTCCACTTCTAGACTTCCGCTTCTTTCACTTTCAGCTTCCCTTGTCATACTCAACTTCATCTGCAGGAGCCTACATCATCGTGGCGTCCAAGGGTCTGATGAAGTTTGCCTGGTAAGCGGTGGCAGAGATTCGTCTCGACGATATACTCCACGTGTCCAGGTTCAGCCCTCGACTCAAGTCCTTGGTGCTGTCTCAGGTCGCTTATAACTGGGGATATCAAGCATACATACAGGCTCACAGGCGTGGATGACTACAGGTGAAAGAAAAAATGGTTTCGACTTCATACTCGGGATGCGGTTGACCTGCCATAGCGAGATCCTGAGCGCCGCATTAAAACCCTGTTCAAAGCTCACACCTGGTCGAGGAGTGTATCCAGACCACCAAGCAACAGTACCGCCATGGCCCTCGAGATTTGCGCTCTCTTGCGCAGTTTAAGCTTCATGGGCACGAAGCTGTATATCGATATCCTATCGTTCGAGGATTAGCTACCAATAAATGCATTGGCCATGATATTACTTGTTTATGATAAGATCCTTTACCCGGGTCGTATACGATCGAAGAGTAGCTGTTGATCAGAAAGTGATTGTGCTCTTTCACTGTCCTCCGTGACCTACAATTTGATGGTAAATGCGACGATATTTGAGATCGCAGAGGGTTTCCTATTTACATCGAGCCTTCGAAAAGACTGAGCTGGGTATTACACTGACCATGTATGAGCCGGGGACGGATTGGTAAGTCGCCCAGACAAAGAGCGTACGAGAGATGAGGCTCCTACTTCGCAGTCGCAATTGATTGAACATGTAAGTTTTATCGGCGGAGAACACTGCGGAAGCAATAAAACGAAGACGCGTCATATCTACACATTCCGTATAAGAACAAGCGGTCAAGACCATGAATGGAACACAACGAAAAAGAGAATGGGTCTTAACGTACACTTGGGAAGTGGGCCGTCAGCAATGGGGTCTTTACACGCACCAGCACCAGGCGCTGTCCCGATTGACGCCACCATCTTTGCGGATGATTCAATTGGGCCGAGGGAAATAAAACGTGGGGTGACTGACAAATCACACAGATTGCGAAGCCAAATATAAGAGCCAACCTCACTCGCCTGCTCCTCCTTAACAAGCTCGCTCTTTTCTCTCATCCCCCCTGCCGCCGATTCCCGTCTTCTCATCCCTTAGAGACGACATCGGATCGTACTTCACCTCTTTTCACCCTGACGTCTCCAACGCGCCGCCTTCTTCAGCTCGCCCACTCATTCAACATGCCTCCAACCGGAAAGATCTACGACTACCTCGTCATCGGAGGTGGCAGTGGAGGTAAGCAGAAAGAAGCCAAACCCATGTTCCCATATCACTCCCACCGCAGCAATTGAGCCGTCAATTGTCAATTGGTCATAATGGATTGTAAAGAAGGAAAAATCCTCACACTTCTATGTCCCTGCATTCGTTGATGTGAACAGGACTTGCCTCTGCCCGTCGCGCAGCATCCTATGGTGCCAAGGTCGGTCTGATCGAGGGCAGTGGTCGTCTCGGAGGCACCTGTGTCAATGTCGGATGCGTTCCCAAGAAGGTCATGTGGAATACTGGTAAGCGACCAGACGGAGATACAGCTCGATTGCCACTCTTACGCACTTTGGGGATTAAATCCTCTGCAAGCGGACTAAACCAGAGCTCCTTATCTTCTCGTGGATTGATCAATTGCAGCTTCCATTGCCGAGGCTATCCGTGATGCAAAGGAGTATGGTTTCCCCGATGCTGCGCCCACCAAGTTTGACTGGTATACCCTCAAGAACAAGAGAGATGCCTACATCAAGCGTCTCAATGGCATTTATGAGCGCAACTTGGAGAAGGATCAGGTCGAATATATCACTGGCATGGCCTCCTTTGTCTCCAAGAACAGTGTCACTCTCGGTAACGGCGAAGAGATCCACGCCAAGAAGATTCTTATTGCTGTCGGTACGTGTGCCTGTCCTGAAAGATCTGGTGTATCTGCGTGGAAAGATTTGTCGCGACACAAGCCCATGACTAAAAAAAATTATATCCTAAATAGGTGGTCGCCCTATGATCCCCAAGCTTCCTGGCGCTGAATTGGGAATTGACAGCGATGGTTTCTTTGACTTGGAGCACCAGCCCAAGCGTGTCGCCGTTGTAGGAACTGGCTACATCGGTATCGAGCTCGCTGGTATTTTCCACTCCCTCGGTAAGGAGAATTTCTCAAATCTGATTTCGACAAGCTTCTCATTAGAAAAGACATTGGTGCTGACAATATCGTTTGCTGTTAATATTCAAAGGCTCCCAGGTCAGCATCTTCTCGAGAACTCAGGAAATTCTTCGCCCCTTCGACCACATTATCAAGGACACGCTGAAGAAGGAGATGCTCAGCGTTGGTATTGAGATTATCACCAACAGCCATGTCAAGGCTTTGGCTAAGGCTTCGGACAATTCTATTAGTCTCAGCTATGAAGCCGATGGAAAGGAGGGCTCGGCCGAGTACGATACTGTCCTCTGGGCCATCGGACGTGAGCCCTTGTTGGAGAAGCTCGCTATTGACAAGGCCGGCGTCACCGTCAACAAGAAGGGGTACATCGTCGTTAATGACTATCAGGAGACCGCTATTCCTGAGGTCTACGCCCTCGGAGATGTTTGTGGTATCGAGCAATTGACCCCAGGTACGCTGCATTTCTGGTGTTGCTTTTATCTGTCAACTATATCCTCCTTGTCCTAACAGAATCATGTTATCTTAACTGTCCATGCTGCTTATGATATATGGTATATAGTTGCTATTGCTGCTGGCCGTCGTCTGTCAGATCGTCTGTTCGGACCTGCGCAGTTCAAGGACTCAAAACTCGATTACAGGAACGTCCCTTCAGTCATCTTCTCACACCCCACTGCTGGAGCCGTTGGCTTGACAGAGGACCAGGCCAAGAAGGAGTACGGTGCTGAGAACTTGAATGTCTACGTGTCCGAGTTCTCAGGCATGTACAACGCCATGAAGACGCACAAGACCCCCTCGGCCTTCAAGCTGATCTGCGCTGGTCCCGAGGAGAAGGTTGTGGGTATTCACCTGGTTGGTCTAGGAAGTGACGAGATGTTGCAGGGGTTTGCGGTCGCGCTCAGGATGGGCGCCACCAAGGCGGACTTTGACAGCACTGTCGCGCTCCACCCTACCAGTGCGGAAGAGTTGGTGACCCTGACCAAGGGCAACCTCAAGAAGATCTCACCATAAATGTTGCACACGTCTTGTCTATAATAAATTGAGCATTTTTTTCATTTGCGAGTGATCGATTTCAATCGACTAAGTCTTCATATTTTAATAATGTAGCCTTCAGCAACGCGCGTGCTCAGCATGTGAATTAAACTCTGCCCTTATTTGCTCTTCAAGAAATTAAGAATCGCTGGCACAATCTCGGGATTGGTCTCGAAAAGGATATGGCCGCCACTAGGATACTCGATGTATTTGGATCCAGGGATCAAGGCATGGATCTCACGACCGTTCTCGACCAAGAAGGCCACATCCTTCGTACCATGAAGGATCAGAGTCGGCGTAGTGATCTTTGTCAAGCTTTCTGTCAAGTTGTGATAAGCAAGGGCATTGGATTGAGCTATGAAGGCTGCGAAGTTTCGGTTTTGACCGGCATCGATCTCCTTCAAGAAGACTTTGACCCTCTCAGGATGGTTCTTGATGAATTCTGGGGTCAGACATGTCAACCACAATTTGTGCTGGAAGGCCTGCCAGTCCGAGGCATTGGGTGGCAAATGGATCTCGCTCAACCAGCGGGGGACATCTGTGTGCAGCTGACCGCTCGAAGAGTTGTGGTACCCGCTAGGAAAGAGAGTGTGCGTAGCAAACAAAAGAGATAATGTTCGTATCAGCAGAGCCATCCGTTAATGGAGTGAATGAAGTTATTTATGGCAATAGGAGCTTACGCTGCAATCAGGACCAAATGCTCGACGTTGACATCGGACACATTGCTGGCCATGCTATGCGCGTAATGGTAAGGAGAATATTTTTTAGTAGTTGTACAAAAAAAAAAAAAAAAAAAAAGCCTTGGCTGACCATGAATCGACCTAGAGCTTTCGTCTTACAAGGTCTCTGAGATGACACTGCCCATAGAGATGCCGACGAGGTTGATATTCTTCCATCCGAGTTTCTGAGTCAGTTGGTGGATGTCATCGGCCATGTTATTCAGGGTGACCAGAGAGTAGTTGGTGACGGAGGACTGGCCAATACCTCGATTGTCGAATGTTAGTATTATTGAGAGAATTATGCGCCCGATATGTTTTAGTCATTGGTCACGATATCGTCAGTATGCGGTGTGGATGATAGCGCACCTGGGTGCTTCCTTGCAAAATGGGGCATGATGTGTTGCCAGTCGTCCTGGAGTTGGTCGCTATTTGAGCAGGGTTCGAAAACGTTATTTAGGGTTATTCAGCTCACCAAGAGCCTTATAATGAAAGGTACCAGAGTTACGCTTACAGCCCGGATACCTAAACCAAGTACAGAAGATCATCAAGACAGTTAAATCAACTGAGGGACGGATAGTTGAGTTTAGAGTGCGATCTGCAAGGGATCCGCCAGAAGCTGATCAACTGGCACCTACAAGAACAATGGGTGTCCCAGCGGCCTTGCTATGATTATACAGGCGGTACGACAGAATGGATCCATCGGGCGTAGTAAGGTTCCCTGCAACAGGCCTGAGGCGATGCCTGGGCGTCACATCGGCAGAGCACACGGCAGCGATGCCAAGAAGGATGGTTGGGAGGAGATGTTTGAGCTGCATGTTATCTTCGTGATGTGCGTAGAAGGAGATGCAGATTTTTAATTGTCTTTGTCCGAGTCCTTATATACGTTCTGCAAAGTCATCCCCAGTAAGAGTTTAGAGATTATCCGACCGGGAGAAGAGGTGTTCAATGGACAGTGATTGTATATAGGAAGTGCAGCGGGGAAGACTGCGGAGGAATCATGCACCAAGCCCTGACCAGCATACGCGTTCTAATTTAATATAGTATCGTTTGTCATAGGTTTGCAGTCCGCGAATCGAATGGTTCCACAAGAACAGTACCCTTAACTGCCGCCTGGCTGATCAGTCCATCCCTCTTGCCTTTTGCACAACGTACGTTCATCCTCCAAAGCGTCCGTCCCATTCGCCCCCCCCCCCCGCCCTCTCATCCCTCTCTGTCATCATCCCCTCTGACTTCTTCATGTCCGACCAGGCAGAACTCCTCAGGAAGCGCCGCGAGGCCCGCCAGAAAAAGATTCTCGCATCGGGCGAGTCGCGGTTGAGCAAGATCACAGGCACAGCAGGAACGAGCACACAAGTCGCTCCTTCCCCCGCAGTCCTCCAGGCTAGAGAGCAGCTCTTGAAGAAGGAGCAGGAGGAAGAGAGATTAAGGAGCTTAAAGGCTGCTGGAGTAGCAGATCCCAGCTCTGGCGATGCCAATCTTCAGTCTACGGGTAAGACGATATTATGACGATATCAAGACATTGTTGCCACTGGGGGGAGGGGGGTCACAGTGATCGTCCCACCCACATGCAAAATTATCACAAGTGCGCGGGATACAATGTTCTCTCTGCTAACGACAATGACATGCACTTTATAGACACGTCCGGCGCAACCCAACTGATGGATGAAGAGGACGAGGACGTCCTCATCCCAGCGTCGCCTTCGTTGCGCGCTGCTGCCAACAGGACAACCCGCCAACGATCCTCATCATCGACCTCTACCGCTACTACTACTACAACCACCACTAATACCGCTGCAGGAACATCAAAACCAACCCCTGCCACTGTGCAGCCTGACCATGACGCAGATCCGGATGATTCGTTGGGCGCGCCTTCAGCACACGTCTTCTCGTCTTTTGGTGCCTCCAGTGCTACTCAAAGCCCCTTCGGAAACAACCCATTCTTCTCTCCTCAGCACCAGCAAGCATTAACGAGGATGATGCAGGAAGAGAACGGCTCTGGAAACGGCAGCAAGGCGTCCGTAACGCAGCAACAGACGCCGTTCGGGAATGTGCCTCCAGGATTCACAGTGATCACGCCTCAGGTCGATCAGATGGCTAGGTGGTGGAAGCTGCTTCATTTTGTCTTGTCGGTGTTTTTCGCACTCGGCGTTGTATATAGCGAGTACAATCGGCATGGAGATCTGGATCGGTTTGAGTCCTTGGCGGTCGACAAGCCCTTGCAATACGGAGTGTATCAAGTTGCGCAGATCGTACGTAGCGTTGTACTTGATTTCTCTCGCTATCTCATAATCGCTCTCTCCCCCCCCCCCCCCCCCCCCTCTCTCTCTCGGGTCAGGTACTAACTTGTAAAACTCACATTTCTTTCATATCCCAATAGCCTATGTTCTGGTACTTTGTGACCATGGAGTTGATGTTGCAGTCGGCAAGGATGTATTTGCAGGGAATAACAGCATCGCCCAGCAGTACGCTGGGCACCATTGCAGGATTCTTGCCGTCGCCATTCTCGGATGTGGTTCGCGTGTTCATGCGTTACCGTCTTATCTGGACATCAATGGCGAATGATATGTCGGTCATTGTCTTTATCATCGGAATGACCATTGCTCTGACACACATGTTTTCTTGAACAGACAAAGAGGACGTGTTTTAGAGGAGGGGAGGCACTGTTTCCAGTTGTAGTTGACTTGGTCGTAATACAGTAGCACCACTGGCGCAATTACTGCATATTTGCATTGGCACTGGCATTAACATTGACATTGACATATAATAAAAGGTTAGAAAAGCATAGCTGTCTTTATCCTCTCGTCTGTCAGGAAATTTTGGGTCAGGAAATTTTAGTTGTTACATTAATTTTGGGTGCGGAGTATTATTTTAGAGAGGGCGACTTTGCTTGTCAATACTCACTATTGAAGTATTACGGATCTGGAATGTAAAGGCATGAATCAAGGCACAAACTACCTTTCAATTTGCATCAAGGGCATGGAAAGCGGTAGCATAAAAAAACCTTTTAAATACAATATTATAGAAAAAGTTACGCGCGAAATACATGTAAAATTCGGAACACCAGTGTTCCGGAAACAGACGAAGGGATACGCAAAGATGCGCAAACTGCTTCCGCTAAAGTGCGCGAAGAGCATCATTGACCGACTGGATAAAAGATCCTCGTGTTTATTGAATTTTATCGTTTCCTGTTGTGTGCTCCTGAGGTGTTGGGTACGGCGTATTTCTTCTACCCATCTTACACAGCGTTCCTGTACCCTGCACTTTATGCTGTTGCTGATGATGATGATGGTGATGATGATGTTGACGCTGAACCCTCGGTGGTGGCGCTCAAGAACTCTTTACAGATTTGACTGGATTTTATCCTGGAGCAAGAGATCTTTTTGGTATCGTTGTTGGCTATCAGTGATCAGAATAAAGGATAACATGTATGAGATTTCCACGCCCCATCCATTTGAGTTCTGTAAAAAGGTCTTCCAGTTGTTTTTTTTTTTCTTTTTTTTCGTATCGGCGGAAAAGCGAAAAAGAATGGCGACGTTACCAAATTCGATGATCAGCTCAGGGCTAACGCCAGGTTCCTGGACCTTGTTGACCTCGAATTGGATCGTGGGGTTGTTGTACTGGAGCCTGGGCATGTTCTCGCGCAGAAAGTATCTACAGAAAAAGATAAAAGACAAAAGACAAAAATAAAGATATGATGCGAAGTGGGTCCTGTGGTGAGTATGCAGTTGAAGAGCATCAAGGCGAGAGAGACAGGTAGATAGAGAGAGGTAGAGATCAATTTGTTCCTGTTGGGATGATGTATGTGTTTCGTACCTGGCGCCGGCATTGTCGGAGCGTCGTGAGAAGGTCAGGGAAACCTTCTTGACATCTGGGCGAAGTCGAATGGCGCCGAGGCCGCTGCGGAGGTCGTGGACGATGGCGTTAATCTTTGACATTTGTGCGAGTGTTCGATTGTGTGCGTGGAGAGCAGTGAGGGCAGGAGGAGAGAGTGTCGGTGCTGCTGGGTTCGGAGCAGTGCTTCAGCAGCAGTCATTTGTTGTTCGCATTGGATCTTGTGCTCTCAGCCACAAATTCAGAGCGTTTGTGCTACAGACGCACATGGCCCCTCGCCTCTCCCTAGGGTACAGACTATAGACCCAACGAAAGACATTATCGGTAGAAGTAGAAGCATAGGCGGTGGATTACTTGCAACCTTCATCCTGCTTTCAGATGGTATACCGCCCTAGTATACATGTTGCCAGTTCAGCAGGTACGCGTGGAAGGAAGCTATCTTTTTTTTTTTTTTGGGAAAGGGGGGGGGGGGAGGAAGGTGGGTATGAATGGTGAGGACCCATCCACGTATCAAACCCACGGGCTATTCGAGACCAAGAAGACACCAGAACCAGGACTAGGACCAATGTGGGCTTGGGTGTCAACATGTGATTATGTTACCGGGCTTAGGCTCTTTCCGGGTTCCCCGTTTATGTCTGTGTGAAACCTACTGCATTTCATTTTTCTTCTCTTCACACTCCTTTCTTCATTCAACCAACCATGGGATTCGCAGAGTACTTCTCCATCCCCATCTTCTTCATCATTTTCAGGGAGACAGCCGAGGCTGCCATCATCGTCTCGGTCCTGCTCTCCTTCCTGAACCAGGTCATCGCCGACGATGTCGCTATGCGGAAACGACTCTCTCGTCAGGTAGGCAAAGAGACTGAACAAGCAACTTTATTTCTTGGGAGGAGGGAGGGAGGAAAGACCCACAACCGAATTGCGACCCTCAATTTTCTCATGCGCCATTTACTACATACACCCGCTGCCTCCTTGGGTGCTATATGCCACATGTGTTATAGGTCTGGGCAGGGACCGGCCTCGGACTGTTGGTGTCGCTCGCCATCGGAGCCGGGTTTATCATTATCTGGTAAGTTAATGCTCTCATGTTTTCTTATCTGATCCTCCCGACGGGTTAATGAAAGCAGGCACACACGATGCTGCTAAATTGCATCATGTCCATCTATCGCTGCGAAGCTGTTTCTTTTCTCACCTTGACAAAACCAGCTCCCCAACTCCCTAACCCACACACTCCTTCTTCGCGGATATCATCTGCTAACAAAAGGGACCGTGCGCCCCTACTCAAATTGAAGCAATTGGAGTAACACGCATGCTCATCAGATATTGGTGCCAACACTTCCCCTCCCCCCCCCCCTTATTTCCTCGTGATCTCCTCTTGATCTAGGAACCTATACGCTACCAACCTCTGGGCAGCAAGCGAAGGGATCTGGGTCGGCTGCTTTTCCTTTATCGCCGTCTTCATGATCACAGTCATGGGTGTGGCCATGCTCCGGACCAACCAAATGCAAGAGAAATGGAAATACAAACTCGGGAAAGCCATGGATGACGAGAACGCTCGCGGACTCGGAAACCAATCCCGGAAATACGCCCTCTTCCTCCTCCCGCTCGTCACGGTCCTGAGAGAGGGACTTGAGGCAGTGGTGTTTATCGGAGGCGTCACCTTCAATGCTGACCCGAAGGCGATTCCCTTCGCCGTCCTCGCTGGCGCCGCCCTCGGCTTGATGATCGGCTTTGCGATCTATCGTGGTGGAAACAAAATGAAGTTGCATCCGTTCTTTGTGGGATCGACTTGTTTGCTGCTCTTGATCGCCGCAGGGTTGGTGGCCAAGGGTGTCGCGGCGTTTGAGGCCGATCGCTGGATCAGGTTGACGGGTGCTCAGTCGGATGATGCGGGGACCTTTGATATGAGAGTGAACCTGTGGGGGCTCAAATGTTGTGATCCTAAGCAGCCGGATGCAGGATGGTGGAGTGTTGCGAATGCTATGGTTGGCTGGAGCAACGTGGCATCGTACTGGACGGTCGGCTTCTATATCGCGTACTGGGGGGTTGTCAGTGCCTGGCTCATACGGCTGAAGAGCAAGAGAGTGAAGGCGGCCATTGAGGCTGCTACCCCCGGAACGATCGGAAGACCACTGCTGGCGTCTTTGGCGGACGGTCGAGTCAGTGGTGAGGACAATGGAGAGATGTATCGGCCTGTGATCGCGTCAACGGCGGGTTATCCAAGCGAACTGAGCTTAGGAGGTACGGATGAGCACATTGGAAGTGTGACAAGGCGACATGATGGCTATGGCAGTGTTTCTGCATCGGCCGGGGGAGCTGGACCTGCAGAGACCGATCGACGCGAATGATATGTCATGGCGCCACTGGGCCCATCATCTTTGGTCCCAGCGGTGCCGCGGCGGTCGTTTGTCAGCGGGGCTACTTCTCTTGGGAAGAAACAAGACTGAGCCGCGCTTTTTTTCTTCTTCTCGGGGCTCGGGTTCCTTTCGTGTATAACCATTCTGTACTCTATGTATTTAGCATCTTTTGTTTCTGTCACTGTCATATAAAAACTGCTCTCGCTTACTCCACGCGCGATTGTACGATAAGGATGTTTTATCTGGTCCAACTAATATGCCGCATGATAGACGCCTTGGAAGTACGCGTCTTCATAGCCTCATGCTCGTGCCAGAGTAAGGTTTTTGCTTGAAAGCCAGGGATCAAAAAAAAGAAAAGAAAAATGTTTGTTTTCGATAAGCTGTCTCTGTCCATTCGTCTCTACCACCTTGCAGCGATCGCTCACCATCGCTCCATCATGTCAACCCCACGCCCAGTCCGATCATCCGCACGCCAATCAGCCCTGAAGCAGGAACAGGAAGCAGAACTTGCAGCGAAGCGCGAACAGATCGCTCTCGCGAAGAAGGAACGTGATCAGGAGAAGGATCAGGACCGTGGCTTTCTGTCCTCGAGCTCATCCTCGTCCTCCCGAAGCCTGAGTCCCGCACTCTCGGACTCAGCCTCGTTGAGTAGCGGGGATGAAGAAGATCCTTTAGATAATAACCAGCGACGGTCGTATCGGAACTCTCGGCGTCAGCAACCGGAGGGGGAGGAAGAGGAAGAACAGGATCCATCAAAGCCCTTCAAGGACCCGCATCTACACTCGTACTGGGAGATCGCATTTATATATGGGTTCCTGACCAAGTTCAAGGCTTTGCTTCGACAGAGTTGTCCGTTGCATGAGTTTTCGTTGGAGGTAATATGTCGTCGTCGATTCAGGTTGTGGGATCGAAGACGTTTTCCACCGAAAAAAAAGAATGAAGGCGAACTCCATATGAGCTGACGCATTTCTTTCTTTATTGTCAAACCAAAAACACTAGGACATTGAAGCTGGTCTGCTATCAAGAACTTCAAACGCCTGCATTGAAGAGATCCACGCCAACCTGCTCTCCAACATGCTGAATCGCAAAAAAGCTGTCGAGTACGTTTTTTTCCAACTTAACCTCCATTTCGCAAATCCAGATCATAAATGTAGAAGCCGCGACTAAATCGAATGTCCTGCCTTGTATTTACGCTTATAGCGCTCACACATGGCAAAAAGTACTCTCGGAGACATTGGATATGAAGATCAGGACCCTGGAAATGGAGTACGATCAGAATCCATTGCGGTACTATGGCGACTACTACAAGCTCCCTCCAGATGACAGGGTCCATATCCTGAAATCGTTGGTTCATTGGGTTCTGCAGGAATGCACTGTGATCCGAACGGGGATTGAGCAGGATAATGAGTGTTATATGGTGGAGCCCTTCGGTTCCGATCAGACTAAACGCATTTATTGGTACTTTGGAGGTAAATGACTCGGTTGACACGAGTACGAATGGGTTTTGAATATAAAAAAAAATATGAATGCGGTGCTATGGGCAATGAAGGATCTAACACGTTTTTTTTATGTCTTTTTTTATGTCTTTTTTTTTTTTATTTTTTTTTTTTGCGGGAATAGAGGGAACGCTGACAGTATACAGAGAAACCAAGGGCACAAAAAAAAAGAGTGGCACGTGGGAGACAGTTGCCAACAACCTAGAAGAGCTCCACAAGCTGGCAGATTCATTTAATGGGACAAGCTCGAAACCAGAGAAGGCACTGCAGGAACGGCTTCATGAAGAAATCATCAATCCAGCAGAAGACAAGCTGCTCCAAAACAAAATGGTAATGTTCTCATTATTTTTCTTCCTGCATGCATTTTGATGTTTTCTTTCATGGGGGGAGGGGAGGGGAAGGGTTTAAAAAAAAATAGCCAAGAGGCCCAGGTTCATGACTATTAATGCTCCATTTTCTGAACCGGGTTTTTAGAAACAAGAGCGGTTAGAGAAGCGGATGCAGAAACTGGCAGAGCTACATCAACTGGCAGCGACCAGGACGACCCGGACACGGTCTTCGAACCGAGTCAACCATCCCAAGTATAACTTTGACGATGACGAAGAAGATTTTGAACAGGATGAGTACGACCTCTATAGGAGACCTTCTAGCCGACGGAGATATAACAATAACCTCGATCACGACAAAGAGCAACAGAATCATCAGGAACGAAGAAGTGCGTCTGTCGAGGCTGCGTCCAGCGCCAGATCAAGTGTCGGCCATGATTCAGATACATCTCTCCGAGATGCGTTGCAGCGGACACGGGTCGGCGATGAGGACGATCGTTTCACACCAGAGGAGTCCCGAGAAATTGATGTGGACCACGAAAATGTGGAGCAGGAGGAAATACATAGGCGGGCCAATGTTCAAGCTGAAGGGCTTGAGAACCGACCAGACACTACTATCCCATCATTCCCTGCTTCACCGGTGCCATCTTATCCAAATACGGCCGGACCATCAGCCGCACCCTCGTCCGAGACAAACACTGCACCTGTTCCCTTGTCCGAGACGTTTAGTGCACCCGAAGCAGCAGAACAGGACACTGAGATGAAGAGCGCGGATGTCTAAAGAGGGCATTTAAGGTGCAACGGCGAGCTGCTCTTTGTATCATCCCATAGATTCACTTCATCATAAATAATCAAGCAATGATCGCATAATCATCTGCAAAGCTATCAAAGGCGCACACGCTTTAATTATATGTTCAGGATGTCGGTACGCTTCAGTACTAACGCGCAATGCGGTACAATGCAATGAATGATCCTTTCAAGGATGAACAGGATGAAGAAGAAGAAGAAAAAAAAGTTCGCTAGATTGACTGCAACAAGAGACCGCTCATAGCTTCGTCCGTTCGCACGCCTTTGCTGCCATTCTCGCTGTGCTTTGCCAGGATCTCGTGGACTCTTGGAGTCTTCAGAATCGCCGCTGCTGTCGGTCGCTGCTCATATGTTGGCTGCATCATTTTCTTGATCAGGTCCAGTAGCTCTTTTGAGAACAGTTTGTGGTAGCCAAATATCTTGATAGTCGTATGTGGAGTTGTACCTGTCGCTGCTGGCAAGGACGTAGAAGTTGCTGCTTGTTGATCTTTTCCAGAAGTGTCATCCGACGATGAGGGCGGCAGTGAAACGATATCCTCAGTCATGTACTCCTTCATGTCAAAGTCCCCGTCTCTGAGGCGATGCCAGAGTCGACCCTCTCCCGGGAGATCGTCCACCTGATTCGTGACCATCTCATAAAGAGTCATTCCCAGACTAAAGATATCCGAGTGCTTCCCACACTCTCCGTTCAGCAGTTCCTGAGCCATATAATACTTGTCTCCCTCAGTGACATCCTTCGTCTCGACTGGGTAGGTGATTGATAGTCCAAAATCGCCAATCTTCAGGGAGCCTGCCGCAGTGATAAAGACGTTCTCTGGTTTGATGTCCAGATGAATGATATTGCTGTCGTGAATGGCGCGCAGACCCTATCGTTTGGATGGAGAGGAAATGAGCAAAGACGAGTTAGACTATGGCAGATACAGAAAGCGGACCAAATTCCCTGGTTATCGACTCTTACCGATGCAAGATCTGCGAGACACCTCCATGCTCGTCGTTCATTGAACCCTCCATATTTTTTCTGTGCTAGCAGAGCTGATTTTAGACTAGAAGATAGAAAACCAAATATGGCCAGCATCAGCAATCATTTCCTCTCAAGCTCAGTTTCAAGTCTATCACTCGAAAAAAAAGTCCCCTAACTTACCTTCCGAGTCTGCACAGCTCCATCTTCATATAGATCTTGCCTCTCTGCTCCCAAGCCTCTAACAACTGCAGCACATTCGGGCACTTTTCCACGCGCCACATATTCCTGACTTCATTCAAATATCGCTTTCTGTTCATCGTTAAAAAAAAAAAAAAAAGAGTATGGACGTTAGTTTCGATTGAAGTTCCGAAGCGCCCTCGAAGTTATATAGCCATTGCTCTCCACGAATACTTCGTACCTCTCCATGGCTCCTTGAACAGTCCTCACGAGTCGCTTCACAGCATAGAATTCCTTGTTGTGCTTGTTCTGTACTTTCAGCACATCAGCAAAGTCGCCTTTCCCGAGCAGTGTCTCGCTGACATAAAAGTTGGATTTCAGGTAATCAGGATAATTCCTTGAACCCGACTTTGTCTCCGTAAACATGACTACAAGAAAAGAACATAATCGTCAGTATGCGAAAATACCACTAAATATTATGCACCTGCATTCAAGTTGACATAGTCCATACCTCGCTTGTCCAGGTTGAACAACTCCTCAAGATACTCCTTTGTTAGATGATGAGGATAGTCCGAGTACCATTGGCTCTCCGACAGATAGTCCATTTCGAAACGAGGTCTTCGACTAGTTGATCCCAAGAACGGATTATCATCGCTACGACCAAGTCCAAATGGTGAAGCGATCGGTGACTGTGGTACTGAGGTAAACAGGTCGAAGGAATCGGCCCGCGAAGGCGTCCCCGGCGGCGTCCCAAAGTTCGGAGGGAGTATAGGCGAGAACGGCGCTATTGGTGAGAACGATGGCGTGGTACTTTCTGATCCTGAAGTGTCCGACTGCGAGAGACCTAACGCCTCTATCGGTCTGTTGCTGCCTTCAGATGGCCCAGGCCGATAACCGTCGAGTCGTTCAAAATTAGTTTTGAGAAAGATCCCCCTCATGCTCATACCGCGCAACGTAAAGAATGCTCTTTCACTCCCACCTTTCATACCGCTGCTAAGACTCTTGAAGCCCTTTGTCCGTGTTGATCGTTCCTCGCATGGACTTGGAGTTTGCGGGTGTTTGCCCAATAATGTCCCCTTCTCATGCATCAGTGATAGCAGCGAGTTTGACCGCGCAAATATAGGCTGAAGAGGCGCAGTGGATCTATTGATTTTTGTAGGGGTCGATATGCAATCATCATCGTCGAGTTGCGACAGTTTCTTCAAAACACGCCTCTTCGGGATGGCCGTTGCTCGTTCTCCATCCAGGAGCGAAAGGTTCAGGCTGGTCTGCGGTGTGGACAGCACAGAAGCTGAGACTCGCCTTTGCTCCAGTGTCCTGATTCCCGACAAGAAGGAAGTTGGCAATGAAGTCGAGGTAGTCGAGTCTGTGTCGCTTTCCATCTGGTCCTCTTGCTGATCGACGTCCATGGCATTCTCAGTTCCTGGATGATCCGTGGTATGGCCGCCATCGGTAAAGGGATCTGTAAGGGTGGTTGTAGTAGAATCTGTTGTGGAATCTGTTTAGGTTGATGAAAAAAGGATGCAGGAGAGGGGGCGCGTTGTTAGTTTGGGTGGGCAATGATAGAGCTAACATGAGCGTACAAACAAAAAAAACAAAAAATAAAAAAGATAAACTGACCCTCTGAGCATGGCATTGTGTAAAGCATGCACGGTTGGATGGATGTACGGATGGATGTAATGTATACAGTTGCTCTGGTTCTTTCCAGCGAGGAGCGATGATTCTTGTATGGATGAGAAGCCGGGCATAAATGACGGAGTGATAAGCTGGAAGGAGATGGTCTCGGCTGAGTCAAGTGTGGACGGTTTGGTGGCGCAACCAGCCAATCGAGTGCTCGGATTTCAGCGTGTAGCGTGGACACGTACAGAGCGGCCGAGCAAGTACATGTGTACTGTACACGAACATCAGGCCCATGCACATCTGCGTGGCCAAAGGTGTCTGGGGGTTGGCCGGCGGCACGTGCAAGCGGTGCACAGTTCATACAGGGTTCCACGACTTTCATGGACGCGTGCTTCTTGCTTGCCAGAAAGAGAAAGGATTCATGCGAAACACATATACACGCACATACCAGTGGCAGGGTCAGACCCCTCGTATCCACCTGCTGAACTCTACTGCATAGGCGGGAAGCTTGGACGAAATGGGCGCACGCTTATTGCTGCTTTTGCTGTTGCTGTTGTCGTTGTTGTTGGTGCTGTTGTTGTTGTTGTTGTCCAGCTGATGGCCTGCGCGTTCCCTGGTGTGTCCGATCTTCCCGGAGTGAGACAATCTTGTTCTCAAGAGTTCTATTCTTTTCGGGTATGTCACCGTTTTGAAACTCGACGCATGAACGTAACAAGCATTGAAAAGCGCAGAGCGGGAACTGTAAAGATCAGAAAAATCGCTGGATCTCCTCGCGTCGCGGATCATGCAGCGTTGCGCTGTTTGTGTAGCCCCTGAACTAGAGGCAATCATAACACACAAATGCGCACATATACCCGCTGGTTGGGAGATGGGCATGAATTTCAGAACCCCAGAAGAATCAAAGAACAAAAAGAACAAAAGCAGGGTTCACTAACTGACGCAGCAATAAAGAAACAAGCTAGACGAGGGGTGGGGAAGGAACGGGGATGTGTAAGCTGATCGATCGATTGCCCGCTGTTGCAGGGATAAGGGGAGAATGCGGCACCTACATCTGAGGACCGTAGATGCCCTGTGGGATCTGGCGCACCGATCCATGCACGGGCATGGGGCGACTTACCCCCTACTGAAGAAGCCAAGGAGGAGGAAGGCTGACACCGATTGTTCTCTCCGTGAGGCCATGCCAGAAGAAAAAGGAAAAAGGGAGTAGAAGTGTGTGCGCCGTCGATTTTTTTATATCTTTTTTTTGCATATCGACGCCTTTCCTTTCTCTTCCCATCCAGCCCTTGAGAGAACACCCCCCGCCCCCCCTCCTCCCTCCCTCTTTCACTTCTCGACTCCGTTCACCGCCGGCATTGCTAGCGCACTCTCTTCGTCGCCTCTTCTCCTCCCTTCTCTTCGTTTCTCTCAAGTCGCCGTGGCCCCTCTCTCAATCTCCGATTCTCTGATACCACACATTGTCCCTCTCTTCTCCTGCTCCCGCTCCCGCGTGCACCATCCACCGTTTTGTTAATAACTGATCAATCCTTTGTTTCGACACTTGGGCGGACCATTCCCGAAGACGGCGCCAAACCACCCAGGATGAAACAGCTGCTGCCTTGTCCAGTCCAGCTCAACCCCCTAGATTTTCCTGCAAAAAAACTAGTAAAATCCTACTCCCTTGTACGTACCTTCCCGAACGATTGAACGATTGAATACCTCTGTCGCACCTCTTCGGGCGAGGGTGTGCCATTGCTCTGTGAGCATCAATGGGCCAAGACTAGGGCGTATCTGAATCGATGCCTTAGAGAGGTGTTACTGTCTAGACAAGCACCAAGCACTTGGAGTCATGTTTCTCTATGTTTGTTCCTATGCGTCTCAACTGTATAATGCTTGCTGACATGATCGGTACAGCAGCCCCAGGGATGCATTACATGGACTGAACGAGGGAGATTAAGAGGCTACAAGAGAAAGAAAAAAAAAAGGAGTGGATCAGTATTCATGTCCATTCCTGCCTACGCTATATCTTATACCTATCCTACCTTTATATTGTTTCCCAAGCTCCTAGTCTGCAAAAGAAATCTCTATCTTTCACTCATATCCCATTGTTCACTTTCTGTCGCCTCCTATCATCCACACTTCGCACCATCTCCCCTTCACCATTATCAGCCCTCCTGCAAAACTACAAAAACTAGTTGTCTGATCGAGTTCTTGTTTACATCTGTTGGCTCTGTTGACGTGTTCGTAGACAAACAAATTTCCTAGTGAGTGTAACGCAACACTAGAACCATTGCCATCCCTCCTGCGAACTTGCAGCAGCAGCAGCAGCAGCAACAGCAACAACAGCAACAACAACAAAAACCACCTAAGCAACGCTTCTTATAAAAAGGTATCCATCACTATTGATTTGATTCCCTACCTTCGCGGCTGTTATCTTCCGGCCTGTTCCTTTCACGCTTCCAACCGAAAAAACACATCCACTTCCACCATCGATCCTCACTAGCTATTCCGCCACTTCAGTCCAAAGTTCTTGTGCTGATATCTCTACACGACGTTTTCTTTTCTGTTGCAACATATAATACGCGATGCCAGGAATACCAATGACGAACCAGGTCAAGGTATCACTCATGGAGGATGGACGCAAGCAGGAGCGCGTCTTTGGGTTTGTCCAGGATGCGACCTGTCGCTCTGCCGTCGAGCAGGTACGTTTGCGTTGAAAAGACAAGGAGATATAGCAGTATGAGGGGCACAGTTCACTGATCTCAGTTTGACCTGACAATTTCCCTTCTCCCCCTCTCTCTTTTTGTGCAAATAGGTCTGCACCACACTGTCTATACCCGAGGACTGGACTTTCGCGATGTAAGATGACCCTACACTCAAAAGGGCTGTGCCTGCCACCACTCCTGAAAGGGCTTGGTTTCGTAACGACTGACGACAGCTTCTTTCTTTTTCCTGGCGGGCCCGTACAGGTACAGCAGAAAGCACGGAGGATGGATCCATGACGACACACGGATTTCAGACATTACATTCAAGGGTGCGGTATGTGGTACACACACGTACATTTCTGTAGCCGCACAGACACCTTGTTGTTCGTGTCTCTACGCACGCGCCAGCTCACATGTCTCACTTGTCGCGTCCAAAATAGAAATCTCTGGAGTTGCGGAGAAAGACACCGCTATATTTCGAGGCTATTCCCCGCACGCCAGTAGAGCCATCCAAGGTAGAGCCACGTGCACCATGCGTCGTTATTCCTGCTCAAAGGTGTCTCTCATCGTCTCATCGCATCGACTTCTCTGTACGCAAACCCTAGTCTTCTTTACGCGATTCTTCTATCCTCCGTGGTCCCTCATCACCCATCGATCATCATCGCCTCTTCAGCTTTTTCCGGACAACAGATGACCAGTTCGTCTCAAAGTTCGAGAACGGAAGCATCTATCTTTCCGTCATCATCCTCAACAGCGACAAAAAAATCCTGCTCAGCCCCAGCGGGATCCCCCCAACGGTCCTTATCTCAACCATCGGAGGCCTCGCCAGCTACTACAATTTTGATTCTGACTCCTCAGATTTTGCTTGGATGTTCAAAACGACACTCGATTGGGCCTCGGATCCTCCAACCAAGCGAATTCGGAACCCAAGGTCTGCAGCCGCTTCTCCAGAACCGAGACCAATATCCCCCTTCGCAGAATCTTCAGCCATCTCAACGCTCTCTCCACCAAGTTCGCGCGGATCATTCCCAAGGTCAAAGCGTGGCAGCGTCAGCAGTACTACCGGTCCAACCAACAACGGCACCATCACCAATGGCACAAGTAGTAACGGCTCAAAATTAACCGTCAGCTCAGTCTCGATGGATCGCTCCTCAGCATGTCCAAATCGCCAATCCTTGGTTTATGAATATTTGGATCGAAAGGTGGATTATAGAGCTGAAAACTCGCTCAGGCAGGAGTACGTGGCAGCGGTGGAGGAGTTGCAGAGCAAACTTGGGAGCCCTCCAATTGATCTATTGTACGACAAAGTTATCGATATGCCGCTGGTCGGTGCCAAAAGTGTTATCGCAGTTCAGTACGTCCGCGATGACATCAAGGAGCACATCGCACCGGAGCTGATACAGATGGGATCGTTTAGGTGGCGACACATCGATTCTGTCTCAAACTCGGTCTACACAAGAAAGGAGGAGATCTGGTCGAATCTCACCAACTACTATGACAATGTCCGAGGTAAGTGTATACAGTACTAGGTTACATTTGAGCAACGGAAGCATATCGAACTAGAGCTTATACTAATCCTGGCACCGACATTACGGTAATAGTTTCGAAGCCCTCATCGGGCCTCTATGTTGGATTGTACTATACCGAAAGCACCATGTCGGGTCTGCAGATCCTCGTCCCAAGGAAACGTAGAACATGCATCCCTCTCGTCAAACTGAGAGATAAGACTGAGCTTTCGTCTGAAGAATGGAAGTGGGTGTGTTCGACTGCATCTCTAGACTCGGATCAACTGGCCAAAAACTGCGCTGTATCGAAGGACGATCCCATGCACCACCTCAAGGTCGAATTTGCACATTCAACTGCAACTCTATCGCGCCTCACGCAGCTCAAATGGAATCCCTCGGACTTGTACACATTAGACACTATGCAGGTCATGATGCAGAGCGCGAGTTCCCCTCAGCCAACTATTCAGCTGGACTCGCAACAGCTCTTTTCTATGTCCCCTGAGCTGTCAAAATTAGACTTGACCCCATCGCATCAGGGTATGGTGGCGATGGATCAGGATCCTGTCTGGAAGATGGAGCATATCGACGTAGCGACTGCCAAGGCGTTTCGGGTGATTTTATTCGTCAAGCCAACACGCCATGCTACACAGCCCCAGGAGCAATTCAATCGTCAGCTGTTCGAGTTATGCCCGTTCCCAATCTTTGATGCACTTCATCACTCTGTCTTCAACACTGAGACGTACCATCAGTTGCGGAGAAGTATGCTACATCTCACGAACGAGATTATGGATCTGGAGTTCGAGCTGGATCAGGAGATGGAACAGGAGCTGGCCCAGCAAAAGGAGAGAGAACGAGCAGAGGCAGAATCTTATTCGGATGACGATGAGGATGATATGGATGAGTCGTCTTTGATTGAAGACCTGGGCATCAAAGGCGACTCACCGCCTCGTGTCAAATATCATCATCCTCGGCATCGATCTAGTTTCATCGGAGACGAAGCAATCCACGGAACAGGACGCCCCTCCCTCAATTCACTTTTAGAGGCCCTTCAACAATCTGTAGCCATGACTTCATCGGCGGTATCGCTCGCTTCATCCCTATCTTCCACCGGAAACGAAACCCCTGATATTGTACCACAGGATTATTCAGCGGGTAGCAACCGTCCTAGATCAAGGACGTCAGCCATGGAGAACGAGATGGGCCGCGGCATAATCAGTCCTCAAAGAAGGAGAGGATCAAAGGCATCTCAGGACAAGTCTTTAATTGACGAGACCATACGCGAGACACTCAGTGCCTTTATGAACACGGCACGAGATCAGGGCACCACTAAAACTGAGACGATTATGAGCGCCAATCGAAACAATGCCAGCAGCCTTAGTCTCGAAAGCACTAGCAGTATCAGTAGCGCCAGCAGCGACGAAAGCAACAGCAACAGCAACAGAGGCCGAGAAGTCCATTACGAGGAGCTGACGCGGCGTCCCTTCAGCGCCTGCACCGGCCGAATGGAAAATCGGTCATTGTCGCAGGTTGTATCATTGCCTCGGCATCGTCGCAGTTACAGTCTTGTTCAGGCTGCAGATGTGCGGATGGCGGCTCTTCCTGGATTTGGAAGCAAGAGCTCGTCGCGACCTCGTACCAACAGCTATTCGTCTTATACATATCATTCCACACAGCATTCATACTACCACCATTACCAGCATCAGCAGCCCGTCTATCGGAACCGGTACCTCTCCAGCAAGAATTACCCGCATTATTTATCACAGATTCAACAGCATCAGCAGCATCTCCGCCACCATCCTCATCAACAGCAGCAGCAGCAGAACCAGCATTCTGATGATGATTTATTATTTCCGGATAACACGGATCAGATGAACCAATTCCCACCCGAGCTGGCACGCTTGCAAAAGGAGCAGCAGGAACTTCAAGAACAGTGGCGGATGATTTCGTGGACACGCCAGTTGAATGAATGGGACCACGCACGCACGCTCAAGGCCCAGGGCAACCTGCTGGGATACGGCATGGGTATAAACATGGGTATGAGTATGAGTTCGGGGATGGCCGTAAACATGAGCATGAGTATCAACCCCTTAGATGTGGATGACAGTGCCGAGGTCGAATCGTCTCCTGAACTTTAAGAACAACCTAAGCAGCTTCCTCAGCAGCATCAAAAGGGTGGGATCCAGATCCCGTCGTCTCCACCGTCGGCCTCTCCCCCGTCATCGTAGTCAAATGGAGTGGAGGGTCCTTTGTAAATATCATCCATAGCATCCATGATCCCTTACGTCATTGTCTCCTAGACTCAGACTGGGGCCTGAAATAAACGGCGTTGTTATAGTTATAGTCTTAAAACTGCATAAGATATACACGTCAATGTTCATGACATCGCAATAAATCTTACTTCCGGGCAATGACCTCTGAAGCAAGAGGAATCTAGTACTCTGATCACTTGGCCATTTCGTACAGTTGCTTCTTGTTGAGCGCATTGAGCACATTGACATTAGCGTTCATCTTCAGAAGCTGCTAATGCAGCTCACTTTTATTGAGTTGAGAAAGTCTTGTGCTTCTCAGGCTGGTCGTCCTGCTCGGCCTCAACCTTTTTCTGACTATATCCTTGATATTCCTTACGATGGTGCTTGGCATTGTCCATGACAAATACAACTTCAGGAAGCCTTAGACTTTCCTTGTAGTGGCGACACAGCTCGTCCAGGTACTTCTCGAAAAACCTGTGCGTTCATATTCTCGTGATAATCACCTGTTCCCTCATACTTTGCTGGCCAAGCCCATGGCTCCTCAATTCATCCATTCTTCCAGTCAGCATGGCAACTTGTATTATCGTAGTCGTCGAAGCCATCTTCCACAGCATCCAAGGCTTCGGCCCAACCTACTGCCAACTCGTTCGCAATTTGTTAGTCGATTGTTCGTCTCGCGTTGATCCTTCTTCCTATATCGGTCGCGGTCTAAAACGAAAGTATAAACGAGTGCCTTGTCTTTTCTTCATGATTCATGACAGACAGAGGTTGGCCATACCTTGGTAACGTTTGATTGTCATTTGAAATTGGTGACCGGCAATGGCGGTTCCGAAAACGCGCTTTATGAAGAAACGCTCAAGGCTGGTATTAGTAAATCGATGTCTGCAAAGTCGATGCCGTGCCCCGCCTTGTAGAAAGTCGTGTCTAGGCCGAGATCTTGGGATGATGAATTTTGGATGAGGATGAGGATGAGAATGAGGACATGGTTTTTTTTAGAAAACACTCGCGGTCAATGTAAGCAAACTGGAGCTTGAGAAGACAACGGCACGCTCCGATGTGCAAAAAGTTAACTCAGCATTGAGATTTAGGGGCGATGAAGAAACCACAAAGATTTGTAGCGATGTAACTTCTTCAAAGCAAATGATGGAAACGCGCTGTAAAGCCCTGCTATCTGAACTCAATGGAGTCCTCAGTGACATTGTAGATCCGGGGGGATAGCATTCGTATTGGGGGAGCATCTTTTGGTCATGTACTATCTTACTATCGTTGGTAGGTCTTTACATGGACTAATGCCTGGCTGGACCAATGGCTGATAAGTGCCTAAAGGGCGCGATCGACCGATTACTGTCTATAACAATACATTCGTGTCCTTGTCTTTTCCTGCTCAACCGCTTGGTACCAGAGGCGGATGAAGGAGAGCAACGAATCATTACGCCGTCCGCCTTACTGCTCCACCTTGTTTTTTTTAGTTTACTTTGAGAGCCACGCCAGGATACACGCACTCGACCATACAAACGCTTCAGGAGCAACAGGAAAATACCACCGCCAACAAAGAAAAAGTGTGGGAAGAATCTGTGCAGTTGCCTCTTTTGGACAGATACTTCGTCGAGACTACAAAGGGGGAGAAAAAGAGTCATCCAAAGGGATCCCACGGAGGCGAGATTATATCGAAATCATATGGCGTGTGTGTGAGTGAATGAAATGCTACAGGGGAAAGGGAGGAGGGAGGGGAGGGGGAACCTATTTTTCCCTGTCCCCTCCACACTTCACACCCTTTTTTTTCCCTTCTCTTCTTCTCATCACCTCATCCCATTCACTCTCTTCTCTCCACTCCATTCCATTCCATTCCTCATCACCCTCCCACAGCCATGTCTCTCAGCATCCTCTCAAGGGCCATCAAGCCCACCATGGTCGCAAACGTCCGCACCATGGCCTCAAAGTCCAAAGGTATGCATCACACACACACACACACACACACATCGTCGTAGTGGAGACTGGGCAGGGAGCGGATCTTCGGATTGTTGATTGAATTCCTTATCCGTGTCCGTTCTAACATCTTTCTTTGCTTCGATGGACAGCATTTGTCAAGTACGACTGGACTGATCCTCTCAACCTGAACTCACAGCTCACTGACGAGGAAATCGCTGTCAGGTACGTCAAGAGGGGCGTCCATACACAACCAGATGCATCCGATTAGGCTGTATATACTCATATAATGTTGTCATACTGCTTACACTGGAGATAGAGATGTTGCCCGCGAGTACTGCCAGGAAAAGTTGATGCCTCGCGTCATTAAGGCCAACCGCTTTGAGAGTAAGTCTACGTTAATGGAACCCTTCCCCCCCCCAAAAAAAAAAAAAAAAAAAAAAGCACGCGTTCATTTAAGATATCGCGATAGAATCTGGCTTGTCCGCTAATATTTCAACTCATGCTTTTCGTTTTTCCCAAAATAAAAGACTTTGACAGGGAGATCTTGTCTGAGATGGGAGAGCTCGGTCTCTTGGGATCTACGATCGAGGGATACGGCTGCGCCGGTGTCTCATCCGTTGCATATGGTTTGACCGCCCGTGAGGTCGAGAGGTGTGTATCTCTCTATTGTGTCAAACGAACAGAAAGAGAGAGAGAGAGATGATGGTTTTTTTGACAAGTAAATGCTGACTAACAACTGGGTCACATGTTTTTTTTTTGCTTGTTCATGAGTATAGAGTTGACAGTGGTTACCGCTCTGCCATGAGCGTGCAGTCCTCCTTGGTCATGCATCCCATCTACGCTTACGGTACCGAGGCCCAGAAGGAGAAGTGGTTGCCTCGCTTGGGTAAGGGTTTCTCTTGTCATGTTTTATTCCGCAATTGATATATAATTTTTCAAGCTAATTTTGATTTTATTCCTTTCCTCAACGCCCTGATCTGCAAATGATAGCCAAGGGTGAGATTGTTGGATGCTTCGGATTGACCGAGCCCAACCACGGTTCCGACCCCGGTTCGATGGAGACCGTCGCTAAGAAGGTCAATGGCCACTACGTTCTCAACGGCTCCAAGACCTGGATCACGAACTCGCCCATCGCCGATGTCTTTGTTATCTGGGCCAAGGACCAGTCCGACGGCAACAAGATCAAGGGCTTTGTCCTTGAGAAGGGCATGAAGGGACTCTCGGCACCTAAGATCGAGGGCAAGTTCTCGCTTCGGGCCTCGATCACCGGTATGATCATGATGGATGATGTCGAGGTTCCTGCCGAGAACCTCCTCCCGAACGTCCACGGCCTCAAGGGACCCTTTGGATGCTTGAACAACGCTCGCTTCGGTATTGCATGGGGCGCTCTCGGAGCAGCGGAGTTCTGTCTGGCCCAGGCTAGAGACTACACGTTGAACCGCAAGCAGTTCGGTGTCCCATTGGCGCGCTTCCAGTTGATGCAGAAGAAGATGGCGGATGCGAACACGGAGATTGCGCTCGGACTCCAGGCCTGCCTGCAGGTTGGCCGTTTGAAGGACGAGGGCAAGATTGCACCGGAGATGATCTCGATGATCAAGCGTAACTCGTGCGGAAAGGCCTTGGAGATCGCCAGGAACTCGCGTGATATGCTCGGAGGCAACGGTATCAGCGACGAGTACCATATTATCCGCCATGTTATGAACTTGGAGGCCGTTAACACGTATGAGGGAACGCATGATGTCCATGCCTTGATCTTGGGACGTGCTATCACTGGCTTGCCCGCCTTTGCTGCTACGGACTAGAAGAAAAACCGATGGCGTACATTTTACCTATAGGCCTGCAATACCTTTTATAATGCTTGGCTTTTGTGTTTATACATTTATTCTTTCTGTAGTCAAAATAAAACATCTATAGATTCGCTTTTTTTAACATACGACCGATCATTATGATTTGAGGAGGAGGTATATTTGCCCTGTCTACACGGCAACGGTGTTGCTGACTGCTTTCAGACTACGCTGCGGTGCTGGTTTAATGGACCCACGATCAGGGACGAGCGGCAGAAAGTTGACCTGGGGACGGTAGCCATACATTCGGATCAAGACCATGTTCCAAATGAAAACCGGCATGCGGTTTATAAAGAACCGGATTACCACATTAATGAGATTCTATGGGCATAATCAGGAAAATTTGGGCAATAGAGCTGGTGTCAGTAGATCTGGCAATCAAGTTGAACAGCTACAAAATGAGGCTAGGAAGGGGAGGGGTGAAAGTTTGTACTACTATTACTGCTACTATACCTTGCCGAGGATCCGACCCATTTTGCGACTGGTATCGAACGAGACCTTGGCAATAGGGTAGCGCTCGTCACGATAGGCTTGGAATGCTTTGGTGATGTCGCATGGTTCTCCGCTGGGAAGGTCGTGAAGTGCGTTGGCGAGGATTACAGCGTCGTGGATCGCGCTCACGGCACCCAATCCTGCTGCGGGGTGCACCTGTTGTATGGAAAGTTATGATAAGTAAATGTAGGTAGAACGTGTTGTTTACTCTGTAGATCAGCGCATGAATACAGCGGGCAGTGTTACCTTGTGGCATGCTATTCAAAAATACGTCGCAGTGGAAAAATAAGGCCATTGTCAATATACATAATCCTTTACAAACGAGAAAAAGCGTAACAGAAAACGATAGAGAATGGACGCGGACAAAACTATCGAGCAACGATTTGCATGATTGTATGAAGAACCAGACACATCTCTTACCGTCACCGAGCAGAACCGTCCTCATGCCATACCAGGTCTCGAACAGCTTCTCCTCCAGCATAACCTTGCTGATCAGTTCCTTATCTGTCTCTTTAATAAGATCGCCAATAGTGAGACCCGGATAGCTAGGCAGCGGGAAGTCCTTCACCTCTTCGCACATCACCTGTGCGGACTCGGGCCCCCATTCAGAGTTGCGGAAGCTGTCGTGCGCACGCGAGGACTCCTTATCGAGGTGTTGGATCACCATCCAGCAGAGTGTGTTCTGGCGCGTAGTGAACGTTACCCACTGTCAAATTAAAAAAAAAAAAAAAAAAAAAAAAAAAAAAAAAAAAAAGGTAGATGGTGTGAGTAGGCAGAGGTGATATGATTGTAAGGGTATGACCCACATCCGTATCAAACAGAGGGCGCTTACACTGTAGGGCCTATTGTCACCAACAACGATATCGAACCTCGAAAACGTTTCCTTCAAGACCTTCTCAAATCGTGCATCATTTATATCCATCACCCTCGTCTGTCCAACAAGACAGATGCTCGAAAATGGCAACTGTTCCCAATCCTTGTCCGCCTCAGGTAAAAGTTCCATTTCGAACAATTGCCTGTACAGCCCTTGACGCACCCCTGAATAAGCACCATCCGCGCCCACGAGGATACTGCCCTCGTACGTGGACTTGTCTGCACAGGTGATCGACACTCCATCTTCTTTGTGTTTTAGCGACAGGACTCGCTTTTGAAGATGCACCTTGTGCGGAGGGATAGTGCTTAGGAGAAGTTCGTACAGCTGAGGGCGAGGGATGATGTGAGGAAGGTAGCCAGCACTACAAAACCGTGATATTGAATGAGTGTTAAGCTCTACAAACAGGTCCGTATTGAGCAAGTATAATCGACTTTGAACAAAAAAAAAACCTACAACTCGTTGGCGGCCGAGTAGTCGCGAACACGGACGGTATCATGATTCTCGCCATGGGCGCGCGTTTGGCCAAAGGGCTTGGCCTTTGCATGTAATTGCTCCAAAAGACCGAGCTGCTTGAAGATATAGAACACGTTCGCGCCAAGGCTTAATGCAGAACCTATCCGTCCACCATAAAATCAAGATTAGATCCCCAAGTATCACTGAGGTTCGGTATGGTTGCCGTTGTCACACTGTCCTTTGCATAGGCATACCAAGGGGTTTGATTGCGGGCGCTCGCTCAAATACTTCATAGTCGACTTGCGCTCGCTCCAACAAGCCAGCCAACATCAGACCGCCAACGCCTGCGCCCACAATCAATACTTTGAATCCTGGTGGTGGAGGCATTGTCTGCAGGGTTTTTCTTTGTGCGAAGCTGATATAGAAAAAAGAAAAAAAAAAAAAAAAAAAAGGGTGATGAGGAGAGGAATAAAGAGAACAAGATGAGCATGCACCTCATCTTCATTCCTGTTTCCGAAGAGAGGGCGCCTGTTCGCCTAACTGCCGGACATTTTGCTGTGTGTAACGAGCTGAGCCCTGTGCAATCGTGCAAATCAAAGTGCATCTCAATAACGAATGCATCCACGCCCTGGATAAATGAGATGCCGCCATACAAAAGAACCTCAGCCAATCTTCTATGCCCGCTTTTAAAACTTGTGCTGTTTATTTCGCAATTGGAATATTCTGCAGTGAGGAGGCCGAAGGAATGGTCGATTTCTTTTAAGCTTCAGGTGCTGTGCTGTCGGTCTTTGAACTGTTCACAGCAACGGCTGTCGAGCTCATACCTCCTGCAGGTCCAGCTTGCAAGATCTTTTGGCGCTCCTCGGGTTTGGGAATAACCACACCGCCCTGGCGAGCGCGGCTCAAAATCTTTTCTGCCCACTTTACGACAGGCAAATCGATGCTATATATTCATATTGAAGAGAGGCGTCAGTTGTTCCCCGTCATGATGCGTGTTCCAGCGAATGGTCATGCGGGTGGAAACACTTACACCTTGCCGTTGTAGTTGAACGCTCCAACCCCACGCTTAGAGTGTTCTTGGTAGCCCTCGCTGATGTCGGCGGCCCTTGCGATCTCTAAAGGAGCGGGATAGATATAATCCATTGAACGATTAGAGGAGGACTTAAATACACTCCTCATGAAGTCGACAGTAAGAATCTACTGTGTACCATGGTCAGTGGGCAAGAAGCAGCGCTGGATGATTTCAAGTTGACGAGGATGAACTGCCTGCTTGCCCAAGAAGCCCATTCTGCGTCCAAATTCACATTCTTCCTTCAAAATCTCGTCGTTCTTGTAATCCATGCAGACCTAATCCAATACATATACAAAAAAGAAAGCTAGAATTAGTCTTCAGACTTGTACCGTCATGTATGGTTTTGCCCAAGTGTCATCTGTATTCGAATGTGGTTTACCAGATCAATGGCCTGAAGACCATAGGCGTGCGCGGCAGTGACAATTGCTGATCGACCATAGAGCATCTCGATCCCTTCACGGGTCCTGGTCAAGCCCAAATCCGCACAATAATCCTCCGCTGCGAACTAAACGATCAGAGGATAGAAGTTGTATTTCAGGTGAATGTCCAGGCGCAGCAAAGGATGGCAAAAGCATATTAGTGAGTTTACATACCACCAATGCGTCCACGCGAGGGTCGGAAGTTGCAATCTCCTTCAGGTTCATGATTCCAAGAGCACTCTCGATTGAAGCGATAATCCTGACATTCTTGCGCCTAGATAGAATAAAACTGCACGTCAGTTGTATGTTTCCCACGGAGTTATTAGCATGCGATACCATTCCTCCATCCTCTGCTCTTACGTGATGAATGGGGCGACACTGTCAACCATCTGGCTGACAAACTGCACATCCTTTGCGGACTGGACTTTGGGAATAACAATCGCCTGCAGTCTGCTGGATCGAAGCTATAATCCATTCACAATAGACGTGATTAGTTCCTACCATAAAACGACATCCTGACTAGCGTACATTCAATAGCAAGCGCAGACACGTACCACGACGTTCAAGTCATCGAATTCCAAGCCAGACCCAACAGCGTTGATGCGAACAGCCTTCTCGGCCTTGCGATGTTCCGATGCCTCGAGCGCGTCAAAAACCATCTCGCGCGCAATGTTTTTGCGGTTGTGAGCCACGCCATCTTCGAGGTCATAAACGAGACAGTCAGCACCAAGGGAAAGCGATGACTTCAGCTTGCGTTCATCACTTCCGGGAACTATTGGAATACAAGACGTGGAAATGGTCAGAACATGTTCATGTACAAGTGTACCATGCATTTGGCTGCCACGTCTAGGCTCTTATTACCATAGAAAATAGACCGTCGAATACGCTTCTCTGGCTCTAATCCCTGAACCCCAGAACCTTGATTGACACCGGATCCGGCAGCTACTGAAGATGATCCCGCCGTTGCAACGGTTGATGAGGATGCAGCTGGAGATAGGGTAGTGGTGTCGCCGGCGAGCAGGGTTGTCGAGGAGCTCAAGTATCTTTTCCGCAAAATAGCTTGGGCAGCTATAATGGAGAATAAGTAAGCAAGAGAACAGGATACACAACGGAGTGAAAGTGAACAAGAGTCAGTCTCGATGGTTGACATGTATTTCGAGTGTCTTTGATTGCGTCGGTCGCACTGCAGCCTTCAGCACACAGTCCAAATGGCGCGTCATATAAAGCCGACTCACGCTGTGTCGCGCCCAGGGTTCTGTTGAGTGCGCTGCGAGCAGCAAGTGTTCTAAATGAGGCGAGCATGATGGGAATGCCGAGTCTTCTAGGATGGGGTGGGAGCGGACGCGACGATGCGGAACATCCTGCCAAACGAAACGAACCGAATGCCCAAATATGGATGCCTGCTACATAAGGTTTGACAAGTCTGTCTTGCTGCACAGCTCTCCAGCACTAAATAGACTGGCAGTGCTGGTGAAGCGAGTGATATTGATCCCGAGTATCCAAGAGATGGTCCGTTTGTGATCCGTTCTAGGCCTGGCGCCCTAATGCTGCCCCCACAATGGCTGATTGTTCACCTGGGGACCGCGGTCCCTGGCCGCACAAGTTGTCGCCACCAAAAATGGACACTCCATGTTGACCGCAGTCACTATTTATACGGGCCTCCAAAAAAAAAAGAAAAAAGAAAGCTTCGCTTACTTCCACCTCTACCACTCACCTCACCCGGCCAAACCCTCAGCATGCACACATATCGGAGAGTCTCTGGAATTACAGATTCATTCGTCCATCATCTCGCAGGATTATCACTGCACCCTCGCGGGGCTGCCTCAGCAAAGAGAACCTATGCCAGGGTAGCACGAGCTCGGCCCAAAATTCCGAGGGTGCCTTCCAATGCCTCTCCTTCCGCTAGCTCGATTGCCTCTTCAAGAGGCGATATCGAATCCACAGCCGAGGCATTTCTGAAAAGCACAGATACTACCGCCTCGGATATCAAACTGCCCGGCAATTTCAAGCTGGCCAAGCTGCAGACTGTGAAGGAGTATGATCCGAATATGGTCATTTTTCTCGACAAGCAAGGAAACGTCTCAATGATTCCCCACGACGACAGAGTTACTGGACAGACGCGGGAGCAATATGATGCCAATACGGGTGCCGAGGGCCTTGACGATAGGCCTCATCATCAGCGTGGATCAAAGGAGATGGACTATGGGCGCAAACGTATAGGGCAGGTAGAGATGCCTAGAGCCGTCCAGGACGCTATCCGAGCAATACTCGATGGTACGCAATAATCAAACTTCACCCCGGCCTCTGGAATAAGCAGGTAAATACGCATGGAACTCACCTAGCCTTTAATAATTTTAGAACAAGACAAGTCGCTAGTCAGAACAGATGCACTCAGGTTGTATGGATCGCTGAGGTCAACAGGGGCATTAGAAGGCGATTATTTTACGGAACTTCCAGCAAAGAGTACGTGCTCACACTCGGGATTATGCTGTATCTGAGTTCTCATACTTCTTACATGCATCGGGCAATAGCTAACATTAATCCCGTTTACTAACACAGGACTGAAGAGCGGATCTGGGGATGTGGGGTCTAAAGGCGACAAGCCTGTTCTGGCGCACATTTTGGAGTACGGCTACCGAGAGTCTACGGCCTACATTGCTGCAATAGCGCCTACGACCTACAGTGCGATCAAAAACGTGCTCGAGGAAGTGAATCGACGTATTCCTGACCTGCAGCCCAAAACCTGCTTGGACTTTGGAACCGGACCCGGAACAGCCATTTGGTATGAAAGACAACTCAGGGTGGACGCAAAGATATGCAGGTTTACCAGGCACACATTCACGGTCAGACTAACGCTCAAAGATATCGGCACTCTTTATTGCTAGGGCCGCTAATGATGTATGGGAAACACCTATTCAGTACACGGGAATTGATGCATCCATGTCCATGTTAGAGACTGCGGAGGAAATTTTGGGCTCAATGGCGACAGCGGGGGTGGCTATTCCCAATGTCACCTTTAAACCATTCCTCTCGCATGGGTCTCAGAGCACAAAGCACGATGTTGTTATCAGCGCGTTTACACTGAGTGAGCTCACAACACCTGCGCTCCGAAAGTCGACACTGGAGCACCTTTGGGATTCGACGAACGATTTGCTGGTAGGGACGGGGAGCCTCATGTCATCGCCCATCGCTCTTCGTATTCCTATCCCGAAAGCAAACTGAACTCAGTTGCCTTGGCTTTTGCAATGCGATCTCATAGATTCTGATTGACCGTGGAACGCCCAGTGGATTCAAAACTCTTGCAGAAGCGAGGGAGCAGATTTTGGGCCTCGACCTGGATCGTGTCAAGGCCAAACCAAAATACGATGCCTGGGGTAATCTTTTGCCGGAAGAAGAGCCACCGAAGAGGGAGTCCGCTCATGTTCTGGCGCCAGTAAGTTACTGTTCATTTCTTGAAGGACAAGGAAGATAAGCTGCATCGTACCTACCATGTCCGACTGACATTGCTTGCGACTCTTCAACTATAAAAATAGTGCCCTCATGATAAGGTTTGCCCTATGTATACGTCTTTGGCACGTGACTCTCAATGGTGCCACTTCTCTCAAAAGGTCCAACGGCCCGACTTCCTGGTGAGTTCGCGGCAAACCCTTTTATTGTATAAAATATAGATCTGGTATTTCCCGATCTAACCAAGTTTTTGACGGGCTACAGCGCAAGACAAAGCATTCCAAGGAGAATTTCGAGGACTCCAAGTACACATATGTCGTCTTGCGCAAGGGAGCTCGTCCAGTGTTTACCCCAACATCAGTAATACAAACAACGCCTGCGCCAGAAGCCCAGCTTCAATCGCAAACACAGTCGCTAGAGGTCTTGGACGTGCCATCAGAAGGCAGTGCTGACTCCATCACGAATAAGAAAAAGTACAAGAAGATCCCACCACCGCCACCAGTGACCTACGACAACGCCGAGGACATGTTTGCAGCCTCACACTTGTGGTCCCGCATTGTTGTACCGCCGCTCAAGAAGGATGGACATGTAGTGATCGACACATGTGCAGCTAATGGATACCTGGAACGCATTATTATCCCTAAATCGCAAGGCAGGATCCCCTACAGAGACGCTCGCAAGGCCATGTGGGGTGATCTATTCCCACATGCGCCCAAGAACAAGCCAGTGAGGAAAGATACCGTTAAGAACATGACCGACGCCGATAGAGAGGGAGACGAGGCAGCAGACGAGGATGGGAAGAGCATCAAGAGGAGACCGCTGGGAGTCGGTTCTGAAGCGCTTCAGAAGCGGGCAAAGCAAAAGGAGAAGAAGCAAAGTCGACAGAAAGTTTCGTTGGACCAGATTGATGGCACCAAGAGCAGTCGAAAGGGCAAGAAGGGAGGCAAAGACGAGGACGTCTTCCTTGAGCTGTAATTCTAGATTTTGAAATATAATGCTTTTGGCACCGCACACACTTTATTATTCGTGCATGTACCAGTACACGAAATAGCGTTCCTGCATTGCTTTAGCTTTTTCCCCATCTCAGGTCAATGTCTATCTCGTTATTTCTCAAAAATCGTGCTCGAAAAGAAAATAACAGGCGACGAGCAAATCATACAGTCGTTTCAGCTTTGCTCCATCCCTGACTCTTCACTCTCAATTAAAATCATCTCCATCCCACTCGGCTGGTTTCTATAACCAGAGGTAACATCTCACAAATTTATCTTAAGGCTCCATACCATTCAATCAGGCCAGCCCGATATCGTCACAGCCGCAAAAGCAGAGACTGACGTTGACAGGAACCATCAAAAATAGGTCCTTGATCTGTAGTAATGAATTCCGCGAAAGCAGAAGCAAATGGACGCGGAAGAGAGGAGGACGCATTAACAATTATTGGACAACCAGAATACCAGAAGTACATGTTCAAGGTACAGCAGCAGGCCCTCGATCGGCAAGCCTAAATCCATGGCGAAGTCGAAGTCGTTCTCACCCAAGCCTATGAGCTTCACGAGTATCCAATTCCTCGGCTGCTTATCGTTCTACCAAAAGTACCCCGACATCGCGACAAGCTGCTCATACCAGTTTCGACTGTACTTCCTGTGTGAGTGTGGCGCTCATACTATAGCTAAAGGATCTAAAGCCCCGCACGAGATTCATCTGGCGAAACTCGAGGGATACGACCTGGACCGGCCGATCGGGTTCTTTGACAAGTATGGATCCTTTGTCCTGGCGCTGATGCAGATGGTCAAGTTCAGGATCACCATGACTGGAGCCATTGTACCGCCATTGGCGCACTTCAAGGTTGCGGAGGGACTCGAGGCCGTCGAAAACCAGTTCAAGTTCGTGAGGGAGGGCTTCGAGCCTCTTGTGGACGACATGATCACCTTTATCGAAGACGAGCAAAAGAACGGAGTCGTATCTGCAGGTCCAGGACAAGGGCCGCGTCCTTGCTACTTTGTGCCGAATCGTCACAACAAAGTACAGCGGAACTTTTGGCTGTTGCTAGGTCCATTTTAAATAGACCTCAGGCAGCTATGGAGGCGCTTGAATATTCTATGGTGGAAACACTGGATTTTTCGACGCCAACTTTTCGATAGACGGTCTCTGAAGGCTAATATATTGCATCCCAGACAATGGGTCTGAAATACAACTGAAGGCTGTGGACCTGAGAGGAACACTCCTCACTCTGCAGGGATTTTCCTCTGATCTGTAATCTATGGGGGTTCATTACATTTTATTCTGATGGCACAGCACCTCTCGCGCTTGTACTGAACCGACTACCTCTTAATTTTTATACACAGGAAATCTCATTCGCCAATAAGCGCTCACTCTTGCACAGCAAGGCTCAGAGCGCAACTAGAAACCCTCTCAATGGGGTCCCTGCTCAATCGCAGGGCTGGGAAGTCTCACAGTCGCTCCAGCTTTCACCCTCTCCTGAATGTCACTCATTGATTCCGGTCCAGGACTAATCAGTGCTAATCTTTACACCGTCCAATCTCCCCAGCTTCCACGTCTTCCCCCGTCGAGTCTGAAATCTGTTTCTCTTCAACAGAGATAACAAGGCTGACTGGGCCTTCAACCACTTTGCCTAGTTCGAAATCTGAGCCCCTCGACCTTACAAACTCATCGCTTAAAACAGGTCGTTGAAGTATCGCGAGTGACTCTTCAAGTCCAACAACCCTTGGATGCAAAGAAGCCATCCTGGCGAATTTGCCCGCACGGCCCAAGAACGATTCCGCGCTAACCGCTCGCTTCACGACCTTACTGGTATCCATCGACATCCCATCGCTACAACTGTTGATTACTCCGGTGCTCAACGTATCCATGTCCTCAGCGTGCCACCCATCCGCGGCTGCAGCAGTGGTTGCCGCAGAGGCCGACGACGGAATCGACGTGAATGTATCCGATGGACCGAGCTCATTCTCTATCGCCATCAGTGGCTGGCTCTCACACAGAGCCAGCTGTTCCATCGACAAATACTCTCTCACGTCCTTGACGGCTGTCGAGGCGTTCGAGACGGGCCCTGTAGATGTCTGTGCGCTATAAGTACCAGACTGGCGCTGCCACTGCATGAACTGGTCTCGCGAAGGTGGAATAGGCTTGTAGTTCAAATAATCCGTCTTGTTCATCGACACGGTCTGTGTCATGACTGCAGCGGAAGCAGTAGTTGGTGTTGATCCCAGAGCCGAGGCAGATCCAAGTGAGCTCTGTGAATTCGTCGGCCGCAAGGACATGGGCGTGTACGCCGATGGCGATTCCGAAAACCTCCATCCAGCTTGATCACTCACGTCTACGATACCGGCCGAGCGTCCGACCATGTTCGAGGAAAGGGTTGCGATTGAAGATAGAGTTGTTGGCCGAGAAGATGTCGCTGCGTAATTCCCCTCTCTCGCACCTGCAAGCACTTCGATATGCTTGGCACACTGATTGCCATCTCTGCATGTCGAAATAGCGCTGGCTGGAGGCGTACTTGATGTTGCTTCTGGAGGTGCAAGGGCCTCCACGCTTGGCCGTCGATCGCTCGAAAGCGATACTCTGCCGAGAGCATCTCTCGACGAAAATCTCTTTAAAGAATGTGGCGACGTGGTCGTGCCATTAAACGCGCTGCTGGTGCCAGTACTCGACCTCAAAGGCGCCAAGGGCAAAGGGCTGGCAGTATAAAGCGATGAGGAGGACAAAGGTGAAACCGCCGTTGCTGAAGGTGGCACGAATGACGGCTGAGATTGATGTGGGCACGAGTTTCGTGAAACAATGGCAACAGAGGTGTTGATCTGTATTGGCGTCTTGTTTCTTAGGATGTACCCTTCTTTAAATTTTAGGGGTTCCTGACTGGGCACAGGGGTTGAGTTTTCCTTTTGAGGAGGATACCGTGATGGACCCGTATTCATGCGTTGACGTGAGTACTGACATTGATGATGACACTGGGGATGGTGATGTTGGTGTTGAACATAATGACAATGTTGGTGGTATGTGCATGGATCGCCAGAGCTGCAATCTTCGCTCCAGCTTCCAAGGGTTGAGCTTGGTGCTTTTGATCCGAGGTGAACAGTGGGCCCAAGAGCAGAGGTGTCGTTTGAGCTGGCTCGTCGTCTCACGAGCGTTGTCAAAAAGTTGTGAGCACGGCCTTTCATAGACGAATGAGGCGGAGCAGCATTCACTGGAATAGTGCTAACATTCGCCTGTGGTGTAGGGGGAGTTCCTGACGGCAGGGCGTGATGGTGTTGAGTCTCATAGGGCCCACTAATACCTCGAGAGTGGGAAGGGGAAGATACGGTGCGCACTCCCTGAGTCGCAGCTGCAAGTTTCTTAGGACTCGTCTCCTTGAAACCCTCTTGGATTGTGATAAGCAGAAGATCTAATTCTGACTTCGATCGACCCTTGCTATTGTCTGTGGATTTGGATTAAATACGTGAATCTGTATAAGTACAGGCTCTCAAACATCAGTCAGTTGAGAAAAGTATATCAGCGTAGCTTACGAATACTCATTCCAAGGACGTCATCGCTATCTTTCTTCTCGACCATTGTAGGTGTTGCCCTCTCGATATCCCCAAAAGAGGAACGCACTTGTGGATAGTCCAAATGCGACACACCATTTCGATTCATTGCAAACGCCATCTCGGATGGCGAAGGAGTTCCATAAATCGTTCGCTGCGCCATCGGACCATTGTCGTACGGATGCGGAGCCTCATGCCTTAACAAGGTATTTTCATTAGGTCGGCCGGTCGTCATCATTGGAAGATACATGGAAGATAATGACGAACAATTCATTGAGCATCCGGACGACTCAGTGCAGCCACAAGCGTTTTGGCGGTAAGAACAGTTGGAGCAGTGGCTGTAGCACATGTAGTCGCATTGTCCTGAGGCATGGAACTGCTCGCCATATCTGGGTGTATCGGACTGGCTCGACAACGTCCTCAAAGCAGGCGCAGACTTGGGTGTCTTGATCGGTAATGGCAATGAAGTCGTCGGTGACACAAGGGTCTCGATATATTTAGGTCCCTCGAAGATGCGATCTCGTTGCTGACACAACGATAGCGAGTATGGACTATCTCCTTCTGAAACCTGCTGCTCCTTCTCCTTGGCCCGGAAGCCAGCAAGAGATCCCTCAGCGTTGGAATCTCTTCGGCGTGCTCTGAAAATGGATGCAGCTGTCTCAGAACCGAGAGTCACTAAGGAGTTACGGGGACTTGACCGCAGTCCGGGCGTACTTCCAGTTTTCAAGGTACCATGCAAATGTTGCTGCTGCTTCTCGTCGTTCGCAATTGCGCATGAACTTGCGGGAGCGGTCATCGAGCGGCAAAGATACCTGTCTCTTTCGTATAAACAATGGTGGATGTGTTGATTGTGACAACTGCTACATTCATGGCGGTGGCTATTGTAGTAAGAATAGGTCTGACATGGAGAAGCGGCATTTGATGATGGAGTAGACGATACAGGAATGTTCGACATCGAAGGCTGACTGAAAGGAGGCGTGCTTGTAGCTGGGGAAGTGGTTGTCGATTGCACCGGTGTTCCTAAGGTAGTTGCTGCCATCGCCTTCTGTTGCCTGGCCAACTTCTTGTCCGAATCTCTCTCCTTTGTCAAACAGTTCGCCTTGGCGACCAGACTTTCCAGCATGCCGGAGCGAGCTCGTTGATGGGGCTTGATCAGTCGCGGAGCTTTGTACGCCGCATTCTCCCCATTGATCATTTTGCACAGCAAAAATGCGCGTAGCTCCTGTGGGGTCCTGAATATTGGTGGGTCAGGCAATGGTGGTCCAAACTCTGGCACCTGGTCGTCGCATGCAATAGTGGCAGCATATCCTTTGGTTCCGTCGGGTAGTGAGATCAAATGAATGACTACAAAGATATGCAGGAACTGGGATTTTATGGCGTTGGGGATGAAGGGCTGCTCGCCGTCGACGAATACGATGCACACAATGTCATTTCCGATGTGTCTTTTGCGTTGGATCTGTTGCTTGTCATCATTATTGTGAGGCAGAAGTGTTGAGACGTGGTACATGATCTCAAACCCCTCTCCCCAGGTGTCATAGTAGGAGTATTCGCCCGCTTCGCCTACTGCAGTCATTAAAAAAAAAAAAAAAAAAAAAATCGGTCAGCGAGCGAACATGAGCAATGACTGCTACGAAAAGAAAACGTCTATTACTATACACATGAGCTCCAGATCCATTCACTTACGTCGTGTATCGAGCCCGGCTGAGAAACGCTCAAAGCCCTTCAAGGTTACCTTCTGGCCCAAAACACCGCTCTCCAAAAATTCCTGGAATCTCGTGCTGGACGCCATTTGGTTATCGAACCATTGTTCCTCCTTTGTCTGACCAGGATGGACCAGCAGAACGCCAAATTTGTAATTGAACCTAAGCATGGTCTCATCGAACTTTGCCAGCTCCCGTTCAAAATGTGGATTGGTTTGAACCTTCTTCAGCTTGGAGGCGGCCTGCTGCGTGATTGCGGGATGAATCGATTGGAGAATAGTCTTCCACTGCGGTTTTCCAACACGACGTGCCAGGTTATTGAGGGGACTCGGCTCTGGCTCAGGTAGCGTAATTCTTAGGCTGTCCACATCCTTTTGTCGCAAGATACAGCGGTACTGCCAGCGCGGGGGAGCGGTAGAATGATTCGTAGATACACTATTGAGGTTTACATGACTGTTGTTGTTGTAGCTGGATGCTTGAATCGACAATATCGTGGGTGTGGGCGATGTTGCATTAGAGGTCGGTATTCTTTGGGAGTTCGAGGCGATAGTTGCACCGGCTTGAGGGGTTGACCCATTTACCAAGGTCGAACAATCTTTCCTAAAAGATTTAACAGTGAATATCAGTTATATATGAATATTACTTATATATGAATATCAGTTATATATGGATTTCAGTCCAATAAAAGGAATGGCTCATGCTGGTCAAAAACGGCCTAACATCTGACCTTCCTGCTCCTGGGACAACAGCAGTCGACGCTGGTAGGATTACTCGCATAGCTTCTGAGCTCGATCGGGAACTGGATATCAAGCTGCCTCCTCCACTTCCGAGATGCTGGCCTCTGCCGGGGTAAAAGCTGTTGGTTGAGCGGGCAATCTCAGGTCTCATGTGCACCGTAGGATATATCGCTTCACTTGGCACGAATGATGACGCGCTGTTTGATGTGACCATTGTCGACGAGCTGGGAGCCAATCTACCAGGCGTACTCGGTCTTGCTTCTGTGGGCACAACCATATCCTTGATGATTGATATAATGACTGTGCCCAGTCCTTCAACCTGACCAACAAACGTTCGGTGTTCTAGTTATTTATTTATTTATTTTTTGATACATGCAAACACATAGAATTCAGTTATTAGGCCTGTAACATCGCATGCAGCGTTTCGACAGCTGTCATCTCTGAGTTGCCATACCTTTGCCAAGGAACCAGTTACGATAGTAGTACGCTTCATGGCCCATATGTTCCCTTGAGTAATCACCTAGCATGGATATGCCTGGCACTGGAGCTGAGGTCATGGCTGGTCCTGTAGTTGCTGTTCCTATGCTTCCGGAGCTGCCAGCCATATTGATGCCGGCCGGACATACCAAAGAGATAGTTCCCGCCATTCCAGTGCTTCCACCTATCTCCTTGCACTTGGGCAAACTTTTAACATGGTCCATAGAATGACCTATAAAATTGACAGTACTCAAGGAAGCAGCTAAAGCAGTTTCCTCATTATCGGTATTGGCGCTGGTGCCGGCGATAACTTCTTCGCCGGCTGCAATCCTTGATGTTCGTACTGCAGATGCCTGGCTCAACAGCGAGCGTTCGGGCGTGCCTGTGGCTGCGATGGGTATGGAAACCAACTTTAGAGGAGGCTGCTCCTGTCGTAGCGCATGCTCAATCTTTCTGAGATCGTTGCAGCCTTCGATTTTGTATCCGGACGCTGGAAGCACGAACATCTAAAGATCGTCCAAGCGGAAATAATGGAGGAGGCGTAAATGACGCGGATAAGCAATTTCCTCTTTTTTCACATAATAGAACCGTGCATTTTCCTTTGCTTTTCTCTTACTCGATTATAAGTTTTCATGTAATCACTGACACAGCTTTCAGCTGTCAAGAGTATTCTTTGAACCTAGATAAAGGACGCATGTTATTATGCCGCATGGCCACAGGCAACCATAGAACACTTCAATGGGCGTTATCACCTTATTACACCTACGTAGTTTTTGACAGTCTCCTTTTGTATCTCCTGCATCGTCCCTGACCCCCCGGCGGCACCTTTCGACTTGATATCCTGCGATTGTTGCCGGTACTGGGGCCTGTGTTGGGGTTGAGTTGCATCGAGGCGGGTTTGATCTACTGAGTCATTTTTGACATGCCCTACTTCTAAACGACCTGTCCCTCCAATGATTTCTGGTGTAGAAGCCGTATCCATTCCAGCAGTGGTTAATCCTTGGTCCAGTGATGTACGACTAAAACGCAGCTCTTTCTCACCCTCTGCAGCGTTGGCCTTGGCGGCTGAACAATTATCGGACTCTTCACGCCCTACTGACTGGCCCTCCGACATTCGATCACCATCTGTCTCGACATGAAGGACCTGCTGGGCCAGAAAACACATACTATCTAGCTCTTTGGAAAGGCTAGAAAGCTGCTCTGTCGAGATGCACTTGGTCATGATCTCAACCATCTGATTCATGGCGTAATCCACTTCATCGAATAGTGTAATTATAGACTCGACCAGATCTTTTTTGGAATCAACTGCATCCATGTCGGTCCTGATGTCCGTATCCTGTGCTTTATAATTTCGTCCGCTGGTGTCTTCTCGTCGCTCCTTCGCATTCTGATCATTCTCTAGTACCCTCGCTTGATCCGGTGGCCTTCCTTTCCTTACAACGTCAACCAAAGCTCTGTTGTCCTTGTTTAATGACTGGTTTCCGTACTGAAGTTCGGGTTTCCCCTCGGTGCCTTGGGCTGAAACTGCAGATCCCCCTGAGGGTTTCGCTGCTACATCAACCTCCTTTGAATTGTTCTGGAATGTCTTCTGATGTGTCGCCATGTTAGTGCCGATTGCCTCTGTAATTATGTCAGCTCCAACGTCCTTCGCGGGGCTAACTGAGACAGATACTGAAACGGCATCGAGATGCTGGATTACTAATCCACACTTGACCTGCAGTGCACTCAGTAGCGACCTCAAGGTTGCTGCAGGGTCTGGTTGTGGCACGTTCTTTCTTCTTGAGTTGCCGTACCAGGCGTTTTCAGGTACCTATAGTTAAAAAGAATAGAACCCCAAAATCGATGCATTAGCATCAATAATGCAAGAGCATTTTTGAAGAATGCCTCAATGAGCAACTCGTTCACTTACGGTTTCTTCTGAGCTAAACCTCCGTTTGGGCGACACGTCATCTGGCATGAGGGTGATAAATTGATCTGCTGTCAAGAGATCTGCGTCTTGCAGTGACATGCTTCGCTGCCTCTTGTAATGGATGGTAGGGGTATAGTCGGCAACGGCACTTCTGGGTTCCAAATGGCGGATATCGGGATTTCGTCCTGAGGCAGTCGAGTTGGTCTTTGACCCAAAACACATGTTAGGTGTGGCTGCAGAAGTACAGGGGAGAGACATCGCCAAGTTCAATGCGGATGTGGTGGTGGAGGAAGATGCGCCGGAATTTAAAGTATAGATGGATGGAATTGAGCTATTGTTGGATAACCCAGCCATGGAGTACTTGGGCTTTGGTGGGATAGAAGATTGCGATACTGAAGTTCCAGATGACGAAGGCGGGAACTTATATTCGCCAAGCGATATATTATGTTTCCTGTTGAGCCTTGCGTTGGCGATAGCTAAAGGGGACAGTGGTACTGACGAAACCGAAGTCGAGCTCGATGAACCCTTTGTTGATATCGTCAGCGCAGACTTCGCCCCTGTAACGTTTCTGAGGGACAAACCCGACCCGGAGGCGATAGTGGCCTCTTGGAAATACCGTCGTACTGGAGACATCGGCACTCTCGACTCCAAGACAGTTCCTGATGAGGCGGATATGGAAGAGCCTGTTATATTCAGAAGCGAGGAGTCTGACTTGCGCCTGGTTTCAGAATTTAGCTGATTGGATGCTGGATTTGAGTCCTGTGCTGTGGACGGGAAACTTGCGCCTGGCTTCGTTGATGCTGATAATTTATCCATGGACGCTGAGGCTGCCGGGAACTTGAATACGGCTCTGGTATTCGTACTTTTTTCCACCATATTTGCGCTCACTATGGTCGCCTTTGAAAATGTGCCCGTTTCACCAAAGGACATGTTGCTGAGTTCGTTGCCAAAAAGGTATCGCCCTACCGATCGCTCTTCTTCACTTTGAGCCCTTTCTAGTTCTGTCTTCCGAGGCTCGATTTCCTTTCCGCTACCTGCCTGCTCTATTCCTCGCTCGCTTTGAAAATAGCATACAGATGATTGATAGCCTTCTTGCGATGCCGAAGGGGTATTTTTATCAACTCCATCCAGCCCAGATATCGAGTTGGGAAAAATCTGGCTAGCGCTGACGGTCCTTCTCGAAGAACCGTGTGCATGCTGAGGTCCATGTCCGCTTTTGATGCTAGTTTTGGGCCCGTATACTTGACCATGGCTTCCGCTCGAGCTACTCGTAAATCTCTCTGATCCAAAAATGTTGTTCATGCCGCTGCGATGATTCTGAGGAATGGTGTTGTGGTGCTCTGCATCCTTGACAACTGCGAATGACCTTTCATTCGACATAACAGCGCTAGGCTGTTGGTTGGACGTCATGTACATACTTGGAACAGCCTTGGAACTGTGGTGAGGATGATGAGCATTCGCGTCCGAGAGCCCGGAAAGCGATTGCCAGGATTTTTTGTTGGCGCTGCTGCTCGCATCAAGGCCATTATGGCTACTACTGATGCTACTGTAGCTGTCACTCCCTGGAGTTATCTGTCCCAAGATTGTCATGGCTGGTGTGTTAGCTGTGGCAATCGTTGACGCCGAATTCGAGAAGTGCATGGCCGCATATCTTACAGAGACATCTCGAAATGGTTTGACCATTAGTGCCGATAGGGAACCACGCCTTATATTGAGTTGCACTGGGTCGGGCATGGTATCTGCTGGGTTTGACCCTCCTGAGCCTTTACTCCTTTGAATGCCACCCATTGAAATCGAAGGGAACTTGAATCGCCCGAGCCGCCCAAGCCTCGAGGTTGGTCTGGCGATCGCTGCGGGGGTTAAAGTCGGGATATTGGAATCGATGGGCGAGCCTTGTGCAGTGATGGAGTCGTATGTTACCTCATGGTCAAAACTGATATCTAAAACAGCAGTCGGTGACATAGCATTCTTTCTGGTTGTGTTATCATTCTGTTGTCGGGTTATGTTTACAGCAATATCTTCGTCTGTTGAGGTAGTATGGCGAACATCCTGGAGCCCCAAGCGCTTATAATGATCCGATCTCTCTGAATCCCTTGAGTCGTGATATGGACGCATTTCGCCCAAGGACTCCATGATATCCGTATTGCTTGGTGACGGCATTTCTTGGGATTGCATTTGGCTTGAGCCTCGCCGCATTAAAAGCAATGGATTTAACAGAAACTTTGCTCCAACGCTGCTTCCTACTCCATGACTGCGGCCGACACGGAAAAACCTCGATTTTTTGTCGTTCTCATTCCTGGTATCGCCGTCTTGCTCTGACTTTTGTCCGCTATAGACATTGATATCGCTATTCGTCATCGAGATGGCTACAGATGAGGATTGTATCGAGAATGGTGTGAGATGATCATTTGAAGCTACCTTTGGGATCAACAGCACCTCCGATGCGTCTGTTCTCTTGCCATCCATTTCCCAATGTTGATGAGCTTCAGAATTGGTTTCTCTTGATTGTGCACAGCCCTCTCTTTTACTCATAAATCGGGGCAGAAGAAGACTGACTATATGCCAGTCGTTTCTTTTCCTTTCCCTACTAAGGCCCTGAGATACGACTGAAGGCTGAAGTTTGCATGAGGGTGATTGCCAGTAACTGGTAGGTGGGTGGGTAATAATATCACTCATGCGCCTTTGTTTCTCGCATTTGGGTGTCCATGGAGATACTGAAGAGGGCGAGAGCCTGACAGCCCTTGAAAGTAACTGTTGCAGATGCAAATGGTGTCCATCCTTGGTTTCTCCGCTTCTAATTTTATCCACAGGATAGTGATGAGACTTACGATGCGAATTCTGGAGATTTTTGGGCATTCTAGTTGGAGGACAGGACGAATCAACATGGAAACTGGGTGGATTCGAGGTATTCGTCGAGCTGGTACGAAAATTTGCCTTGTCTCCGAAATGCGGTGAAGATAAAGATACACTTGACGATAGCGAATCTGATGCTACCGCTGGAAATATTGAAGGTAATAAAGCAAAGTGTGAATCTTTCTTGCGCTGCTTGATATTTCTCTGTGTATTATTTTTACAGCCAAGTATCCCAAATAGGCTGAAGGCCTTACCTCCAGAAGGAGTGCTGAGGTCAGAGATTGCTGGAGCCTTGGGTGACATATGCGCAGAGACTGGATTCTGGCCAAAATCTGAGTGTTCTTTAGAGCCACTGTAGTTCTCGCTGTCCTCTTCGATGTCGAGAGTGACAAGAGGGTCATTATTATGATTATTTGGAATTGGAGTATTGCTGAGTGCAGGCACATTACTGGTTGAAGCAGCTGGCTTTTGTGTATATACAGGAGTTGTTAAAGCCAAAGGGTTGTCCCGCTGTAAATGGGCTGTATGGGGCGAGGGTGGAGAACTATACATCGTGGGATAAGTCATTTGCGAGGAGGGTGAAGACGTAGTGTGGAATTTAGTGGTGGTAGCGGTGGTGGTGGTGGCGAGAACTGTCGCAGTAGCTGCAGCAGGCGTTGTTGACGTCGTTATCAGTGTGATGTTTGTGGTTTTAGGATCAGGCGAAGGCTTTGGGAGTATCGTTGAGGAGGTGTTCACGGTGTCCATGAGGACGGCACTGGATCCAGAGACCAGGCCTAAGAATAACGACGTTCCTGGAGGCACGGCCATGCTGCTGATTTGGTAGTACTGCCCTCCAGGCAGGTTTCAAAAAAGAGGCGTCTATTCAACGCACACAAGGAGAGAAAGTGAGGATGCGAAGACAAAGGGAAAGACGTCAGAAAAAAGAGAGTAAGCATATCAACAATAAAGGATATAAATAAGAGAAAGGCACAACCGCATGATCAAAAAAGATAACGACAGTTGGATAGGTACACGGTACTGCAAGGAAGAGGAGCAACTCATCCTACGCCTGCCAATGCATCGGAACGTAGATATGTATTTATATACTTGTGGATAATGCTAAGAAGGACGCGACAACCCGCCATTCTCTTGCTGAGCGCGCTCTTACGTGTTTGTGCGACCACGAATCAACGCGAGCGCACTTCACCCTCAGACATAGTCCTTATTCTTTTCTGTCCTCGCTGGCGCATTCTAGTCCCCTCCATGCTCGCCCAGTTCATTTAAATGGGCACGCTGCAACATTCTCGGCAGGAGGCGAAAGGGGGCGCTCGGGAAGAAAAGAGAAAGACCTTTATGATGGGAACTTCAGAAAGGTCGCACCATAAGCATCTCGCAAAGAATATTGGCCATCTCAAAATTTGGAAGACAAGAGATTGAAGGGTTGCAAAGATTGCAAGGGTTACAGGGAATCTTGCTTTAATACACATAAAACACAAAAAAAAAGTGGGTTACCACGAGAACAAAAACGGTGAATGCAGCACACGTCTGGATTGAAATCGCTGTGGTGAGTAATGGTTAGATTATGGAATGAGCATCTTAAATACCGACCTGAATGATTAATGGTAGTAATGTGCAATTTGAGGATGAAGGTCGCACAAGTTGAAGCTGAAATGGGGACACGGCTGGAGATGCGGGCCGTAGCGCTGAAATCAAACGACATGCATAAGGAGGCAGTTCGGCTTTGGTAGTACAGTAGTTAGGACCGAGTAGAGTGATGAAGCAAGGCAAGAATAGTTAACGCTTTCTGAAGGGAAGTTGTTCGGCCTGATACGCCCATTGCCATCCTGGATCTATGCGCCGGCAGAGTGGAAGTGAAAAGATCAAAACTACGGAGCTCAGAAGTGTGAAGGGCTCATGTTCAAGAGACGAGTATGCAGGGCGATGTCAAACAGGAGAGAAAACAACGGCTGGTGGCGACTGTAATAGGGGGCTGCGGACGGGTTTGGGCGCGTCCCTGAAAATGAGGCATGTAAAGATAGCGGCTTATGGCCACAAGATATAGTGCCACGTCCCATTCGACAGTCTGTTAGTCTGTTATGACTTGGCTTGTGCCATGAAAAAAGGGAAGGAGGGGGGCTAACAAATAATTTGTGAAAGGTGGTTTCTTTGGCCTTACCTGCTTTGGAAATGAGCAAGGAGAGACCCTCGGTTGCTGAAATTTCAAGAAGGCAGTAGAGGGATGAGAAGCAGACTATCCAAGGACATCCATGCGATATTTAAAGAAGTGATTGTGGTGAACGGACTGTGAAGATCGCTGCACCAGCAACGTCTGCCATGAGATGCAGCGGGGAAGATAAGACGAAGGAGGAAGGCCAAACTAAGGTGAAATATGGATACTGTGGAGGGGATAGCAAGTTACAAAGAAAGCTATGATGACGTTAGAGGCGATACAGGGTTGTGATGAAGGTGTTTAGAGGTGTCCGTGTGAGGATGCTGACCGAAGGAGGATGGAGGATGGAACGAATAATGTTCGAGACGAACAGGAGCGTGAGCGGGCGGGAAGGGAAGGGGCAAAAATAAAAAGAAGAGACAGGAAGAGAGGAAAAGGGCAGAAAGAGAGAAGGACGGAAAACAAGGAGTGCGATCTATGCCGTTGTTGCCAAGTGTGCCATGATTACCAAAGAAATGAAACCATGGCGTGGCAGCAGAAGCAAGTAAGGATAAGTGTAAGGACAGGCACGCTTGGTCGATCGCAAGAAGAAAGTGTTTTGTTGCCCCAGCTTGCAGAAAACCACTTTGATGGAGACAACCCTCGAGGCTGGACACGGTATGTTCTGCTCGGGATGTATACAGGAGCACTATAAAATACATACATCCACAACACACGGACTCGTGTGAGAAGGATCGGGCTCTCTGTTCTTCCTTGGTGGAGGGGGGGAGGTTGATCGTGCGGATGTGGTCTCCTGCTGGTAGACTGGACTACCGTGGTAGTGACAATGGTCGTCGAGTGCTGTTGAAATGATGATGAAAGCGTGCGCACTGTATCGAGGGATGGTACTTCTCCCTGACTTAGTAGAATCTGGACGACAAGAGTCATCAAAAGGCGGAACTCCATGCAGTTGCGGTAAAAAGGGTATCTGGGTGGACTCAGCACAGCTTGACGCTCGATTGGGCCATCTACAAGTGGTCCTGTTGAAAGGCAGCCAACTCTAACTTTCAGTCTATAAATCCAGTATCGGATGCGCAAATGTGGAGCACTGTTTGTAGCATGTTCAGTTGCACCTGCTTTCAAAAGTACTTTGGCACCGTTGTCAGATCCATTCGTTACTCGAATCGAGTAAATTAAAGAAAAAACTCGGCGTGGTTGCATTTATGGACTCCTCGACCTCCTTTTTTTCCGCCACGGTAAACTGCATTTTCGAAGGAGGGAGATATTTTTTATTCCGCAGAGAAGGAAAGAATGCACAGGGATGGGCGAACAAAACCAAAGGCACAGACCACGCTGTTTATCTCATTCAGACATTCCTTCAGATTGAAGCCTCTTGAACAATATCAGAGCAACTGTCTCTTAAAATCATCCTTGACCTGTTGCAAGAAGACAGGATCGAGGATACATTCAATACCAGTCAAGGCCAGGGCCTTGGAGGCCCTCAAGGTAGCCGTATGTCCCATAGGTCGGGCAGCCGCAGTGGCAAATTCCTTGGTGTGAAGACCGAACGACTTCTCATCCACCCCATTCAGGTTCGTGATATTAAACATAGGGTGGATTCCTGGCATAGCGTACGTCAAGTTGCCCATATCCGTAGAGCCTGACAGCTTACTCTGCTGTTCATCTTTGGAGGCATACTTCAGTCCGAGGCTGTGCATTATCTGCTCGAACTTGATTGCCAGCGGCTCATTCGTCAGAATATCTATTTTGCAAAAATAAATTCATGAGTAATTGAAGCAAATGCATAGCTGAAGAACCATTGTTCAGCACGCGTTACCTTTAAGGTGTGTACCCCATTCCATCTTCATGGTACATCCTGTTGACCTTGCAGCAGCCTCGAAAATCTTTTCAACCCTGGCCTTCAATTCCTGGACCTGCGCAGACCTGGGCGCTCGAACCGTGTATGCGCTCTTCGTATACTCCGGGATGATGTTCGGGGCCTGGCCACCATTTAAAACTATTCCATGGACACGTTGATCCTGTCGCATCTGCTGGCGCATGAGACCAATGTTAGTGTACACCTCCATGGCGGCATCCAAAGCGTTAATCCCTTCCCAAGGCGTGGTCGAAGCATGCGATGCCTTGCCAAAGAATTCTACCGTGGCCGTGTCGAGCGCGAGGAACGGCGTGTATATGACATCGGCATTGGCTCCATGAAGCATCATACAGATGTCGACTCCCTCAAAATCCCCCGCATTCAGCATGGTGACTTTGCCGGCGTCACGCTCCTCTGAAGGCGTGCCAAACAGCTTAATCTGCGCAGGCAGGTGGAACTGCTCGATGACAGCCCTTAGAGCCAACGCTGTTGCAACGCCCGAGATGGCAATCAGGTTGTGTCCGCAAGCATGACCGATCCCTGGAAGGGCATCATACTATAAAACAGAGGAAGGAATTCAGCTCTGGCGAGTAAGAAATATGTGTCACAATTCCCATGAGCTGCAGGATAGAGATGTATCAGATTTACCTCTGAGCAGATCCCAATTGTTACCGCCCCAGAATCATCTCCGGCACGGGCGATAAAGGCAGTCTCCAACCCAGACTTGCCTTGCTCGACAGTGAACCCCTTGCGGGTCAGGTATTCTGTCAACCAAGCATGCGATTTGAATTCATGGAGCCCTAGTTCGGCGCTGTCAAGGATCTTGTAATAAGATTGGGCCGTCATACAACCAATGCGCTTAGCCTTCTCTTCTAACCAGCAAAAGATTGCAAGAAAATACGACATGCGATGTAATACCTTCAGACTGAGAGCGCGGAGGTCATCGGAAGCTGCCTCAATGGTATTATGAACACATCTGGCATACTTATTGATGTGCCACAGTTCAGGTGGCAGTATGTCTTTGCGGATTTGGAGCATTCTGAAATATCAATTGAACTCCTTAGGATATCGTACGGAGCGGGGAATGAGGGAGGGGGAGAGGGAGACAAGGTCCCGAAGAGTTGGATGAGAAAGGATTGAATGAGATGAATGAAGGTGAATGAAAAAACGTTGTTGAACGAATGTAACACGATTGAATTCCCACGCATGCGACTGAATGAAAAAGACAAGGGTGTTTTTTGGTGGCGTCGTATTCGCATTTCGCTCATTGCCCTCCCGCAAAAAAAAAAAAAGAAGCCCTACCCAAAGGAAGGACGATATATTTTCAATTAGTTATGCTTTTGTAGATGTCGATCCTCCCTGCGCTGGTGCGCGTTAACTGTCTTGACATGGGTCACAACAGGAATGGGAAGATGCGTGTTTTTTATGGCTCGCCGAAGGCAAGATACGCGCCTTAAATGGCTATGGGGCGATCGATCACACGTCCGTTTGCTGCCCTCGCCCCTTCTTGGCACAACTTTATTTCCTGGGCTCGTTCTCCTTGTGTAGTCCACTATTTCCTTCCAGCTGGTTCTTTCGAATTGCGTCTTCCACTTTCCCCTGGCACACTGTTCGTTTGCAACCCTCTTTTTTCTCCTTCCCCATTTTCTCCTCACACATCTTCACATATTTTCACAGACACCATGTCCGAGCCTATCTCGATCAACGTCAAGGCCTCAAACGACCAAAAGTATGTCATCTCCATCAAGGTCACCGAGACGGTCCTCGATTTCAAGCAAAAGATCGCCGAGAACTGCGATACTCCCGCAGACCGCATGCGTCTGATATACTCTGGCCGTGTCCTCAAGGATGCCGACACCCTTGAGACCTACAAGATCGCCGAGGGTCATACCGTCCATATGGTCCGCGGTGCTGCTCCTGCGAGCTCCTCCGCCGCTGCCGCATCCTCAGCAACCAGCACACCAGCATTGACCAGCACACCTGCTGCTCCTGCCTCAGCTACCAACACCACCGCAGCCTCGACAAACGCATCCACTACAGCTACTGCAGGTGTGTTTTATCCACCTCACTTGATGTATATACTTTTTGAGCCCATGCTTGCGTGTCGCAACTCTGATATAGGTCCTGCATTTCATTGTGATATCATGAATAGATCCTTTTGGGACCGGAGCCGGAGCTGGAGCGATGCCTAATCCTTGGACCAGTATGATGGGTGGTGGTATGGGTGGCGGTGGTATGGGTGGCCTCGGAGGAATGGGAGGAGGCATGCCAGGCATGGATCCCAACATGATGAATCAAATGATGCAAGATCCCACCTTTGCGCAATACATGTCCAACATGCTTCAGAATCCTCAAGTGCTGGAGTCGATGATCGCCATGAATCCGACTCTTGCTGCCATGGGTCCGGAGGTCCAACAGATGCTTCAGTCACCCCAGTTTCAACAAATGATCTCCAATCCAGAGATGTTGCGTCAGGTCGCCCAGATGAGCCAGCAGATGGGAGGCATGGGCGGTATGGGAGGCATGGGCGGTATGGGAGGCATGGGAGCCTTTGGAGGAGCACCGGGGAACATGTACAACCCTTGGGCCAGCCCTGCTCCAGCAAGTACCACCACACCAACGGCGACAACTCAATCATCCAATCCTACCTCAGCTACTGCTACGACCACGCCAACCTCGGGAGCTGCACCGGCCTCGAACCCATTTGCTGCGCTAGGAGGAGCCCCAGGAACGGGCGTTAACCCCATGGCGCAATACTGGGCTCAACAGATGGCTGCCATGGGCGGTGCTGGATTTGGAGGCACAGCTGCCCCTGCTCAGTCTCAGGAGCCACCAGAGGTGCGGTTTCAGGTTCAGTTGCAGCAATTGAACGAGATGGGCTTTTATGACGCGGCAAGGAATATCCGCGCACTGCTTGCCGCCGGTGGAAATGTCAACGGGGCGATCGAGATGCTGTTTTCTGGCAGCATCTAAACATGACACGGACACACGTTGAAAGGGCAGCATTTTTGCTCAGAAGGAGGCGCATGCTCCTCGCCTTACTTGGATGCCTACTGAACCAATGTTAATACGTAGCCTGGACGTAATAACTGATAACAATAAAGAAGAATAAAGTGCGGCAGACAGTATGCGAGAATAATCTTGGGTTTATTGCGTGACTAAAGGTACGTTGTTCCTGTAGACATGGTTAAAGTATATAGCATTGCTGTATCAACTCCAATTGCTCCTGTTGTTCCTGAATTAAGCATCCTAACGATTGCGGATGGAAACATAGTTTCTACATCCGTTCAAAGTAGACAGTTTATTTCATGAGCAACTTGATTGTCAGGGCCTGCCGTATTATCCGAAGGTGCTGAGACGACCTCCTACAGCGGAGAATACCATGTAGTAAAAAAAATAAAGTTAGTCGTTAATTTAATTCAATTTTGTGGACGAACCGATGGATGAGGATGCTCCATCATCATCATCATCATCATCATCATCATCATCAATAATCAATCAATCAATCAATCAATCAATCAATCAATCAATCATCATCATCATTATCATCATCATCATCATCATCATCATCATCATCATCATCATCATCATCATCATCATCATCATCATCATCATCATCATCATCGTCATCATCACTCACCTCATCCAACTTCACTCCGCCCACCGCCACTAACTGGCCTCCTTTTAAGCTCCCTTTTTTCTTCATTTAACTTTCTCCTTCTCCCTATCTTTAATCACAAACACTGCCTTCCTTTCTTCTGAATGCCATAATACCTGCCTTCCCTTATCTCGCTCATCCCCATTAGCAACTATCACCCCACCTACATCTACACCTCAGCCGTTCCTGGAAGAGAGGTTATTCATAACCTTCCTCGATAGCCCCGCCCCTCCCGGCTTCATTCGTTTGATGCTCAATTGATCAATTGCTAGTGATACAATAACTCTTGCGCCTTCTCACGTTCACCAACATGGCAGGCCTCTTCACTAAAAAGAAAAAAGACGATGGCAGCAATAATAACAACAACAATAATATCACAAAGCAGCGACCAGCTCCACCACCCAATGGCCTCGGACTGAGCAACGCACCGAGTCCAAGTGGAGGATACCAGAACAACAATGGCAGTGCCGGCAACCTCACCCATAATGACAACCTTGGCCAATCTCACTCCCAGGGATATCAACAACCTCCGCCGGCAACGCCCACGGGTCAAGGCATGCCAATGAGTCCAATGAGCCCCACGTCCTCTCAGAACAACGCCCCAGGCTTTCAGCAGCAGCTCCAGCAGCAGCAGCAACAGCTAGGTTACAGCAATGCACCTCCTCCCTCAACTCCTCAGGCATTGCATTACACAGCAAGCGGATCTACAGCTTCAGCTTCAGCAAGCGCGCCTCCTCCTCCTCAACTGTTTTGGACCCAACGGCGGATCCTTGGTTTGAACCCCTTTCCACGGTTTCAGCACACAGGTTCAGTCACCTCTACAGGAACAGACATCTTTGTGTTTGGTGGCAACCAGCGCGGCGTTCCAAAGGACGATCTCTTTGTCATTGACACCGGTAAGATCCTTCGCTTGCTAGATCAGATATCTGACCCCACCGACAACGATTAAAAAAGAAAGAAAAGAAAGGAAAAAGATACGATCAGAGGGATTCTTTCAGACCCCTCTAAGAGATGAACGAAATGAACAGGACGGATCGATGGCCATGCAGACAAATAGATCCAATGCTCTGATTCTTTTCTTGGACTAAAGTTAATGGCTCTTCAAGCGTGCTCAAATCGCTCTCGCCTACAATGGTTATTTATCCCCTGGAGAAATGAACGATCGACTGTTCATATCATACCCTTTTGGATGCCTGGGCACCTGGCATTGTACTCCGTCACCCATTTGGTTGCCCCATGATGATTCCCGTTCAGGAGAACCGCGACCTTGCTTAACACTCATCATTGATGATATTTCACACGGGCTCTCACTGCTTGCTTTTTTTTTTTTCAAGTGATCCATCCCCAACCTCTTTCCTATCCTTGAGGACACACGACTGACCAAACTAAGCATTGGGCCATATTTAATCAGAGGTTCAAAACTCAATCTGTCAGAGATGCTAATAATAACCCCTTGCCATCGTCCCGTATCAACTACTTTGCATATGTGGTTTTGCTAGTGTCCCTCGAATGTCAGGCTGTGGCCCCTGCAAGTGCAGACCCACCTATGCCCAAGAGCGGACACTCCGCTGTGAACATTGGCCAATATATCATCTGTAAGTGAGCTGACATTTTTAGATATGGAGATTAGCGGTTTGATGGTTGCACAATCTTCTCGACGTTAATTGCCGTGTATTATTTTGCTATCTCGCTAGACTTTGGCGGTTGGGATCAGACGACGGGGCAGTGTGATGATAGTCTGCATGTGCTGCACACGGCCAGAAAGGAATGGAACAAGCCTTTGATTCAGGCTCCATTGCCCACACCGCGCCACTCTCACTCCGGATGCAGTGTCGGCACAACGATGTACATTTTTGGAGGCCAGGTCGACGACCACTATCTCGGTGACATTGTTTCCTTTGACATGAAGACGAGTAAGAGCCTTTATAATCTGCATTCACCATACCCACACCCAAAGTTGAGCTTTCAAGGTCAATAACGGTGCTAATTGTGTCTCTCGGACTTTTATAGTCACTCATAACCCGCGATGGGAGTTCATTGAACCACAAACCGAGTCACCCCCAGCACGGTCAGGTCACTGTACAGCTGTCTATGATGGTAAAATCTATATTTTCGGAGGAGCAGATGCAGACTACTTCTATAATGACATCTGGTGCTTTGACACACGTGTCAACACGTGGACACCCATTCCAGCCTCAGGATATCTGCCAACGGGTCGTCATGGCCACGCTTGTGTCATCGTTGACGGTGTGCTCTACGTCTTTGGAGGAACCAGCCCCGATGGCACAGAGCTAAACGACGCCTATGCATTCAGGATACACGGTGAGTGGTCTTAATGGCCTCAAGTGGCCTTGGCTATGATACCCGGCAATATGCTTTCAGCGTACTGACGAGGCGTGCACTTCTGTCTTGATTTAGAACGTCGATGGTATATATTCCAGAACACTGGCTCTGCAGCCAGCCCTCGCAGCGGACACACCATGTGCACGATAAAAGACCGAATCTACGTGCTTGGAGGAGACACTCAACAGGGTCTCGGTGATGATTCTGCTATGATCCATTATCTTGAGATCCGTAAGTTGTGGTGCGGTCGCTATGGCACGAATCCTACAGACCAACCATGTAAACCGTACTGATTATCGTTTCTCTATTCCTCTTCCCACTTTTATAGCCAAGATCCGCTTTCCGGATGCCTCTCAGACTATACCACCTCGACAGGTTTCGTCTGCTAAACTCATTCCCAATCGACCAGGGGCTGGATCACCCCAGCCATCTCAACAGCAGCAAGGAGATATCCCATCAGATGTCGATTCGGATCGCAATTCTGGTCAATCTCAGACACCCAACAGACCAGACCGCCCAGATAGACCTGCACGCCCTGATCGGTCATTAACCCAGCGACCAACCTCTCCAGCAACTTTTGCAACAGTCGACAGACAGGTCTCGGCAGCAAACCCGAACATATCTCAGCAAACCAGCCAGCTCATGAATCCACAACTTGGTCAGCGTCCATTAACGACAATGGGTGCACCGCCACCCCGTGGAGCCAGCGTAGCCCACGATCAACAATCAGAACATATATCTATTGCCATGCGGCGACAAACTTTCAAGGAGGACGCGAACAGTGGATATGGTGCTTCCGGAGCAGGCAATACTAGCCCGACAGCAAATCGTCGAACTATGCAGGCGATGCCCGGAGCTCCCCCCAGTAATGGAGCCAACTCCCCTTCATCCCTTCGTTTAAACAATTCTTCTGAAGTTTCATATCTTCCGAACCGCGGAGAGATGAGTCCTACTACGACGAGACACGAGCGCCGGGCAGTCAATGGTTTGTCGCCGGCTGCTCCTGCTAGTAGCCGTAAGGAAGATGAGGTCAACCCTTACGCTATGGACGTCATCGCTGCCTCGCAGGATACTCAAGGCAATGGCTCAGAAACCTATGTTCCTCCTCCTCCGCTGTCTGCTGGTACGCGCCAGAATCTACCACAGGCGCCCACAACACCTTCGCCACTAGTTTCGGGACAAATCTCAATGCCTGCAAGTGGCTCCATGCCTCCACCAGGCTCTCAAGGAATCACAAACCGGTCCCCATCCCCTGCAACGGGACGTGCTTACAGCCGCGTAGCAAATACTCCTCCTCCCCATCTCACATCTGCTGCTGGCGCAAGCCAAGCGGAATCTGGCTCGACTGCGCCCGCAAATATGGCCATACAGGAAGCATACAGCCGTTTGGAGCAGCAGATGAAGGAACGCGACGATGAGCTGGCGCTGTTGCGGAAACGTGAGAACTGGTTAGTGGCGGAAGTTATGCTGGCGCGCCAGATGTCAGGTAGTGAATTCCAGCAGCATCAACAGGCGCATTTAAACGACAAGAGGCTCTCGATGGCGGATCTGGAAAAGGAGATTGCGGATTATCAGCTGGATGGACATCAGCTGAAAGTTGCAGAGGCGCTGTTAAAGGTCAAGGAAGAGTTGAGGAATGCCAAGGTATGACTTTTTTTTTATTTCTTTTCTTACAGTCGATAAACAGGGAATTGGATCTAAAACATACGTTTTGTCATTCAATCAAACTAGATGTCGATTGCGACTCAGGCTCAGGCGGCTTCACTAAAGATTAAGGAAGCCGAGCGTATCAGAACAGGCGCTCTCCAGGAGGCCGCTTATCTCAAAGCAAAATTGTCTTCCATGTCAAACGCCCAGCAAGACCCTGGAGCCCTTGCCCGGGTCGAAATGGAGCGCGCTTCAGACCTCGAGAAGCGACTGACGTTCGCTCTTGGGGAGATGGAAGTTCTGGAAGCACAGTATGCCAAGAGTCAGGAGAGTCTCCAACAGGAGAAATTGGCACGTCTTGCAGCTGAGGAGCGATCGAACGGTGCATCGGTTTTGGCAGAACAGGCGCAGACAGCCCATACCAGGGCTTTAGCAGAGTTAGCATCACTGCATGCACGTGCATCTAAAGCTGAAGCAGAGTCCCGAGAGTGCGCAACCCAGCTGGCAGAGAGCCAAGCTGGTTTTTCAGGACACCAATCACAGTCGTCTGGATTGTTGCAGAGGATTACAGACCTGAAGCAGCAGGTCGAGGAGCATCAGACAGCGCTGGAGAGGACGCAGATGGCTTATTCGGCTGCAAATGAGAGAGCCATGCGTGCAGAGGCTCTCTGTGACGAGTCTTCGGGCAAGCTGGAGAAACTGGAGGCTCTGAGATCGGAGCTGGCTAGCGAGCTCGGTCGATACAGGGGTGAGGCGGAACGGTTGCAGTCCAAGGCTGAGGAGTTAGAAAACCGCTGGCAGATTTCCAAAGACGAGGTCATCACTCTACGAAAGCTGGTTGAAGATGGACTGGGTGCCTTCAACCCACGCGGCAAACCGGCGCAGTCGGCAGAGCGCAAGCATGACAGCATTGCGATCCTGAACACGGTCTCGAAGGTATCCGAGTTGGAGCACGAACTCAGCTCGCTTAAGGTCCTACACAAGAATTCGCAGGCGTCGGCATCGAAGTCTGCAGCAGAGTTGGCAGATGCTATGATTGACCTCTCGCGACTGGAGCAGAGCTCTATGAAGGCCAAGGCGGAGTCCATCTCGTTGCAGAAGCAGTTGGCAGGAGTGCGCGAGGGCAACGCAGAGCTGATGAACGAGCTCAGCAAGGTGGAGCAGGAGCTTGAAAATAAGGTCAAGGAAGTGGAGAATAACGAGGTTCAACTTGGACTACTCAAGGATGTGATGCGAGAGAAGGGCATCATTGCTGAAGACATCATGCTTCAAGCAGCGGTCCGTGGATCGGGAGATTATGCTGCTTCAATGGAGGCCAAGGTCAAGCGGACAGAGGAACATGCCAAGTCACTGGAGCAGGAGCTGGAGGAGACCCGTGAACATTTCACGCAGCAGATGGAGACCTTTGAGGCTCAGAGACAGGCGACAGTCCAGCACTCGGAAAAGACTGGCCTTCTGTTGCGAAAGATGAAGAATGATCTAGCAACTACCTTGAAGGAGAAGGAGACCGCTGAGGCCAACTTGAGGCAGCTTCAGGAGACCCATGCCCGATGCAGTGAGCTCTCTCAGTCGCGAGGTGTCGATGGCAGGCGACAGGAAGACGAACGTGTCCAGATGCTACAGCTTCACTGGGATGAGGAGCGTGGCGATTTGACGGCACAGATCAGTGGCCTTCAGAACCGCCTGGCTGAGGCTGAGTCGCACTCTGCAGATCTCTCTCGAAAGGTGATCTCGCTTACTGAGCGGATTGAAGAAGTCGAGACATTGAACGAGGCCATCTCGGAGCAAGTCGAGACTATGCAGGAGCAAGCGGACGCTTTCAAGGCCAAGGCAACGGCTCAAGAAGCGCAACTCAAGTCGGATGTAGAGCGACTGGTGAACGAGGTCCATCAAGCCCAGGAAATGGTCCAAGCGAAGCAGCGAGAACTGGAAAACGCATTCACTCTGAACGAGCAGCTCGCGACACAACTCGATCACGCGCTCCAGGCACAGGCTGCCGCCGTCAGTGCCTCGTCCGGAAAGGGTGGTGCTGGCTCAGAGGCGACATTGGCGGTATTTGCACAGCAGCGTCAGGATCTAGAGCAGCGACTCAAGCAGGCTCAGGAGTCGATCCAGGTTCTCGAGGGTGACAACTCTGTGCTCGAGGCTAGATTGCTGGAGTCGGAGAAGAAGGTCGCCCTGCTCCTGGAGAACATGCAGAGCAGTGTATCCAACCCTACCTCGCCACTCAATTCGAGCAATTTTACGGGTTTCCATCAGCAATTGAGCCAGCAGCTCGCTCGCGGTGTCAGTCAATCGAATGCGGCATTGAACTCTGCCGTGGGCCCGCATTCATCGTCTTCAGCACATCACCATCCTTCATCCACGAACCAGCATTTTAATAACGCCGTTAGGAGCAGCAGTAGCCCTCGAGCGGGCAGCAGGAACGGAAACAGGCCTTCAGGATCATCTCCTTCAGGTCTTCAGATCCAGAAGAAGAATAGTCCCAGTCCTAACCAGTATACAAACACGGATGATCTGTACAACTATACCGGCTCCCCCCAGAACAGCGGAGGAGGACAGTATACGGATGGCCTCAGGAATGAGGATGAGGACATTAACTCTCGACTGTATCGCGATTCTGTGGACTCGATTACCCGAGAGCTCGAGTTGTTGAAGGTGCCCTGGAACAAGGGCAATGCCGCCAGCAGCAGTGGTACTACTTCTGGGGCGGAAGGCGGTCGCAAGTCAGCGTCGCCCCTTCGACGACAGCAGGAGCAGCCTCGCCAGGAACAATCTCGCCAGGAACAACCTCGTCAGCAGCAACAGCAGTATGGAAACTATTACGGAAACAACACCGGTGCTGGAGGAGCTAATCGCTACATGTACGACGATGAAGACGACGAAGAGGTGGGCGTGAGTTACCTTGCGCACTTGCAGCCACGCACGTCCACCTACCAACAACAGCAAAAGACTGTGGATACCCACTCGTTCAATGACCGAAGCCCCTCGCGGCTGAAGGAGTATGAGCAAATGATTGACGAGATTGAGAATGCGAGAAAGCAGCAATAGAGACAGGAGGAGGACATTTTTTTATATTTTTGTTCCAGTAGAGCTACAAGTTATTTTTTTAGATTCTTGTTTATTATCATGCACCACTCTCCACGCATCTTTTACACATTCGCACGCACATTTCATGAGAGCCAGCACAATGACCACCGGCAAAAAAAAATAATAAAACCATTAACTTATTAACGCATCTGCAGCTTTTCGTGTGACCCAAAGAATTTTCCGTATAGCCACCAGGGAGTCAGTCTAAATACTAAATAGGCGTGCACGTGTAGCGCTAAACATCATGCATCGCATTTCCAGTGGGTTTGGCTCGCATGTTCTCCGTTTATGGTCTTACTTCTAGAATTGTGCAAAAATTTCATATGTCTTTCTAATCTGAGAAAGGAATGTGCCTTTGCTCAGCTTACCATTAAGCAACATCAGCTATAAATTACCCTCACGACTTGCCCCTCACTGAAACCTGCAGACCCTTTCTGCTCAGCTCTTGAAAAACTACAAAGGGATATGTCGGAATATCTCAGGACAGTTCCACCATACTCTTGTACAGACTTAGGCGCAGAACTCTCAATCGGTCTCATGGTGTATCATGAGCAACAAGAGTGAGCATTGAATTATGATTATGGATTTACTGCATTATGAAAATTCGGTTAAGATTTTGACCAATTTTTTTTTGTTGGCCCCAACGGAGGACGGGATAGGATAGGATCTAGAGAGGGCCATGAAAATGTACAAGGAGGATGAGGATGAGGATCCTATATTTTCTGAGAGATCGGATCCTATATCTCCTGGGCAATCTGGACAGTGCGCCTTTCAAGCGATCAAGGAACGCATTTACAAATTGAGGTAGTCGATTCAACTTGATATTTTATTGTGGTCATGCTCCTTGAAGAACTCGTAGAATTCGTTCAGACACCTCGACAGCACTCTGCGGCATCCCTGCTAGCTTTGCGACATGTATTCCATGCGACTGTCGACAAACCCCTGGAATAACTTGATGAATATAGGCATAAGACCCATCAGGTTGTTTCTCAAGCGTCGTTTGATAACAACGTACATGGTCCAAGGGTTCCTGTCCTCGCCACGGTGTTCGAGCAGCGACCGCGCTACTCGCTCCCTCCTCACTAGTTGCATCGTCTTGGGAACTGAGAGCTGAGGAATAACCATGACTACCGTTGATAGCACCCACCATGTCGGCCAGCTCGTGGTAGTGTGTCGCAAAGAGAGTCCTGCATTTGTTGATGTGGTACAAATGATGCAAGGTCGCATAAGCAATGGCACAGCCATCCAGTGTTGCGGTTCCTCGTCCGACTTCGTCCATGATCACAAGAGACTTCTCAGTGGCGTGTTGAAGAATCGATGCTGTTTCTGTCATCTCAACCATGAATGTCGATTGTGCATTTGCAAGATTATCAGAGGCCCCAAGCTGATTGACGAATATTAAGACTGGTCAGAACACTGTACTTGCATAATTTCAGCGACATTCACAGAGAGCGATAGAGGGGTCCTTACCCTACTAAAGACCTTATCGACGATTCCAAGGTGAGCGCTGGTTGCTGGTACGAAGCAGCCCATTTGGGCCATAATTGTCAAAATCGCGTTCTGTCTCAGAAAGGTACTCTTTCCTCCCATATTCGGGCTAGTCATTTTAAGTGAAAGGGACGTCGTTAGTGTCTTATCCCAAGGAGAATTATTTACAATGCTACCATTGTGATACTTATGTATGCGCTTACCCTGTTATGAGCCACATGAGTTCCTCTTGACCCACTGAACAATTGTTCTCCACAAACTGGCGGCCTTCATTATACAAAGCGATTTCTACGACCGGATGGCGACCGGACACAATGACGGACTGTCCACTGGAAATTGGAAGACAGAACAATAACTTATTAGAATAGTGCAGCCGATCAATATACTCCAAGAATTCAAAATCCAAATTCAAGCTGGGAACTATACCCTTGATTCAGCACGGGTCGGGTGTAGTGCCGCTCCAGCATCATATATGCAAAGGACAAAAGTACATCCAGCTGAGCGAGATACCGGCAGTTCTGAATGATAGCCGTACTCTCCTCCAGAATCTCGAGTCGAGTAGCGCTGAGAATGCTCTTTTCTTCCTGAACAATTTGCGCCTCCATTCTCTCGATTGACTCCATTATCTCAGACAATACCTTTACGTATTGAGCCGAAGAGTTGTAGTGGTCAATAAGAAACTTGAGCAAATGCTTGCATTTCGATTCACATACCAGGCAATGGCATCATACCGGTATTTGGAAGCGCACTTTTGACCGTCTCTGATCTGTATGTGAGACATCCACAACTTGTCCATTCACCATATCTCGCAACCGCTCGGCAGTGATAGTGCTCCTCATTTCCACGACATGTCGGTATCCAAACGACGACTTGATCTCAAAAGGTTTGGCCCCTCCAAGATGGCTTGTCCACTTGTCCAAAAGCGCCTTCCTGCGTTCCTTAAGTTCTCGCAGCTTAACATGCAGTCCATTCAAGGCTGGATTAACGCCCTCATTAATGTATCCATATTCCTGGCGTTGCTCCATGCTTTCATCAACAACATTGCGGATTAGGTTACAGATCTGCTCTAGCCCATGGATGCTATCGACTGTTTCCTTAACCAATGCCGGTATGGCGTCTGGTGCTGCTCTTGCATGACCTTGGACCAGCATAATTTTGTCCGCCATACGCTTCTTGATCTTTTGGAGCGCTTCGAGAGTGTTACGAATCGCGATGAGGTCATAAGGATCAATTTGCCCAAGAGATAGTTTTTGAATGGCTCGCTGTGCGTCCCGACACTCCTTGAGATAAGAATCGATGTCATACATGAGATGGGTGTCTTTCCCCAAAAACTCGACCATATCCAGACGCCTGTTGATTTTGTTGATGCTAGTCAGTGGCGAAGCTGGATGAAAAACCGAGATAGGGATATAGTAAAGGTTAGAATTTCGCGATTTATGTTCAACACAACCATTATCGTGTCCTCTCGTAGGTCATACTTAACCAATCCGCGAGCAGTCGTGATCCCGCTTTAGTCTTGGTCCTGTCCAGGTGGTGCAACAGGCTTCCCATTCTCGAAGAATCACGTAGTGTACGCACTAGTTCCAAGGCTTCAATCGTGTTTCTGTCGATCTTCACAATGGAGCCATCTTGCCACTCAATCGGCTGCTGAACAACCGGCCGTCTTCCCATCTGCGTGTGATTGACATATCTCAAAATAGACAAACAGGCAGACTGCTCACGATTCGAAAACGGCTTCAAGTGCCGCGGATGAAATCCCAGCTGTTCCTCTGCCTCTCTTAGTATCTCGTTTTCGCGCTGAGTCGACATTTGGGCTGCCGACCGCATGTCCTCGAAACTCACGACAAAGGGACCCAGCTTTTGAATCGTCTGCAAGACCGCGTGCTCAGGACCATACTTAAGATTGGAGTTGACGATTATCTCCCTCGGTCGGATCCTGGCCAGATCGTTCGGAAAACTGTCGTAGGTCGTCTCTTGAGTGAAAAAGTCACCCGTTGAAAGATCGAGCCAAGACAGACCCAGCAAACGACTTGTCTTATCGGTTGCAACGGCAAGTAACCAGTTGTTCTCACCCTGGTCCAGAAACTGCTCATCAATTAAGGTACCAGGAGTGATGATTCTATATACCGATCGACGGAAAGATCGGTTGCCGCCTTCATGATCGTCTAGGAATTGCTCGCACAGGGCGACCTTGAGGTGATGTTTGGAGACCAGGGTTTCAAGATGGCGATCGAGCTGTCGGACAGGAAAACCGGTAAATGGTATGGATTGTCCGCTAAATGTCTTGGACGTCATTTTGAGTCCTAGTAAGGGACCATATTCAACGGCGTTATGGTCGTACAACTGTGGAGGGATAGCATGTTAGAAACATCGGCGGACCGAACGCGTGCAATAACAATGACGATGTTTGCGGATAGATATGCTACTCTACCTCATAAAACTCTCCAACTCTGACGAGTAGAACACAGTCTGGATAGGCCGCTTCTAAATCTAGGATCTGCTTGCGTAAAGGTGTGAGACGATTCTTGGGCCCCGCTGAGTCTGCTATGGTCGTGATAACCTCCTGATCCGCAGCCTTTTCATCCACCTTTGCCTTCGATTTCCGTTTCTTTTTAAGCTTCACATCTACTTCCTCTGTGGGCTCAACGGGTAATGGTATATCTGCGGGCAAAACCGTTGGATTTGGATTCACGCTTATGAGATCGGTAAAGGATAATACTGATCGTATTGGTTTACTGACGGAGTTTTTCGTTGTCGTAGGTTGCGAAGATGTTTCGGATGCGTTTTGTAGACTGGCGTCGTGTTTTGCGTCCTTGAGCCATGGTGGTGAGGGACGGATGGCCGTGTCGTGATAATACCGTGTAGTCGATTTAGTGGCAACACGGGCCCCATTCCAGTCCGGGACGCTAGTAGTAGGTCGATGGGTGACCTTGCTCCATAAACTTGGGTTTCGAAGTGGAAAAGGGTGCGGGGTTTGTGTGGGACCAGCAATGACCTGTCTGAGGCGGATGCAACTTCTTGTCGACATGCTCCATGCTTTGCTCCAGATCGTTGATCCTTGCTGTGCTGTTGAGGGAGCTGTGTAGCCTGACCCTTTCCGAGTCACAGAGTAACAAATAAAGCAAGTAAACCAGAGCCTCTCACTTCTCACTTCTATACACTCATACACTCATATACCAAGATGTCGAAAGGTACAAAGCATCAACTTTAGCAAAGATCTCACCTCATCAGGATACTGCACTACCAGATGAAGCAAAGCGATTCATAATTGATCTCAGTAGGCAGGAAGAGATATTTGGTCCTCATCAATTCTTCTGTGCCCCTTCTGTCCCTCCCAACGCAGCTATAGCTATTTCAAGACCCATTGTCGTCTCTGGACCCTCCGGCGCCGGCAAGTCGACATTCTTGAGACGTCTTTTTGCTGAGTATCCCAACAAGTTTGGCTTCAGCGTTTCTCGTAAGTTATCATATCATAAAAAACTGAACGACATGCAGTTTTCAGGCGATAACTCAAAATGGCCATGTCGCCTTCAATTGTAGATACAACTCGTTCTCCACGCGCTGGCGAAACTGACCGTGTCGAGTACAACTTTGTGACCAGGGAGCAATTCATGGATGGGGTTGCCCGTGGCGAATTCATCGAGCACGCCGAATTCTCCGGTAACCTTTATGGCACCACAATTCAGGCCGTCAGGAATGTCGGCGACCTTGGCAGAATCTGCATTTTGGACATTGATATGCAGGTGCGATTATTAACTGTATAGAGAGAACCCAGCTTTGTGTTTCGTTAGGCAGTCCATCAATCGTGGGCTAACCTGGTTTATGAATAATTAGGGCGTCAAACTAGTCAAGGCTACGGACCTGAACCCATACTACGTATCGGTTCAGCCCCCTTCTATTGAGGAGCTAGAAGCGCGTCTTCGTGGTCGCGGCACTGAGGGGGAGGCTGACATTCAGGGTCGCCTTGCTGCGGCTCAGGCTGAGCTTGACTACGCCAAGGAAGAGGGTGCATATGACAAGACCATCGTTAATGACGACCTCGAGACCTCCTATGCCATGTTCAGGGCCTATATCAACAGCGGTAAGCATGCCTTAATAGCATTGCGGGTATAATTACTGCGGTATTCTTTCGAATGTCTTTGTTAACCCACTGTCGCCTCGGTTCTTCTTTAGTCACTGCCTAAGCGGCCTTTGGATGGAAGCATGACGAAAATAGAGTAGCAAGGCACTTCACAATAAAGCCCATCATCCCATAGAAACATACTTCCTGTTATACATGTTCAAAATACGATCCAATGGGGCGCGTTCTGTTTGGGGAGACTGTGGATCTATCTACACGGATAGGCCCATACGTATTATCAACGACGATCGCGTGCGGGGTCTAGATAGTCCATCGGGTTTTAGTGTGTGCATACCCTATTGTTAAGCTCCTCATCTATTTGCCATCCTGGTGAATACAACAGCTGAGCATGCGCGTAGAAGATCCTGATCGTTTCACGCTCGATTAAGATTTTAGTACTCGAAGTACTCGAAACTGAGATTGAGTGTACCCCTGGGTTAGGTACACACACCAGAAAGGCATTGCACCCCCAAAATATACAGAGCATTGCTCTCTGCTGAAGTTATTTTGCCAGAGCAAGCTGCACTCTGGGAGTAGCCCTTTGCTTCTTCCTGTCCCTCATCCTCATCCTCCATCTTCTCTTTGTAAATCGGGTTCACCACTCTCACTCTGTCTACATACAATATTTATTTTTATACTTCACGACCCTTCACTCATCAACCAACTTACGCACCATACACTGCATCACACCTTGTTTACCGACCGAGCATTATCACATCACCTCTACTCCACCAGTCTACTATTGTCATTCCCTGCTCTTTCAGTAAAGGCAAGTTGAGTTTTCGCCACCATGCCAGTCTGCATGCATCCAGACCTCTCCCCCTCGTTCAACCATACACCTTCTATGTGCGTGTGCAACCATCGCTGCTGCCCAAGTGATTCTTTTTTCGTATTTCCATGGTACCTTTAATTTCATATGTAGATAGTATGAAGAAGCAGACAGTGAGCGAAAGCAGCGTGGACCGAACGATCGACCCATTGGACCCCTGCTCCGATACTGCACCGCTTCGGACTATAACTTTTGAGGATTTTGTGCCAATTCATTTTCATATTTCATTTTTTCAGGAACGCTCTTCCCCCCCTTCTGTGAACACTCTGCCAGATGCTTGTCTACACTGTCGTCCATCAATTCCCTCTTTTGCCCTGTACGTTGCTCAACCCCCAAGTGTCCCTACACCTCTCGCCGAGCCTCTTCACAACTTTAACTACCTCAATTGCTAAGCTACTCACCTGTCAGGATACGAATCAAACCCTCTCGCCATGGTCTCGGTCCTCAACCCCTTTTGATCCACTCTATATTTTCTTTGCGATTGCTTTACACCAATACTACTTCGCAAGCGCGATGGCAACAACGGCACCGGTGCCCTTGTTCAGCAGGTGATATCCTGTCTAGACCAACGACTATAAATGTAGACTACCTCTGGGGTTTCTTCCTTGGGCGCTGCTCTCAACCGAGCCTGATCCTACTGCATCCTCCGATAGCTCTCGCTATCATCATACGGTATCTGGAGGGAGGATCTTGCTGACAATACCTGAATAGTTTTGGAAAACACACGCGCCTCTTGGCTCATTGTCCAAGAATGTTCCTCGGCCCACCTATCGCTCTCGTTCTTACTGGTGCCTGTCCCTTCGTAATCAGTCCTGGATTACCACTCCTCCTGCAACACTTGTCCCGCCCCCCTTTTTTCCATTACCGCGTTCCACTTTTTTTCCGCACTCACAGGTCTTTTGGCAGCTTGACCGCCATTAAGCCGTTGGGATTCAATGCCACTTGTCTGCGTCCCTGACACAGCTCCTTTTTTCGTCGTGCAAGTTTTCGATTTTTTTCATTTTCGTTTGTGGGTACGGACATGAACAATCAAGGCCACGATGGTCAGCAGGGACTTCTCACGTTCTATTGCTCCAAACATTTGTGGCACCTTGGGCGTTCATTCCATGCCTTCATTTCGATGCGTTCACCGTTCTTCTCTACTAAGCTCTGGTCCACTCCTACTAGGTCTCAGTGCACCATGTAGCATTGGGAGCCCTGCCCTTTTTTGACCTACTCAACGCCTTTTTTACGTTATCTTTCCCGACTGTCGCACCGCTAACTTGTTTTGTATTTACTACTGTTCATCGCTAAACAGTCGCCCATCCCAATTATTCCAACTATCAACTTCCCTCATTACGATAAACGAAGTCCACTCACGAGGCGCCAACCGACCTACCTTCGGGAACACCTTTCGGCGTATGCTATACCCTCCCTGTAAAGAAACCTGAGCACAACTCGCACTCCCGCAGCATCTTCTTCCAGTAACAACCAAAGCTTCTAACAAATACCTTTCCTGTTCGTCTTTCTGAACAAGGTCCCTCTGCATATTGTCATCAACAAATATCACATAAACAGTACTCATAAACAATGGGAGCCGGTTGCTGTAAAGAAGAAGCAATCGATTTCAATGGAGAAAGTAAGCCTGCGTTGTCTTGTTCCAAACTTGCTATCATCTTTAGGCCTGAGTCAAATGCTTATGAAGCTCCGTGGTATTATCTATTGTGTGCTCTTCTCTAGTCGAGTTATCCCACTTCCATCTGCTTCGGTCTGTAGGGAAAGGCGCTTTTGGAAAAGTACGGGTTGTCCAGCACAAGAAGACAAAGGAGATCTACGCACTAAAATATATCAACAAAGCAAAATGTATACGGATGCGGGCTGTTGAAAATATCATTCAGGAACGACGGTTGCTGGAGGAAGTCGAGTTCTCGCTAATCTGCAACCTGCGATATGCGTTTCAGGACGATGAGAACCTGTTCATGGTCTTGGATCTGATGTTGGGAGGCGACCTCCGTTTTCATCTTGAGCGTGCAGGACCAATGCGAGAAGATGTCGTTCGGTTCTACGTGGCGGAGCTGGCACTTGCGCTCAATGCTCTCCATTTACGGAGAATTATCCACAGGCAAGTCTGCATATCCATGGCTACGATGTTTATAGCCTTTTTTTTACTGCTTTGGGAGCACCCTAACCATTGCTGGATCTTATTTTGTCGCGGATAAACCCTCAACAGAGATTTAAAGCCTGACAACGTTCTTCTGGACGAGCATGGACATGCACATTTGACGGATTTCAACATTGCTGTATATTACAACCCGTCCAAGCCATTACTCTCTATCGCGGGAAGCATGGCCTACATGGCGCCCGAGGTGCTACTACGGAAAGGATACTTTGAGTCCGTCGATTGGTGGAGTCTGGGCGTCGTCATGTTTGAGCTACTGTTTGGCAAGGTATGGGTGCGAAATTGCTGCCAAGGTGAATAGACGTGAATATCTAAGCGCCGAATGCTGACTCAACCAACACTTGTCCTTGGTATGGCTAACTAGCGACCATTTAGAGGAAAGAGTAACGATCTATTGACCAGCTCCATTCTGCGGGACCCGTTGCCATTTCCTGAGAATGTTCAAGACATGGTCAGCGTACATTGCCTGGATGTCCTTTCAAAGGTAGTTTTTAAGCGAATCGAATATACTAGCATCATGTCACCTAGAATATAACCATCTCATTGACTGTTACTTTCTTTACAGCTCTGCGAACGCGACATTAGCAAACGTCTTGGTTGTACGCCCGATGGCCTAGACGCATTCAAAAAACATCCATGGTTTCAAGGAATCGAATGGAACAAGCTAGTGACAAAGGAAGCGGTTCCGCCATTTGAGCCAGATGTAAGTCGCCCTGTCCTTTGACTCTAGTATATTTTGGTCCGCAATGTCTTTGTCCCCTCATCAACACATACACATATATTCCTTATCAATAGTCTAAGCGTGCCAACTTTGATGCTACACACGAGCTGGAAGAGCTGCTTATGGAAGACAATCCGCTCAAAGCCAAGAAACGTGCCCAAATGACACCTGAAACAGAGCTATCAACGGAGATGCAGATGATGGAGGACAAGTTTACAGTGTATGACTTCACCAAAGTTAGGAGGTCTCATTCCCTCAACAGAGGTCGCATTCTTCGCCCATCCAACGATCCTAAGATGAACAGTGGCACGTTAGATGGAGTTGTGACTAGAACGAACAGCGGATGCATAGAAATCTCGCCTGTAATGCCGCCACCCAAAGTGTATCGACCGGACAGTCCGAGTGATCGCGTTGGACGGGATCGATTCAACTCGGATGAAGACCAGGTCTCGCTGACGAATCCAATGTATAGGAACTCACCGCTGAGTAGTCCAGCGCTCAAAGCGACTCCCAACAAATATGCCGGAAACGATTCTTACCAGTACAGACCTGACGCGGAGAAAGCAGGGTACTTTGAATTGCAGGAGCAACCGCAACAGCCGCAGAAACGACAGCAACTACGGCCCGACGCCCAGTACTCAGACAATATGATGCAGAGCGAGGCCATCATGCTGCCCCCCTTATCATTACCGCGTCCACTGCAGCCTAAAGATGATGTTACGGGTCTGCGCATTGGGTCACCCTGTCACCGTACGAGCACGGCAGCGACAGTCGGAACAATACCAGCATCCTCGCCACCAAATTCCTTTGCGCAGCCTACGCTCACCTCTTTTACTATTCCAGCGACCAACCACGGCTCTTCATCGCAACAGCAGCAGCAGCAGCGTCAGCGGCAGTCCCGACAATCTGAATCCTTCCCGTTCTCATCAGTTGAATCCGACTTATCCTTGACCTCATACGCCGCCACGGCCAACGACAGCTTGATTGATCCATTGCAAGATTCGGTAATGGTTCCCCCTATATCGCGCAGGGCTGTCCGTGGCCGCGAGTCTTCGGAATATTCCAGCAACTCGATGCCGGCCGCTGTTTCTCCATCATCACCTAATCATTCTTACACCTCGTCGGTTCGCCAAGGCACTAACAACAACAACATCACCATCTCGTCCAGTCCTCGTCGGCCGCTTGATATGGGTCCTCAACAATGGTCGCAGCAATATCAACAACAGATGCGGCCCATGAGCGCGTATACAACGAGCATGAGCGGATCGCAGTTGGATGATGGGCCTGTGAGGCAGCCCATTGCCTATCAGTGGCAGCCCTCTGTGTCTTCTGTCCGCGCGGAGGATAGGAATATGCACAGGCAACCATCTTACGCGTCAACAGGGCATGATGACCAAAATTGAGCACATTACGATTACCTCTTTTTGCATACAGAGCATTAATAAATTACAGCCTAGTAACGGCTTATACCAATCAGTCTCTTACTTTGGTGAATTAGGTGATCCCTATCAGCCGAGTATTATTTTTAAAGCCCCTGTACATTGAGAAACGACGTTTTGGATGTAAGTTTGGCGCAGAGTGTCCGTACTTGGGAGCCTTTTATGCTTTCACAAAGGGTCGTATGTGAAATATCCAAGCACTCCAGAGAAATCCGTGAACCACTCTGTTATGCGATTGACTAGTAGTCTGAGTTCGTCCACAAATAAATTGGTGTACGCAAGACCCAGTGTTTTCGGCGCAGAGAGATCAAATGTCTGGATAATTTCCCTCCAGTCTTCCGGATGGAATAAAAGTCTCGGCAGTCTGAACTCCTGCAGTGACTCGTGTGCTGTCGATATATCCGCAATGGATTTCATAGATGGCGTGTCCCACGATTCCCTGTACTCTGTATCAGGGTGACTCTTGGACGGACGCATAGTTCGGAGCAGAGAAAAGTCTCAGTCTCGACAAATAGCGTCTTG